TGAAACTATGGGTACATTTCCTACTCTTTTGTTGTTACCCCAAGAACCAGTTCCCACAAAAATGCCCCTGAGACAAGGAAATAGAGCTGGATCTGTGCAAGGACATGATGAAACAGCTCCCCCTGAAACACAAGGCAAGTGTTACAACCCCAAAACTCATCTTCTCTGGCTTGGATATTTTAATCTGAGCAAGAGAAGTCAAGTCCACTCTACGAAGAACCAGATGGGGAAGGAAGAGACAAACGACTTCACTCCCATCCTTTATCATACGGCATCCACAACCACAAACCAGGTAAAGGTATGTGTGGAAGGAGGCAGCCAGGCAACCAGGTGGGTGCAAGAACAGTGATGTGGAGACTCACTCAGGATAAGGGCTCAGGCCCCATCATGTCCTTGGTGATATGATTATTTTGCATGCAGGAAGCATTAATTTGGGTTGACTTTTCACCCAGAAGAAATTGAGCTATTTAATTATTTTTTAATTTGCAGAAATCCATTCATTTTCCAAGCCCATTTTCAAGAAGTCTGACCAGGAGTTTGTCCCTTCACTATCAAAATCATCATGCCTACACTTGATAGCACACAATAACATTTGCATCACCGTATAGAATGCAACAGCAAATTTTAAGTCACTGAACTAAAGCATTAAATAAGAAACCAGGAATGTGGAAGTGAAGGTAATCCTGTTTGGTCCAACGAAATATATGAACTTGAATTTCTAACATGATTGTGTTACCTGTTTTAACCCTGCTTTTTATCCTGGAATTCTGAATATTTTCGTGATCATATTAAGAATGGTTTAATGCTCTTGTTATTGTATATTTTACATTGAGAATTGATTTCATACTTGTAAAATATATTACATGCCAGCTATGTCAGCTAATTGTATTATATGGAACCACACCCCCTTTTTTTAAGCTCACAAGAGAAAACGTGGTTTAAGGAGACAGTTGGGCATGGAAAAAATGTAAGCAGGAAAAGGCTTATTTCTCTATACCTCTTGAATTTGCTTTTCTTTTTCTCTTGTGACGGCATCAGAGATGTCTTACACATCTTGTCTTAAATTTTACAAACACATGTCTGTTCTCTGAAAAGTGGAACCTCATTCAGTCTCTAGATTTCATGTTTTCATCTGCAGCTTGTTTCTTTCTTTGGGCTATAATTACGGAATTCAGATCCTAGGTATAACAGAAGCAAGAATATATAAAGGCAAACTAGTTATCTCTGTGTTGTTGTTTTCACCAGGGAAGCACAATGTTTTTGCTTTGAAGTGTTAATTACTTCATAAAGTAGAAAGCCTGCAGGTCTGTACTCTGGATACTTAAAAAATTAATTGAAAATGCACCTTGTTCAGTAACCGCCCCCCCCCCAGTCTTTAATACTTCCCGATGTCCTTCCAAATGTCTTCAATGTGCAATGCCAAAAAGTGCAATGCCAAAATTCGGCACCCCTCTGCCTCTCTCACACCATTCTGAATCATAGTCACAGCATCCCCAGCAGCACCCCTGAAGTTCCATTCCCAGTGCAACCAAACTGCTTGTATTCCCCTAAATCTGCCTCTGCTGTGAAGCACCACCTTCCTGAACAGACAAACCATCTACTCATAGAACCTTCACCTTGGTGGAATCTACACACATATAAAAAAACTGTGAAAATGCTTTAAAAAAAGTTTTTAGGAAATATATTGAATTTGCCATAGTTCACCTTTGTATATTGCACTATACAACACACTTAAAATGTTTAATAATAATAATAATAATAATAATAATAATTTATTTATACCCCACCCGTCTGGCTGATTTTCCCCAGCCACTCTGGGCGGCTCCCAACAGAATATTAAAAACACAATAAAACATCAAACATTAAAAACTTTCCTAAACTGGGCTGCCTTCAGGTGTCTTCTAAAAGTCAGATAGTTGTTTCTTTCCTTGACATCTGATGAGAAGGCAATCCACAGGGTGGGTGCCACTACCTAGGCCACCCTCTGCCTGGTTCCCTATAACTTCGCTTCTTGCAGTGAGGGAACTGCCAGAAGACCCTTGGAGCTGGACCTCAATATCTGGGTTGAATGATGGGGGGTGGAGATGTTCCTTCAGGTATACTGCAACTATATAGCTGAGTTTTCAGTTATTAGCCCATTATCCAGCCAATTACTGCTGCTAGGCACTGATCCAAGACTTCCACAGCTTCATCTGGATTAGATTAAAAAGAAAGAGAGAGCAGGGTGTATTCAGCATACTGATTGGGCCTCGCCTCATATCCCTAGGTGACTCAGGAGCCTATAGCATAGATGCCAAAGGGCCAAGTATAGCACATCCTTTTGAAATTAGCTCTCCAGAGCCATCATATCATTGTGTGTCCAACTCCTATCCCAGAGAACCTATGTGGAAGAATAGGTGGTCAGTGGTATTGAAAGCTGCAAAGAGAACCCAGAGACTTAGCAGAATTGTACTCCCCACATCCTAAGGCCTGCCATCTTTCTTCCAGGATGCAAAAAACAGAGGATGGCTACCAGTTTACACTCTTTATATGAGATGCAGGGGATTGGGAAATAGTGATACATTGCTGTTCTTATTCCAAGTAAATATTGCACATGGTATTGAAAACTTGATTTAACTAAGATTCTTAGATCAAGAACCCACTGACATTGTAACATATTCTGATCACTTTGGTGAAGAATGAAGTCTCAATTTCAGCTTGCCATTATCATTAAGCATCTTATTTCTTTGCTGTGTGGGGGGACTGGACAGTCCCAGAAGACATGTCCAGTGAAGGTTAACACAATCAAATATGTTTCCCAGTTGACTTCATTTGATACATTGACCAATGCACAGAATGTCCCTGTCTCTTTGGCTTCCAGGATCCATGACAGAAATAGCACAATATGTGGGTAGCACCACATATGCTTGCTTTTGGCATCAGCCCATGGGCTCTGGCCTTGATCAGGAATGGACTTTCCAATTCACTTACATGAGAGGAGCAGTTCTTCACAAGTCCCTGCCATTGAAATGACTGGGAGAAAGTCTTTTATAGAACTCTATGGTGTTCATCTGCATCAGTGTCCCAACAAGATCAGAATTATCGGATTGTTAACCTTCTCTGATACATACACAATATAGTTTTGTTGCTGGATCTTGTAGGGCAGGTCTGAAGCATTTATGGTGCTGAAATTTTAGTAATCAAATGGAATTCTGAGGCAGGAGAATAAATATTTAAAGAATCAATAATGGTAAGTCTGTTTTCAAGGAAGATGTCTGTATCTATTCACTCATAATACTTTTATCTTGCCATTCCCTAAAACGATTGCTACTTATGCTGGCAACTTGTGCGGAAATATGATTTTAGTGTTTCAGGAAATAAATTACTATTAACTGGGGTGGCACAAAGCCATCTGACAATTTGGTTAGATTTGTTTGGTTAGATTTGTAGTCCATTCTGGGTTGTTGTTTTTAAAGCTATGTTTATAGAGTAAATGCAATAGCCACAAATCACCTGACACTCTTCTACTTTGATATTTCAGTAAATAAAAGGGGGGGAAACATAGCAAGGGTTATGTTTTGGAAAGTGGAAATTGAGACTGCTGGAAAAGATTGGTCTTTTTGTCTGCATAAGCTTACCTAAATCAACATCTGGGGAAGGGCGTTGCCTTATCTCCTGCTGTAAGGAGCATATCCTCAAATGTATAAAAGATGACCAATAATGTGTGTTGTGGTCCTTATGTAAGTGGTGGAAGAGTACATTGGCTTAGCTCCAAAGAGACACTTGCAGAAGGAGAAGGAAATTCCACTAGCTCAGGGTGGCAATCCCAATGTCCTGATTCCCTCCTCCCTTTACAGCAGGTGTGGTTGACCTGTGGCTCTCCCTATGTTGCTGGACTACAATTCCCATCCTCTCTGACCATTGACCATGCTGCTTGGGGCTGCTGGGAGTTGGAGTCCAGCAACATCTGGTGAGCAACCCCTCCACTTCAGCCTAGGCCTCTGACTGTCATTCTGGAGGGTTCGCTTTCAGGGAGCCTGTAATGGAGAGGAAAGGCCCAATCATGTGCCAGGAACTTCACTCTCACATCTCAAGAGCCAAGTCTTTGTTCAGTAGTCAACGCAAAAATCACAAATAATCTTGTGCTCTTCTACTTTGATGTTTTGAGAAATAAAAGAAAGCCACAGCAAGCTTTACATTTTGGAAACTACTACTACTACTGGGAAAGATAACCCTTTTGAGCTTCATTTTTAAGGATCACATAAGTTTACCTAATTGCTGTCTGTGGCAGTGATTCTTCTGAGAAAAGCAGGGTGGCTATACAGAAAATACCCATAAGAGTAACACATAATTATTATTACTAAAAAAAAACCTTTTACTGGCTTTTTCAAACATTGGTTTAAGAAAGATTACCAAGATAGTCTTAGACATCATTTTAAGGCATCCTTTAATGCTTACCGCTCCAATATTTTATTGGAGGGTTGAATGGCTGTTCAGCAAGATTAAACTACTTAACATTTTGGCTATGTTCCTACTCCATATGGTCACAGTAACGGTGCATGGAGGAATCACCAAAGGGCATTACAGAGTCCTGTTTCTATCTCCATTCACACTAGGCTACTACAAAGAGCAAGAGGTCTCTGTGTGTGGAGATCAGAGGATGTAATATCTTTAAACTGCCATAAAGTGATCAGCAAAGTTATGCTCGCACCTGACAAAGTTGACAGCATTAGTAGATACAAAGTGGATTCAAGAACTGCTAGGAGTAGCCAAGTTAATCCCTCGCAGCAAAAGTAGCATGCCTTGTGGCACCTCAAAGACCAACAAAGCTTTCATTAATTAACTACAGTCCACTTCAAGGTGATGACACACTGTGCTATATTTCATAGAATCATAGAGTTGGAAAGGACCCTAGGCGTCATCTAGCCCAACCCCATGCAATGCAAGAATCTCAACTAAAGAATCCTTGACAGGTGGTCATCCAATCTCTGACTCTATGTGAATCAGGAGAAGCTTTGAAGATGTTGGACCAGGGTATGGAGACTGGTAAGACAGAGTTGGGAGGGGGGAGATTTTGTGTCCAGAAAAGGGGGAACAATCAGTGCTAGAAAGGCTGGTACTTGCCTTGAAAGAAAGCCTCTCCTCCTTACAGAGGGGAGGAGTTGTGAGCAGGAGCCGTTTCCCGCGTTGGCAGGGGGCGTTCCAGCCCCCTGCCCAGCTGGCCTGGCTGCTACGCCACGCCCCCAGGTAGCCAACCAACCAGGTGGAGGCTTGGGGGCGGGGTTTTGCAGCTCAAATGTGGCTGCGGCAGCACTTCCCTTTAATTCCGCTGCTGGTTTTCGTCAGATAATTGGAATATGTTTGTGTCTTGGAGGGCAGGGTGTGGCCATCGCCTACCCCTCCACTTTATGGGTATTCCGGTAAAGGAATCCGGTGGTCGTGGATCCTGTCCGACGCCCTTGCTGGTGGCTAGGGCCATGGCACGATCCCTGGTGACATCAGGGAGAGCTTTCAGTTGTATTTGCATCAGCAGGCTCCTCCCACTGGTGGTTAACCCTTGTTAGACTCACCCCTCCCTGAGGGGGTGGAGTCACGCTCTGTTCTATGATTCTATGATTCTATGTTGTTTTAACCAGTGCCTAAGCCAATACCTCTCACATGCTGTAATCAATAAACTTGTGGCCTTTTTTAGCCCATTAACCTAATATACTGTGTCCATGTGTCTTTCTTATCCCCAAGTGGGTGGCGGGTCCTTGAATCACAACAGGTATGTAGCTACTTGATTTAATGTGTCATTGGAGGCCCAGCTGACATCTATGCAAAGGAGTACTTATGCACAACTTTTGACTAGTTCAGCTCTCTAGGCGGAGTGCTAGGTTGCTTGTTGAGGAGCAGAATCTCTTGCCTTGACTACCCCATCCCTTTATAACACAATTGCAGAGTGTGTGTCCTTGTTGGATCAAGGGCTTCCCTTAAGTAGCCCTATGACCTGCTGTGCCTTGGCATATCAACTCCTTTGAGTAGTTATGTGTATTACTTGCAGTGCCTTTGAGTAGTTCTTCTGCATATGTACTGTATCACACTGATCTGAGCATTATAGCTTTGGGGCGGGGGTATCTGAATTTGCATTCATGATCAAGTGGGGGCCAAAACACATTTGATACTTGAAGAGCAGTAGGTTTATTTGTTGTTGTTTAGTCGTTTAGTCATGTCCAACTCTTCGTGACCCCATGGAGCACGCCAGGCACCTCTGTCTTCAGTAGGTTTATAGCAGCCTTCAAAATTGCTGTTATTCATGGCAGAACTGTAATGTTAGTTTACATTTTTGTAATGTTCTAAGCTCTGGTGTATGGCTGCCCCGGGCATCTTTCAGAGGAAAAACAGAATGAAAATCCTCATCATCTTCAAAGGTTGTGCATACATAAGTTTTACAATTTCACTCATCAATTTGTATTTTCACTTGGATTTCTAAATATGCCTAGTTCTGTTGTTGCATATTCGGAGTCACTTCTACAACAGAGGCGTAGCTTGGGAAGTATTACTTGCATGCCTGTAAGCAATTATCAGTTTTAAAACATATTATGATGTACCCAGTGGCAGTATTGTCATAACTGAAAGTTGATCTGTTTGCATAAGTAAAGGCATCATGAAACCTCCCCACTCAGCAGACCACTGACCTCTTCACCTTCTCCAATTCTGTTTGTCGAGTTACACGCCAACTCTCAAAAAGTGCTTTACAGGGATCAGGCAGGCCTCTTAAGTGGGTAGGAGGTGTTGAAGAAAATCAAACTCCCTGCTTTATGTTAGCAGAAATTGGGTTCAAGCCACTGAGTGTAAAAACTCTATTTTGAAAGTAACCAGTAGCCCACATGTTTACTGTCTCTATGTTTGTGCTGTTAAAAGATTCCAACACATTTGCAGATTGTTTTTTTTTATAAAAAAAAACCTGTACATAAAACTGTCAAGATTATTGCAGTAAAAATGACTTTTGCAGTGCAGGTTCAAATTCCCTTCCAGCTGTTGACAGAAATTGACTAATATTTCCTTAACGGTTCTCTCTTTTGTTTCAGGCATGAACACTAGCAAGAGCGAGAATGTCAAAGAGCCCCCATTGAAGCCATCCCGGAGATCCTTGCCATGCCTTGCTCAGAGCCAAACACACCCGCACAGCCTCAGCAAGCATTCCTCATTCCTGCAGCCAAATCGAGTGCAGCCTCAACCTCAGCTAGGGACTGCAGGGACATCAACCGCTACCGTCGATGTAGTGTCAGAACGAGGTGAGCTCTGGCACACTGAGGCCACTGGCATTCTTCCACATCTGTGATACATTCTGAACTTAGCAAACAAAAGGAACGGGGCTGTGTGATATAAACAGTGACCTGAATGTAAAATGTTTATTATGCCTTTCAGCTAAAGTGATGGAAACCTTGGAAAACAATTTACTCAAATTATCTAATACAGAATACAGCGATCCATTCTTAGGTGAGTTTGCCCTGCTCAGTTATATTCTATTGAGATTGTTCAAAATAATCCCCCTTTCCTTCCACTTTGGACAACCTAGAGCTGAAATGTGAAATTATTCGCTTCTGAAAGATCCATTTTAAAGCAGCAGTTGAAATTCCTGCGTGTTGGCCTTTAATTCTTCTCTGGTAATTCAACTAGGTAGGCCAGGGGTGGGGGGCCTCTAGAGCACAGGCCAAGCAAGTTGACCCATGTTTTTCCCCAACCACATTCACGTCCATAAACCCATTAGCTGATGTCATTCATGACATCATCTGATGAATACAAGGATGGAGTTAAATCCTGCATTGGCTGTTCCTGCCAGTTCCCACAGAAAACAGCAGTGCACAACCAATTTGAGCAGGATTTAACCATCGCTCACCAGCTGATGAGTGTAGCTTAAATCTTCCTGAATTCTGTAGGATTCCAATAAAACCTCTTCCTGATTCAGTAAGGTGATTCTATGCAAATCTGTATGGTAGGAGTGGGGAACCTTTTTAGACCCATGGACCGGATGTATATGAGGATCTGCCTCTTGGGCCAAATTTGACATGTGAGTGGGACTCCCCACCTGTCAATCGTGTGATGACATCTGATGAGTGGGAAAGTGGGATTAAACCTTGTGTTGGCTGTTTGCTCCCAGCAGAGATCAGTATTATGCAACCAAGCTGAGCAGAATTTATGCCCCTCTCATCAGCTGATGAGTGGGGGTTAAATCTTGCTGAGTTTGGCAAGATTCTATGCAACCCCCTTTCAGATTCGGGAGCAAGTTTGCACCATAATCCCCTCCTAAAATGGAGGGTCCCCTCCTTCATTTTAGTAGATGCATACATTTTGATGTGATGTGATCTCTCACTTAGGTCGTACATATTTAGGTTAAGAACAGAAAATGTGAAGGTTGGATCAACAAAGTTAATCCATTGTGTGTAATTCTGTCCTAAGCATACAGGTGACTCCCCACTTATGTGCTTGTTACGTTCCGGGGGCCTGTGCACATAAATGAAATTACATAAAATTGGGATTACCCTCTAGACACCCTTTAAACACCCTCCTTGCTGCTCTCTCTTCAATCCATACCAAAAAATGCTGTATCTAATAATACCCACAACTAGAATTGAAGCTCTGGGGCTGGCAGGAGGCTGGAGGATTCATTGGAAAGTGATTGCTGCTGCTGTGCTACCCCACATATCAGCTGTTAGGTGGAGAGGCTGAGCAGTACAAAGCCCCACTGTGTCTCTTTGGGGCTTCCTGTGCCCTCATTGATGTCTTCTTCAGGCTCCAGGTAGGGTCCCCTCATGAGCCTCAAAGTCTGCCCAGAGCTCTCTTGCTATTTCTGGGTATGAATTGAATCATTTAATGTTTTTCTGGTGCTGCGCATATATATGGTCACAAATGAGTAGAACATGGATCAGTGCAAGGGTGCCTGTACTTAAAATTGCAGCTCCAGACTTTGTATAGAGGTATTTTTGTTTTTAAGCTGTAGCCTCTGATCCACAACATTTCCACTATCACAAGACCTATTAAATGGGGCTTGCTCTTCTTGTGAAACCCTCTGGCCACGGAGGTTTTGCATGAAAAAGTCAGGACGACATGACTGCAGTCACTCTTGGAATGCTGATGGGGCTTACATAACCCCTGTGATTAATGACTTTCATTTCTTCAGTGATCTACTACGAACTGCCCCAGGAGGATATTAAAAGATGGATCTGAATTAAGTGTGTGAGATAAATATTTAATCATGAAGCTTCTAGGAAGGACAAATAAAAGGGGAAACGGTACAGCTCTGTACAAAAGAAGGCAAGGAACCACGGCCACTAAAGCCATTAGTGCAAAAGGCCAAATTCCAACTGAACTTCGAGCCAATAATACAATAAGATGTAATTGCCATGTTTAGAACGACAAGGTGCTCTGAATGAGTGTGGATAACAACCTTGTCTCATGGTTTGGACATGTATGGGCAAAAAAAAAAATGTTGATGATAATCTGATGGGTGGAGAATCCTATTGCAGGGAAGCAGTGGCTAAAGATTCAGTTCTGGAACGATACGGTTCATCATTGATAAAATGATTCAGATTTGGTCTGAAGAATCTGTAATCCAGCAAGATGAATGCCACTTTCCAGCCACCTATCGTAGCCAACAAGATATTTGGGGATCCGCACGTCCAATTTTTGCAGCCCCAGGCCAGCAACGCAGACTGGAGACATATGGCAAGCTGCAGGCATATCTGGTGGTCTGCAGTTGATTTGACTCGCAGGTTGCAAAGGCATAATTATGTGCTGCACTGAAAGAATGTGCTACTTGTAAACTTTTCTTTCCTGGTTTGTACATGATGAGACAAAGTTTAAAGGTTCTGTGGTTTGTAACAAAAAGGAGCTTCCCATTATGTCTCATACAGAAACGGGGTTTGTTCAAGCCACGGTATATTATAGCAGTCTACACTGGGACGTGGTTGGCGCTGTGGGTTAAACCACAGAGCCTAGGACTTGCCGATCAGAAGGTCGGCGGTTCGAATCCCCACGACGGGGTGGGCTCCCATTGCTCGGTCCCTGCTCCTGCCAACCTAGCAGTTCGAAAGCACATCAAAGTGCAAGTAGATAAATAGGTACTGCTCCGGCGGGAAGGTAAACGGCGTTTCCGTGCGCTGCTCTGGTTCGCCAGAAGTGGCTTAGTCATGCTGGCCACATGACCCGGAAGCTGTACGCCGGCTCCCTCGGCCAATAAAGCAAGATGAGCACTGCAACCCCAGATTCGGCCACGACTGGACCTAATGGTCAGGGGTCCCTTAACCTTAATCTTAACACTGGGCTACCCTTGATGGTCTGTAAACTGCAGCTATGCAGGGGGAGGGTGAAACTGGCAAAAGTCACCACCCTATTCATTCATTAGAAGGTTTCACCAGATTGCAGTCTTTCCGCAACTGGAAGAAGACTTTCTGTTCATGGAATAGACAGTCTGGATCCAGACCTCTGTTTTGAATGTGGTTACTTTCCATTATACAAGTGCTGAAATTTATATATGGCAGAAGTTTCACAGAGAAGAAGTTTTATGCACAAAGACATAAAGCATGTTCCCTCTTTAATAAGAGAAAACACAGTTTACTTTTAGACACACAATGGAAACACTCCCAACACATCAATCAGTTTGTGGAGTAATCTGTAGAGTCAGCATATAAATTAACCTACATGCCACCTTGAGATTTCAAATAAATTGCAAAAAAAGCTTAGCAAAACTGTGTTTAAAATGTTGACCATGTGCCTGAGCATAGGAGGCACTAAACAAGCTTTTCTTAGGGGAATGGCTGTGCATAGATAAAATCTGTGAAGAATCTGTGCTTTGGTTTTTAAAGATGACACAGCTGAAATCATCAAAGGAAGCCGAGTAATTAAAGGAAATCAATGTTTGCTTTACTATTTGATGTTCAGAATCCGTGTGAACTACTTTTAGTGGATCTCTTTCTTTCTTTTTAGTTTTAACAGATAGTAATCTTTGCATCCCAAGCAGTAATGCTTTTTTGTATATGCTATAATTTAATTTTCAAATTCCTTTTTTGTTGGCTCCAGGATCACTGGAATGGTGCAAATGTAACTGTTCCATGACTGAGAGTTAAAAAATGTGCTGTGGATTTGAATGCTCCCTTCTCTACTCCCAGTGAATTCTGCCATGCCTTCCACAAATTGTGGTAACTACAGCATTATATGTGCTGTATATTATATCAGCATTAAGAATATTTACCAGCATTAAGAATATTTACCATTAGATTTCTAGAACATAATTTGTCTGAAAATTGGTAAATAAGAATCAGTGAGATTCATCCATGAATATGGGTTTAATGCACACCATAAACTTTTGCAATAGAATCTGAGAACTTCCTTGCCACTGTAATATCCTAGATTGTAGAATATATTCCTTTAGTAGATTCAGGGACTCCCAGCTCTTTGGCACAGAGATCATTAGTGCTATTTTTAGGATTCTGAAGTTGCCAGCATCTGTGTCACATGCATATTAATAGCCTGCCATGTTCTCTTGCATGCCAGTCGGTGAGTTTGAATTTGGGTACTCCAAAAAATAAAAAAAACAAAAAAAACTGTCTTCTTCAATATTTCACCTTGGTCATGAAATATTACTTATGTACTAAGTTAAACTAAATTATAGATGATGATACTGCATCATTTGGATGGAGTGAAGTGTTGTGTTGTGTGTGGTCATCTAAGACACAATTAATTCATGAAAGAGTAATTGAAATAAGGGACTCAGTGGAAATCAAATTACTTTTCCAGACAGCAAAGACGCAGAAGGTGTGAAAATTAATGGCTACTACTGCCCTCAACCTGCCGTCCACCACAAAGAGCTGTGCTGATCTTGTATCTTTACGATGGTGTTCCAGTACTTAGAATCAATACATTATTTCGCTAGGATAATGATGAAACTAGCCTAGTGAAAAATTCCATTCTGCTGTTGGAATTCTATGTGAATTAAGTAATCATTCCAGGGTGTCTTCTTAGAAGACTGGCTTAATGAATGGTCTGAAGATGAAACTTACATGATTCACAAATCTACTCCCAAATAATGTGTGTGTTTGTATATGCACAAGGGTGCTTGTAAAGGCAGCTTTCATCTCTGCAGCTTAATCATCACATTTATTAGTCATAAAAAAATTCAAAGCTCGCTAAGGGTGAGGGTGGGGAATTTCAAATCATCTCTAAGAGTGGGATAAGGGTTTCACTTCCCTAAAGATTACATAGTAGTTCAACTGCTTTACAAAACAAGGGCCTAAGAAATATTGGCTTGGATTCAGAGTTCCTAATCGTACGATACTGGGAAAAGAGGAGGTGGGAGATTTTGTGATCCATGAAAAGCTACTGTTGGGATCTGGGGCATCGTCTGAAAACAACCCATCAAAATCAATAGGGCTTGGTTGTCAATCTCTCTCTCTCTCTCTCTCTCTCTCTCTCTTTCCCTCTTCCCCCCCCCCCCAACTCGGTCTTAATTTTAGTTTGCTCCAGTTCTACATCAGTTTACGAACAATTTTTTAAGTCTGCATGGAAAAGTATATGCATTCTCTGTGCATTTCTGTCAGTCCTTTCTTCGTCTTCTTTTACAAGCAATTTCCACAGGACAATGCATTTCTGTATATGCACAAATATCCAGGCTGTGTACAAGTAACTCAAAATTTATACATATTAACTTGAGTGCATTCAGCTTTATGTGGTTGGCAACAATTTTTTAAAAAAAATTAAGGTGGCAAAAAGGGAGCAGGCACTGGCGGGGACCCTTTGGTCTTTTAAAAGGTGAGGGTTTTTTGGGAGGGGTTATTGGGTAGATTTTGTTTTGATTATGTATTTTGTGGTTTTATATTTTGATTTTATTCTGTAAACCGTCCTAAGACCTCAAGGTATAGGGTGGCATATAAATTCAATTATTATTAGTATTACTACTAATAATAATATCACCCACAATTAGACCCAATGTATTTTTACTATACACAATTTTGATTTTATGCACTATCCCCAGAATGTAACCCACTGTATACACTTTCCCTTCATATATGCTTTTTTGTACACAAATTTTGGTTGGAGAACAGCACCACAAAATTCAGAGAGCTGCAAAATTTGAAAGAGTCGTGTTTCAATCTGCATATTGCTGTAGGGAGTGCAAATTAAGTGTGTAGTGAATAAATTTCACTCCTATCCCTACTTGTTTCTGAGTAAGGCTTCTTTTGCACATGTTAGATCTGGCTCTGGAGAGCTTAAATTTGGCTAGATCATGCCTATCATGTTTTCAATCTATTTTTGAATTGACAAAATCATGATTTTTTGCTTCTGCCTACTGCATATTTACTCAGCTGTATTAATGCTGAGTTCAGTGGGATTCATTCCCAAGTAAATGTGCATGTCATTACACCCTAAGTTGTGTCCCAAATATTTAGCTTTGAAGAAAACAAGGAAACTACCATCCCGGTCACCAAATTTGAAATCAGAACTGCATGAATTGCAAAATACCATAATGGAAGATTGCACCCCCATTTTTACCACAGTGTATTATTATCTGCATAGGTGCTATTAAAAAATTATAGTCTCTTGTAGCGAATATCAGAAGAAATGTTAATACTGTAGTAAAACAAACAAAAAACCTGAAGAAATCCTGTGTGAGATATTTTTAGTTTTGTATACATTATTGTAAGCATTGGCAGGCAAAGCATTGCAATAATAGCAAACAAAAAGTGTTGACCGTGCTTTTAGAAAGTGTTTGTAGTACTCTCCCAAAAAAATCAATGTTTGGCTTTGCTCATTGTCTATTACTTTTGTGGCCTGCAAGCACTGTGCTTTGCTGAAAAAGCAAAGCACAAAACAAAGCAGCTCCTTAAAATTTCTATAGCTATTGAAGATGTTCCCCCATTCTTGGCTTCATTTGATGGCCAGAACACCTGAGAATTATTCATCTCTGAGTGGAGAATGGAATGTGAATCCTCCAGTTGTTCAGCAGCATTCAGCAGGGAGAGCAAGCAGGGTGGTGTTATGTGCCTGGCTTCCCAATCTGAGCATAGTTGCCATTTTCTGAGAGGGCAAGGGGTCAGGCTCAGTGCAGTGTTAGTATGGCAGCAGAGCCAATTCAGTGCTCCTGTTGCCCATGCTACACTGAACTCCCCATGCTTCACCCCTTCCCCTTCTGAAAGCTCTTCAGAACTAAGCAAATTAAAAATGCTTATGGTAAATTTTGGATTTTTCATTACAAATAGGGCACTGGAAGGTGATGGGAACATGTGACAGAGAAATGAAAGGTGGATCATTATGGGAATTGTTCTTGTAGCTTTTCTAGAATGTCTCCATAGTCATATCAAATGAGTCCATCTGTTTTTGGTATTTTTCCCCCTCTCAGACATAGGAAGAGAAAAAGACACATATACAGATGATTCAGAACATGGGAATTATGATTCTCGTACAGATCAGTCTCTGCTTATTAAAAATACGCCTACGAGACAGAAACCAGAGACTCGGACTAAGTCATCATTGAAGGTAATGAATTATAGGATATGGTTTTTGCAATGTATTGTTATTTCTGCTATCGGGATGGTTCACTTTTAAACATGCATTAGGTTGGTCCATTACAGACAAACGGATTGACCACTGTAATGTAATACTAGAGCTATGAGGCTGATAAAGTCTAAGAGAAGTCTTCCAAGTATGAAATGTCAGAATAGATTAAATTAAAGAGCTAGGATTAGTCCATGTGATGTTGCCATGTTCTCACCAGTGCAATAATTGTTTGTTTAGTGTCTTCTCAGTTTAAGATTTTCAGGGCTATTTAATGAAAGGACAGACAGACAGAAGGGACAAGGATTTTACATGGTACAGATAATCTTGATTTGTTTAGTCAGTGACCCATGGCCAGAAGATGTGATGGATTGTACATCACACATATATGAGTCAATTTTGAGGTTACACAGTTTCCTGGTTTAGAAGTAACACGATCTGCTTACCTGAGGCAACCAATTCTTCACCTGTGATATCAATCTGACATAAAATCCATTCCATTAATAAAAGGTCCTCTAAGATAAAGGATAAAGGATCATCTGTATTGTAACAAATAAAATATGGCAAGCTGATATTAAGCACAAGTCCCTAAATGATAACATGCATGGCTATAGCAATGGATCCTTCCATTTTCAAATACCTTCAGTTTATGTATGCAAAGATTGCATGGGGAAAAGTGAATTCATGTCTGTCGGAAGGTTTATGGTGCATTTAGAACCATATGTCAATGGTTGCCATTTGAGGATTGTGTCAAATTTGAAAGTGTTATTAGGTAATTATGCTAAAGTGAAGAAAGAAAGTGTGTGAGTGGAACACCCAAATTTCATATGCCTGAAAAACTAGGGAAGGAATTCAGTGTCAAGCTCTTCTGATTATTCTGTCAGCACAAGTATTTATGCTTGCCAGATGGAAACTACCCTTTCCCCCTCTGCGTGCTGTTCTTGGGGTTCTTCTGAGCCTACAGAGCAGATTTGGGGAAGGAGGAAAGCCCCATTTTGCTAGTAGGAGCCCTGTTCTCAGCTGCTGGACCTGGCTTGTCAGATGGTGAGAGGCTCAGCATGTGCTAAGCTATCAGGAGGAAGGGGATAGCTGTGGATGGTGAGAGGACTGAAGTCTCTCCTCTTACCTTCTTTCTCCTGTTTGTCTCCTTGCCTTGAATAGTGGTCCCTTACTTCCTGGACCTCATCAAAGTGTGGGCAGGTATCACTGATCTGATTGGCTGCAGGATGATGGGACACTGCCACCTGCAAAGTTCTCCAGTACAGGGTTAAACTACTTGTGCCTGTGTGGATATTCTCTCTGAAACTGGTTTTTATTCAAAAGTGTGAGTCTGCATTAAAAGTATGCTCAATGGGTAGAGGGGTGGCACATCTCCATCCCTTTTGGCCCTATTATTAATTCAAAATTAGTCTTCTGAGTAAGAAAAAGAAACATTTTTTTTCTTTTACCCCATGAAGCGAAATGTGGCTTGAAAGTGGTGACTTTGCTAACAATAATGGCTTAAGCAGATTCTTCCTTCCAATGAAGATGTTGTGGGCCAGCCTTCAGGAAAATGGAAAAACTTGGGAAGTTTGCTGCTATGGCCTAACCCTAACCCATTGCCTCAGATTTGAATAAGGAAAGAAAAGGCATGATAATGTCAGGTTTGAGATAGAATGGTTTTATGGAAATCATATAATTGTGACCATATATAATTTGTCCACTTGTAATGCATTTAAAAACCAATGCTATAGACCTGTAACTTTCTGCGTCTTTGGCAGGACAATATCCTTTCTTTAAAATTAATAGCACATTGTGCTTTGTTTAAGCTTGTAGTATCACAGTTAATTATAATTTTAAATTAAAATATTCTAAATTAAATTTATATATTTGTCAAGAAAAGAAAAGAAAAGAAAAAGAAAACCCATGAGGAAAACATATACGAGATTAATTGTCGCATTTAGTTTGTGTCACAAACAGAGGGAAGTTTGTTGTAATCTGTGAGCTTTCTTGACAGACCTTTCAGATGCTTCATTGCAGTTGTAAACCTCTTCTGAAAGGCTGTAACTCCTGCAGCTTGGATTCTTTCAGATGAAAAGTTTCATGGGCTCTGAACGGTGTCTGCATGCTAATGCAAACTATTTAGTTGCTGTCCTCAACAGCAGTGGCCAATTTTCTGTAAAGGGCAGATACCTGGGATTCATTATTCATTGCTGAGTTATTTACCAGTTCTTCTCTTGGGGCCAAATGATGAAGTTCTTAATCCCTTTCATATTGACTTCCGCAGGAAACTTTTCAGCAGTGCAGCAAGCTCAGGGCATTAAAGCTTTTCAAACCTCTTACCCAAAAGATTGGTGTAATTTAAGTTACAGCACTGTAATACTGTGTAAGGATTTTGAGTATAATATCCATGAAAATGGTAAGGGCAGCCAATGAGATAAAGCAACATGAGTCCTACATGCTACTTCAAGGAAGCAAGGTTGATGCTGCGGTTTTCTGCAGTATTCATAAAGTAGCATATATTTCATTGCTTGTTCCGTGAGTTTATTTGGCTCTTTAATTGCCCTCACTCCCTAATCATACAGTCATGCCAAGTACCTGCTCCCTGCTGGACATGGTCCCTTCAAAGTCTCCATCAGTTGTACTACCTCACTTTGGGTTCCAGTTACTCCTGTTCACTCACCAAAGGATTCTGCCACTAGCCATGGCTATCTTCCCTTCCTTTACTGTTAACAGGATCCACTCTTCTAGCCTTCCATAATCCTCTAGTGTTCAGAAATATAAACTGAACCTGTGTAGACTGGGCTTTGGATTTTATTTATTTGATTCCATTTCTGAATTTCTTCCCATAAAATATCTCAAAGCAATTTGACAGTACAATCATAAACAATTAAAACAATTAAAAAAACATCCCACGTGTAAAAACCTTTCCATATGCAAACAAAAAGAACTTCAGGTGTGAAAACAATTTTGAATCCAAAATAGGATAAAGATCTCCTTTAAAGAAGCTTGTTAAAAAAGGATAGTCTCCAATAGGCTTTTGCTACTGACAACCCCTGCAGGTGAATCCAGAATTTACTGATGCAAAAAGTCCTAAATATCAAATGCCAAACACTTGTGATAAACTGCTGAAACTAGAGATTATTTATTGCCAAGAGCAATGTCACAATTCATCATGGCCTATAACGTTTGCAGTTGTCCGATCTTTGACAGACCGCTGCATAATGACTTCTTGGAAGATGTGTTACTGTGTCAGCAGATTTGGGTATGATTTTCCATCACCACGAATTGCTGCGTTAGAATCACCTGTGGGCATGTATGTTTTCAATTTATTCAACTCAGAGTAAATGGGTGCTGGTTACGTAACCTTCAGGGGTGCTAAAGGCACTGGATTAGTATCTCCTAAGAAAAACACCTGCTGTCCTCTTGTTCAAGTGTGTGAACAAACGTATGGAGTATAACTGGGTTTCTTTTAAAAATGAAGATTTGGTTAAGACTGAACTGTATTTACCGGCATCATTCTTCTGTGCCATTTTTATAGTGGAATTGTGCATTTTATTTTATTTTATTATGTTGGGAACCAGGATTATTCTTCATTGGGTGATGAAGGGGAGGACTCCAAACCTGAAGGGGAAAGGCACACAGGGCCAGACCCAGAACAACTGCTGTGAGATTGAACCTGCAGGGCCAGCCCAAAGATGTGGCACAGACACTGCCATTCTCTGACTAAGAGAAGCCCCAGGTGGACCTCAGGCTCCCCAGCTCCATCGCAGTAGCAGATAAGTGCAGAAGACTGGTGGCTTTTAAGTAGAGTCAAAGAGAAAAACAACTACAGTGGTACCTCGGGTTACATACGCTTCAGGTTACAGACTCCGCTAACCCAGAAAAAGTACCTCCGGATGAGAATAGAAATCATGCTCCGGCGGTGCGGCAGCAGCAGGAGGCCCCATTAGCTAAAGTGGTGCTTCAGGTTAAGAACAGTTTCAGGTTAAGAACGGACCTCTGGAATGAATTAAGTACTTAACCCGAGGTAGCACTGTACCAGACTTTGGGAAGACATCTGAAGGCAGCCCTGTTTAGGGAAGCTTTTAATGTTTAACAGACCATTGTATTTTATTTTTTTGTTGGAAGCCACCCAGAGTGGCTGGGGAAACCCCAGCAGACAAATATGGGCAGATAAATTATTATTATTATTATTATTATTATTATTATTATTATTATTATTATATCTTGCAGTACAGGTACTGCTAACAATCAGGCCACACCTGTTGCTACTGCTATATATAGTCTCAATTTCCTCTTGTCCCTTGCTGAAGAAAATTCAGGGCTCTGTGTTCCCATAGGCCTTGCCTAGCATCTAGGCTGCCCCCTGCCTCACCTTGTCCTACACCCCTACGTGGGCCTTGCCTTACTGGAGGACACCTTTATCCATTGTTAGGAATAATAATATCCATGGTTACTAGAGATGGGCAAGCTCATATTGGATTTACTTGGAAATTACCTGAATATGTCTTCAAAGAATTGGGAAAGCTCAGATATGATTTTTGAGCCAATTGAAGGATTTGGGGAAATGCACTGGCCGATTCTTAACAGCCCCCTTTCCCCCTAGCAACTGTCCTCTGAGCCAGTCTGTCATCCCTCAAAGACTTCTCTTCTTTCACTTACCTAACAAGTGGCAGAAGTGTAAGGAGAAGTAACAGTGGTGCAAAAGGAGAGGAAAGAAGAGCTCCCCCTACTTATCACCGAAACATGCTGATTTTAGCAGTGTAGCTGGGCATCTCAAAGTGGTGAACAAGGAGATAGATATGCAGAGCAAGAAGGTAAGGCTGAGTACCCTTTTTTTTTCCATGCTCAGAAGAATTTCATTTGGCAGCCCTGTAAACTTGCCTAAGGGCTGAAGTAAGATTTTTACTGGGCTTCCAAATCCATCTGACACTCTTAGCTACTATACTTCACTGACTCTCAACTGGAGGTTTTTAAGCAGAAGTTGGAGGACCATCTGTCATGGATGCTTTAGTTGAGATTCCTGCATTGCAGGTGGTTGGACTAGATGACTCTCAAGGTCCCTTCCAACTCTGCAATTCTGTGAAATTTAAAAGCAGCTTCTCTTGATCAGTTTAGATTTGTTACACTAGCCAAATAGGGTTATGCTGTGCATATTCTGGTTCAGGATTTCAATCCAAAACATCCATTGCGATTTAAACATTTTAGAGTATTATAAGAAAGGAAATAGTGGAATGATATCTAACTAATGTGTCCCATAGGCGCAAAGATTTCTGCTTGTGAATGGAGCTCTCCCCACCACCTTACACCCCCTAAATCTGTTCTGGGGTTCCCTCAACACGCTGGGGCAGATTTGGGAAGGGTGCAGGGTACACACCGGGAGAGGGGAAGTTAGAGTGAGCAAGTTCAAATTCTTGTGCTGATGGAATGTGTTAGTTGAATACCACCTACTATTTCTAAAAGGAGGAGAGAAAGTGCTATACATTTTTCTGATGTGAAATACTAAACTTTTACTTTCAGTGGTATATGAAAAGTTGGTAAGAAAAGTTTCTTACCACTATTAAGTTCTTCATCTCTTACCTTATTCATCTCTTATTCTTATTCTTTTGAGTCAGACTGAGTAACTTTTCTCCATTAGTCTCCTGAGGCAGGTTCCAATCGTCCATTCTCACTTTGCTCATTTCTTTAGATGTTCAAATTAACTATCACACTGTGCCTTGAATGATTTCAACACCCACTGGTTTAAGTGGGATATGAGTCGTCACGTCAGCTAAGTGACTTTAATGCAAAATTGTTCAGCATCTGAAATTGGATTACAGGAAGAAGGAACCAGTTAAGAGGAGAACCACAGGGAGGGGAAAGCCTTTTGATGGAAAACCAATCACCACCAAATGCAATCTGAAAATGCAGCCACAAATAATGTTAATATGGGGAGTAGAATCCTGAACCCAAAGTGAAATGGCACGACTTGATGGATGCCACAAGTTTAACTTCATGTGCACTTCTCATTTATCTGCCACAGTTGTTAAATTACTCACTTGAACTAATTGGAAAATTGCTTTCCCAAGACCTATCGATCATAAATTATTGCTGGATGGTTTGTCATAGTTTAGGGGGAAAAACACTTCAGGAATGTAAGAGTTGTGCAGATATTTCACCTGAATGAATACTTGCAGGTTAGACTTTGAAGGGGAAATGTAGAGATGGGGCAAGAGAGAAACACTCCTCCCTGGTCCCTACTTATTCATAAAAATTGCCCATGTCTAGTGGTGCTTTTATCAGTATCCACTGTCAGTATTCCAGTGACCAAGCTGGGACAAAAGAAGCTGCTTTCATCAGCTTGCACAGAATTCTATGGGTTTCTGTTCTGGCCTTGCATAGCAGTTGTGTAAACTGTGCATGCCTTCCTCATTGATCAACACTTGGCAGGAAAGTGTCATGAATTCTACTCATATTGATCCAGAACAGAATTCAACGTATAGTTAGCAGAGAAAAAATTAAACACGTTGCAGGATTCCCCCCCCCCCAAAAAAAAGAAACAACAGAACAGAGGCAATTAATATTTCATCCAGCAGAGCTTTACTGCTACTGAAGGCAAATGAGCATAATGGTCACAAATTGAATATATTCAGGATTGGCACTGTCCATAAGAAATCCAGTTGCAGCAGCTTAACTTTAATTTATAATAAGACTACAACCTTAACACTAAACACACTTTATACAGAATACCACACCAGAAGAAAAAATAGATAGTGAAGCCCAGACTCCTTCTGGCCTTATTATTATAGTCAGCTTGACCTTGACAGAAAGAGATAACAGAACCAGTTTAAGCCAGCTGTACTCAGCTTCTCTGAAGGAATAACCCAAACACCAGGAACCTTCTGCTTGTTTCTAGAATAGAAACTTATGTGGCAGATAGAAATTTCCAGCTTGCACCAGTTTCTTTCACAGAGAAAAGCTTCCAGAACCCTCTTGAATTAATTAGAACAGGAAAGATCTCTACACATCAGATCAATACTTTCTGTACCAAGAAATGCAAACTGACAGAAAGGTCTCTTCATCTGTCCCATCTACCCCAAAACCACTGTTTGTTGGTAGTAGCCAAGAATAGCAGTGCATGGGCTCCACAACAGAGCACTCCTTTTTGCTTGTTGATTCTTATACAAAAAATCTCTTTAAAGGCAAAGTTCACGGAAAAACAAAGGAACAAATTAGAAATGTGGAAGTGTAAATACTTAATAGTTGCCTTAAGAAGAGCATAGGGTAGATTCAAGCTTAGGCTGAATGCAGAAGAACGAATGATGATCCCAGGATCTAGGAAAATACAAGCAAGCACCTCATGAATTTAGAGAAGGGAGTAGGAGAGCTCAAAGGAGGGGGGGGGGAGAGAAGGTGTGCAGTTCTGGAGTATTGAGAAGCAGGATGGGGTTTCTTGTGTCCAGGCAGTCACAGACTTGGGTGCTGGAGATATTACAAATGAAAGGGGTGTGATTTCTAGGCTCAAATAAAAAAGAGAGTTGTCTTTGACAAGATAAAGACAGAATGTGAGTATTGTGTCCATGTCTGTCCACTTGTGTTTATGTCTATGAACAAAGTGGTTTACTACCAGTATTTTTGCTTCTACTTATGGATATAATGCTAGACTTAATAGAGCAGCTAGCTGGCCAAAAAAACTGATATCATGTTATCCTATCAATGGAACAGAAGCAAAATTGTTTCATTTGAGCTTCAAAGACTCCTACGTTTTGCTTTTGGAAAGTCAAACCAGTGTAGGAACAGATCACGTCCTGAACCCTGTTGTTAATCAGTTTGCTTTTAGAGCTGAATTACTAAGACTAATGTTTCTCTGAGCAGAATAGCTAGAATATGTTCCTTTGTCATAGCCTTGAAATGCAATTATCAGTTTTCACTTGCAAATTTATGTTAATGACATTATCATTGGTTGATGATCTAGCTGAATATGGGACATCAGCTCTTCATGTATTTATCACTTGTTATTTAATCAGGAATTTTTATTTAAACAACCAGGCAATTTTTAAAATGTGCAGGTTTTTTAATGGTCTGTTTTTCACTGGTAAATCACCAGGGACCCTCATCACCAGATTTGAACCTCAGCAATTAAAATAATTTACTAAAATAAATGAGTGGGCTGGTTATGGACTCTGTTCTTGTTTTGCCAACCAGGCCCACTTCCATACTGGCTGAAGTAGCATCTTCAGTTCCTCCTATGGAAAGAGGTTGGACTGCCAAAGAAAGCTATCTGACAAAGGTGAGATAGCAAGAGGAGGACAGAGGTGAAATGGCAAGAGGGAAGGGGATTTAGCCTACTATCATAACAGGGACTAAATTCAGAGGCATGATGGGCTGGAGATTCCTGATTTAAGTGGCCCAATTTTCAGAGTATCTGAATTTAGCCATCCTAGTGATAGTCCATCTTTCTTCAGAAGGCCAAATCTGGTTTTTGAGGTTTAGCTTTAACATGATAGACTTCTCATGTAAAAAAAGCACAGAAACAAAATAATTCCCTTGCTATAACTAACCAGTGGCCATCTAGTTTAGTGCTACAACTGTGGCCAGAGCCTGGGTTGATGTTGGGTCACTCACTGTGGATAGAGGTGTCCAGTCTCAAAGAGGGAATGTCTGATTTCTCCCTCTTTCCATTTATCTATTTACATTTCTCCATCCACGTATGTAACGTTAGCATTAGTTGCAGGTGCACTGTATTCAATTCTGCCACCACTCCTAATCACAGTTAGCAAGGCATCAATCATTTCAAGCTGTGTATGAAAGTTGTCTCCTCCTCCAACCCAGAAAGAAATCATTGGTATACTCTGAAGGCAGAATGCTGACCCAACTTTTCCACACATGTGCTTGAACCATTCTATCATCCCTACTGGTTCCATCCTATGAAAGTGGCAAGAACTGAAAATAAGTTCATAATCACCAAAATAAGGAGCTTGAAACATGCAAAACTCTCCTGCTACATCTGTTTATAGGGTGTTATAACCTGTGCACTACTGTACCCTGTCATGCTATTCCAAGCCCACAAAGCTGCCACCATCTTCTACTAACAATTATCTTTAGCTGGGTTCTTTCATTTAGGACGTTGGTTTTATTCTGTGGATGGGGAGAACACTTGGTTTGCTTCTCAGCTAGTGTGGTCCTAGAAATGAAAATACCCACATTCAGAAAGGTGGTTTTCCCCATAGTTCTCCACTTTTCAACTTTCCTTCACAGCAGATTGAGCACAGAGTATCCTAAGGAGAACACACTCACCAGTTAAAAGTGCTTGACAATATTATTTTCTCTCTCTCTCTTTGTGTGTGGATATTTTATAGCTATTGCTTAAATGATCAGTAGATCAAACTGCTTTAATAATTGATTCAAAAGCATATTAAAGTACATTAGTAGCAAATTACTTTCAGAATGGTTAGTAAGAACCCTATTAAAATAAAACAGATCTTGTTGAAGCAAATGACTATGCTAATGGGTTTAAGGTACCGTGGACAAGTTATAAATCGCCGTGTAACTATGAAGCTGATACAAGGCTTTAAACGGCATTGTGGAAAATGAAATGTTCACTGTTTCAGGGAAGGATATCAAAATCTATGCAGAAAGGCTTTGAGCCTTGTGGTTCTTTAAATATTGGTGCTGATCATGAGTGAATATTGCATTTAGAGTTCGGTCACGCAGGGTTCTTTTTTTTCTTTTTCTTTTTGACAAAGCAAAACTCCTACACAAACCACTGGGAACGATGCCTCAGTGTGGACTATTGAATCAAGCTCCTTTCTGTTTCCAATATTAAGTAATGTGTGAGTGAATATCAAGGTGGTGAATCAAGCCTACCCGAGGAAAGCCTGGGGGCATGATGACTTAAGATAATAATGGGTTGTCTTTGGACACTCATTGTATAATAGAACTATGTGCTCAAATTTGAGAAACCTCCGAGGGGTTCTTTTTATGAATCCCGCTGGAGCAATTTCACATTACCAAGAAGGTTGAGACAGCAACAGTTCTATAAAGTTGTAGCAGTGAGAGGCTCTCTCCAGCATTCTGAAATCTTTGGCTTTATGAAGGCTACAGAGAAGCAGCTCCATGGAAAAGGCTACCTTGACGAAGACCTTCTACCTTCAAATGCTGCTCTCTCACTTTCAAGCATGGACAAAAAGGTAACATACATAATTTAGTGTTTCTGTTTTAGGGCAAGATAATTCCTAGTTAAAGGGAAATGTAGTATCTGAGCTGCTGCTTGTTCGGCAGCTGAGTAACTTCTCTGTAGAATATGATTTGCATCTCTGTTTAAACGTCTGATCAAAAACAACTCTGAAATATTGCCTAAGTAACTGTATTAACACTGGCAAATTAAGGGTCAATGTAACTATAATCTCGCTCCTTTAAAATCCCTGTGGGTGTCCTCATTGACTTCAGAGAAACTGAAGGACTGCACCCTGTGTAATTTGAGAAATCACTTACTGGTTTGCTAGCACAGAGATGTGTTGCATGGTTTGCCGTCTTTTTGTTTTTCTCATTGCCTACCCAAGATTATGCAAAGTTTGTTCATCATGCAGTGAGCCATCATTTTTTGTTTGCAATTCATTTTTAGGCATCCCTGGGGTCAAATAGTTTTCTAGTACAAGAGAAGCGGTTAACATTACAAATGACCAGGCAAAGCTCAGCTGTATTACAGAGAGGGTAGTGTCTGAAACAAGGAGTAATGTGGTAACTGAAGTAAAGATGGTGAAGTTTTTACATATGCTAGAAGGCACTCAGAGTGGCTGGGGCAACTCAAATGGGAGGGGTACAAATAATAGATTTTTTGTTGTTTGTTCATTTGATCAAATGAGTCAGGTTTTCAATCATGTTTCCTGCTCTGCATTTTATAAAGCTGTCTGGATATTTATTATAAAAGAAATGTTTCTCTGTGGGAGATTAGAATGTTACACTCAGTTCCACTGAACTTGGTAACAGGCGTTAACCTAGAAAAAAACAAAACCCTCTATTCAAACCACAGTTCAAGCATATTTTGGACTTCATCTACAGTTTATCATATGCTGAAAATCTAGCCCGGAACATGTGCATTGATTTATATATAATGGTGAGTCTTAACAAGCAGACAGATGGTTCCATCTTGTCGCTTCTAGTTGTTTTGTCAGTGTCATATGCTAAAACAGCATCCAGCACTTGACAAAGTATAGTACCACCATATAGCTATGCTCCGCTTGCTACGTGTGGTACACAAGACCTCTGTGCTTTTTGCTTATTGTCAGAATTTCCCAGCATAGCTTCACACTAATACTACTAGCATGAGGCATTATCCTATTTCCAAGGTAACAAGCCTTACTGAAGCAAAGTCAATTGTGAATTAACTGGGAATTTGAGATTTACAGCTGAAAATGCCTGTTCTTCTGGAAGCAATTTAAGATAACAGCAGAGAGCGTTGTGATTTGGTGCCACAAAAGAGGTGAAAGGGAAAGAAAGGCAGAGATAAAGTTATCATCAGCTGGCTAGCTGCATAGTATTTTATTATAGGACTTCAAGTAAAACATATGTCACCCCCTTGAATCCAGTGCTTATAAATGTTCTGCAGAAGATGAGCTTTACAATTACTTGATGAACTTTAAAGTTACTGATACAGAGACAGCCACTGTGGTGCTGTGCAGATGATGATAGGCTAAAACTCCCACTCAATACTAGCCAGCATGGCCAATGATCAGGGATGATGGGAGTTGTAGTCCATCAACATATGTCAGGCACCGTGTTGCCAATAGTCTGGATATTAGAATTTAAAATACTAGCCTGGAGTTGGCTCCAGTACCCTCAATAGTTGTGCAACAGCTGTGACAATTGCAGCAGGAGGCTTGATCTCTTTTATCTCTTTCTCAAAAGGATAAATTCGCAACATTTGGTAGACCCATGCCTTTGTCAATTACCAGGCAGGTGCGCCAGCCCCAAGTGCAGACTTGTACCTGCAGCTTTTGGAAGCAGCCCAATCTGTTTCAGAGCCAGTCTAGTTATTCATGACCGAATTAGATTCTGGGGGGAAGAGCATGGTTTCCCCAGAAACACTTGGGTGCAGGGCATGTCACTTTCTACCAAGGACCTCTTTAGGATTCTTGGTCAGTAGTGGGCTTCCATGACCTCCCACAGATTTTGGAGATTCAGTGTCTTCTCTCTGGGAGAGAAAGCACTCTCCATTGACATGCATGGGGAAAGAGAGGTGAAAATGTCACGCGTAAATTGTTACCCAAAGGATCATTGACAGGGGGTGGGCTTCTGCTCTCTCAGTGGATTTGGAGGGATACAATAGAGAAAATAGGAGAAGGCATAGATTAAATGAAAAACAGTTTTTAGTCCCTCACCACACTGTGCCTGGGGAATGTTTGCCCTGGGAAAATAATTCACTGTGGATAAAAGCTAGACCTGTCCATCAAGACAAAAAAACTCCCTCATCTATTAAGCTCTGGGAATTTTCCCAGTCAGTCAGCTTCATTTTGTTTCTAGGGGGGGTGGGGGATACAATTTTTGTGCATTTTTTGTGCACTTTTTGAACAGGGAAGACCACTGAGCTTTTCAGAAGGTTAAAGAGCACCTGATCTGACTCAATACACCTTATTAATGGTGCAATCTGATTTAGGAATATGAGGACCTTTCCCAAATCACTCCAGCTTACCCAGAGCTGATGCATACCCTTACCAATTACATAGCAACACTTTTAGATTTGCAGTATGTTAGGTATTCGCCTTGTAAGTATACCAAATATTGAGATAAATGTGTGGAATATTGTCTCATGGTCTTGTCATAATCAGAATATGGACCATTTTCCCAGACCAAGTTCAAAGATAAATAGTACATGGTTTTGAGGGTGATCTTTGTTCAGCCCGTGCTCAAATGTTTCCAAGATTCACAGTCCATTTTATCATTAGTAAAATGGCATAGTTTGCTATCATTAGGATAGTGTGCAAAGAATAGATTAGAAAATTCACGACTTGCCAGTCTCCTAGTTCTAAATGACCCGTGGACTGAATAAAAAACTGCAATCAGCATCATAAAGCAGAAATGCTCAGCCCCTGAAACAAGTAAAGTAATGAAAATGAAGAGAATATGGGCAGAATGTATCTATATCTATCTGTCTCTTTCTCTGGTGTGGCAGGAGAAAACAGCAAGTTTGGTGGGAAGATTCAAGAAACATTTAAACGTTATAGTATAGTATAAACACATTTATTTGCAGAATAGATATATATCTTTTCAAAATCTAAGCAGGAGTATAAAGTGATACTGAGGACTATCCTAGTTGTTTTTCAATGTATTTATAAATAATAAATTTGATGCAGCATAAGCAATTTTTTATTTTGAAAGTGTGTCCCAGATAAAAGTTTGAGAACCACTGAGCTAGAGGCTGCAGAGGTTTCCTTAGTACCAAATCAATTCACCAATCATCCATTGTTCTGCAGGAAACAGTCACAAAACACAGGATCAGAGTCTGATGCATGACAGGCAAACATGGGGACAATGTTTGCATGACAGGCAAACAACTGTTTTGACACCATGCTCTATGTGATTTTCCTCCCAAATTGATGGTCTACCAAAGATTAACAGGCAGATGGGATCATATTTATTCATCTCATTGTTGAGCCATGACAAGCACTATGTCACACATCTGTTTTCAGCAACTCGGGATTAGTTAGGCCAGAGGGTCCTGTGCCTATGGATTTAGAAGTTAAGCATGATTTAGAATATCGCCTTCAGTCTGGGACACTGCAGACAGCAGTGCGAAGTCTGAAGTCAGTTTGTAGAGACTTTGATTAATCACCCAGGTGACAATATCTGTCCGTCCTTTGTTTCAAATTAGTGCCTTGCATGAAACTTACAAATTACTAACCTGGCTGCTGTCCAACCAGTGATGTCTTAGCATAGCTAAAATATAGCGGGAAAATGGATTTAATGTTGCATTGATTACATGGTAGTACAGGCGAAAAGGCTATCTGAGAACACCCGTTGCAGATTCTGTTATTGAGTTCATTATCACATATAACAGGAATGCTGGTATTTAGATCAATAAGTTATAATAAAGAGAACCTCAGCAACATAGGTCTTCTAATGCTGCAACCACCCTGCCACTTGCTATCCCCCCCCCTCCATCTGACGTGAAGCATATCCAAGAAAGTCCACTTGATCAATAAAGAGCCAAAGGCATATCAAAGCTGTAGGAATCTTATCTACGAAGTGGACCTTTGATATATTGGTCATTTTTTCTTTCATTCTTTTACTATGCATTGCATGTAACTTTTCTATTAGGATTAATGTTCAATCAGGAGTGTGGAACAAAAAAGGATTGATTTTTATAACAGCAATGACATTGCTCTTACCTCTTACAAAAAGAATAGGAATTCTGCAAATGTCATGCTAGTTCAGGTGGTGTGTACATTTTACTATATTCAATTTCTTTTGTTAGCAAGTGTGATGCAGTGTTGACATTTTGGAAGCCAAATAAAGGCCTTTCCCAATGAGTAAATACATTGCTTTCCCCTTAATCTAACACTTGTGCTACCTTGATTCAGGATCAGCCATACAACATCTCACCCTCAACTAACAGCCAGGAATAACTGGGCTGCAGGAATAGTGTATATTGTGATACACTTAGAAGGGTGGGGGAGAGATGTGTGGTACAATGCTGGAGAAGGGCATCTTTAAGAATGAAAAGAAGGAAATTTACAAAAAGAAAACGATAGAAGAAGAGGTTCGCATAACAGAGGTGTTTCGCTGTGAGAAAGAGTTGACAGCTGTGCTATTTGAGGCTGTCATGGCCTTCTGTTCCAAATAACCTCTAACCCAATCAAATTAAAATTTACTGTACTGCAAAGAAATGCCTTACAATGCATCGGAGGGACTAAAGAGATCTACAAAGATACTATGCAGTATAGTGGTACCTCGGGTTAAGTACTTAATTCGTTCCGGAGGTCCGTTCTTAACCTGAAACTGTTCTTAACCTGAAGCACCACTTTAGCTAATGGGGCCTCCTGCTGCTGCCGCGCTGCCAGAGCACAATTTCTGTTTTCATCCTGAAGCAAAGTTCTTAACCCAAGGTACTATTTCTGGGTTAGTGGAGTCTGTAACCTGAAGCGTATGTAACCTGAAGTGTATGTAACCCGAGGTACCACTGTACATAAATGTGACTTACAAAACCATTGCATGTCTTAATTTAGTATATCTCTACCACCAAACAGTTCAATGGTCAGCGTTTGAGAACGATACCACTGAAAATGAGGCTACTTTACGAATCACATACTGATTCGTATCTCTGGGCAAATAAATGAAGCTTAAACTTTACAGGCCAATCTGCCATACTCACTGGTGTGGCCAGACTTTGCCAGCCTCCGCATTGCGTTGCTCCTCTGCTTCTCAGTAAGTGGTAGCAACCTTGCTGCTGGGAAGCTAACACAGTGGGTCTGCCCCACTGGATGTGATGCTTCTGGTTCACATCCTAATTAGTGTGTTTAAAATGGCAGCCATAGAGTTAAAGGTAAAGGTAAAGGTACCCCTGCCCGTACGGGCCAGTCTTGACAGACTCTAGGGTTGTGCGCTCATCTCACTCTAGAGGCCGGGAGCCAGCGCTGTCCGCAGACACTTCCGGGTCACGTGGCCAGCGTGACGAAGCTGCTCTGGCGAACCGGCACCAGAGCAGCACACGGAAACGCCATTTACCTTCCTGCTATAAAGTGGTACCTATTCATCTACTTGCACTTAAGGGTGCTTTCGAACTGCTAGGTGGGCAGGAGCTGGGACCGAACGACGGGAGCTCACCCCGCCGCGGGGATTCGAACCGCCGACCATGCGATCGGCAAGTCCTAGGCGCTGAGGTTTTACCCACAGCGCCACCCGCGTCATAGAGTTAAGCTTGTTTTTAAATCCCTCTCACTGAACTCATTTGAATACTTTTCCATAGATTATGACTATTTTTATTGCTAGCTATTAATGGGAGCCTTGGGGGGGGACTGATGCACCACATTGCTCAATAAATTTTATTGTTCCATATGATATAGTTCAGTTGGAGTACTACTGAAAAGCGGGACCCTAAGATGGAGATGAGGAAAAGCCGAGGGCAAGAACCACTGACTAGCCTTAGAGTTACAACTGATGCATATTTAAGGATGCATCCTATATGCTAATAGCAAACTCATTCCCTGAGTGTGGATCTTGATACAGGTGATATAGTACCATTCCCAATAACATCACCTTTCTATAATGAACTATAATGAATGAAGTATCATACAAGATGGCATAACTGGCTGTCACCATAAGCAGCAAACATTTTAGTGGCAGTCCCACTTGTTTGCTTAGTTTTGGCCTTGCTCTAATCCAGACACATAGCTCTGGGTACACCACTTGTGAAACAAACAATTTTACCATATTTCATCCACACTCACCGTTATAGTCCGTTAAAGTGTCCTAATTTTCCAGGGACAGCCCCAGATTTACAGAAGCCATCCCAGTTTCTGATTTGATCCTGGAATGTCCCGTCTTTCCTTAGGATGTCCCTATTTTCAACAGAGAAATGTTGGAACGTATGGTAAGACCTCCCTGTTTTCATTGGAGAAATGTTGGAGGGTGTGGAGTTATCCAACCCTCAAGCCATCTGAAGGCAGCCCTATATAGGGAGGTTTTTTAATGTTTAATGTTTTATTATGTTTTTATATATATTGGAAGCCGCCCAGAGTGGCTGGGCCAACCCAGTCAAATGAGCAGGGTATAAACAGGAAAATTGTTGTTGTTGAATAGGATTTCTCATTTTCATCAGAGAAACAGTGGAGGGTATGCTGTTAAACAGCTCTACTGCACTCTTTGTTTATGGAGGACGGATACAATCCTTCGCTATTGATGCATGTTATACTGATAGGTATATATTTAAAAAGCTTACTGGTATCAAGAAACAAGATAGCAATCTGTTTTAAAAGTGCAATGAATTCCTAATCTGCTGTTCACCTCAGACTGCTAAGGTAGAATATACCTCAGTATCATCAACATTGCCGTTAATAGGAAATATATAAATGAAGTTTGAAGCAGAAGAGAGAGAGCCACTAACCCCCTTCTCCTTTATTCGTAGGCCAGACACTGTTTTAAGAAAGAGGATTTATTTATTAGTGGTGCTTATAGTTCCCTGATGTTTTACTGTGCAAAGGCCAACTGAATTTGCAGTAAAGCTTTATAGGAATTATATCAGCAGCAGCTGTATACAATGGGTTTGGAATATATCAAGTGTCCTTGCCCGTCCTTGATATATTCCAAACACTGTATGTGATTTTCCCTACAGAGTTGCAGCGACTTGCTGTTGTTAATACCTCATACAAAGGGCAGTGAATATTTCTGAAGAGCTTGGAAACATGTGAACATTATTGTTATTAGTAGTAGAAGAAGAAGAAGAAGCAGGAATGACCCGAAGCGACGTACCAAAATAGTATAAACACTAAAACTGAGTGTAACAAACACAACTAAATCTGCATCGGCATATTTTCACATTAATCTGCAATGGAAAGAAGTATGCATGAAATTGAAAGACATACTTCTGGATGCAGTTTTTCTATAAAATGTGTATATGTAAATTTATTCCCACTCAATATGCATGTTTCTTGATTTTTTTAATCTGAATAATAACTATGTTTTCATTTGCAACATTCATCTGGAAGGTGTGGATCAAGTCAAGTTTGTACAGAAATTCACAAAGACCTTAAGAACATAAGAATAGCCTGCTGGTTCAGGCCTATCTAGTCCAACATTCTGTTCTCACAGTGGCCAACCAGATGCCTATGGGAAACCAGGGAGCAGAACATCAGCACAAGAGCCCTCTTCTCTCACATGGTTTCCAGCAGCTGGTATTCAGAAACATTGCTGTCTCCAACTGCGGAGGTAGAACTCAGCCATCATGTCTGGTAGCAATTGCTAGCCCTCTCCTCCATGAATTTGTCCAGTCCACCGACCATTCAAGTTGGTGGCCATCACTGCCTCCTGGGGGAACGAGCTCCAATATTTGGCTCTGCACTGCATAAAGTACTTTCTTTCATCTGTCCTAATCTTCTAACATTCAGCTTCTTCAAACTGTGTTCTTCAAGCACCTCTAGATGCATGGGGTTTTTTTTAGAAACCAAAGAGTTGTTTCAGTGTTTAGGGCAAGAGATGTAATGTACAGTTAAAAATGGGTAGGCAGGAAATGTAAAATCGAGGTGGTTGCTCTATGCACACTTGCCAAAGGGTTAAGGCCCACTGAATTAATTTCCAATGGAATTTACATGCTTAGGACTGCAGTGCCCATAGCCTGATCAGCAGCTAGTACTAATATTAGTGTTTCTAGTGTTTATATTTGACAATTCTTGGACTGCACCGTGACTTTTGGTTTCATAAGCTTTTAGAGAGCATGGCGTAGAGACCAGGCTGTTGCATGATATGCACTTAGGCATAAAATATAGACATATTGCTAGGAACTTGCATATATTAAGAGACATCATGAGCTATTAAATATATTTGGCAGCTCTATTCTGTAATAGTAATGAGGAGCGACTGCCTTCTGCTACTACCTAAACTGTTCCAGCCACTGACCCTTGTTAGTTAAAACAGAAATGGATATGTATCACTATGCAAAAGACAAATGGGGCTGCAAGCGTATGCACACTTACAAGGGAGTAAGTACCATGGAAGTCAGTTAGATTTATTTCAGAGTAAACATATTTAGGATTCTTTTGTTCATTTCATAATGAGCTGCAGCAAACCTTTTTGGGGAAAATAAATCATACTTACAATAGTAATAGTAATAATAATAAAAAAATTCTTGGACAATTCCCTAAAAAGCCCATCTGTCTTCTGTGAGTTCTCTCTCAGCTCTCACTGCCAGAGCAGTCTTTTTGGTTTCACTTTGTTTACACCATTGTCAAAATCCATCAGTGATACTGTGGTTGCCCCCTGCATCGCAAATGCTGCATTGAGTGCGGATTGGGACCAAATAACTCCCAAATGCCCTTTGAACTCTACAGTTATATCATGCCATAAAAGTACCCCCTTTTTCTGTGAGTTTTCAGTGCCCACTCAAAATTCCATAAATTTGTGTGTGTTTTTGTCTGCAGCATTCTTTAAAAAAAGTCTTCTGGGTTTGGCCATCAGGGCTTAATTTTACCATTTGGGCAAAGTGAATTTCTCATGTCCCTCATCCATGCCCATAGCAGTCCTTAAAAAAAATCTTCTGGACTATGATACTATGTTTAAACACACCCCCACACACCCATCCCCACTTTTTGTCTTTATTTTTCTTTCAGAATGACATGAGTGCCCTAGCAACATCAGGTCTCTTCTTCAAGGATGGCAAAAAACGTATTGATTACATTTTGGTCTATAAAAAGTCCAGTCCACAAATAGAGAAACGGAGCACTTTTGAAAAGAACCTTCGGGCAGAAGGACTGATGTTAGAAAGAGAGGTATGTTACATTTTCCACCTTTCTGCAGAGACTTATTCTGAATAGAAGAACCACATCTTTAGCGCCATCTGAGGCTGTGTTCGCACGGCAGTTTGTTCTGTTTTCAGTTCCACATTAAGATCCGCATTATATTTGAGCCTCCACATGATATCAAAACCACTTTTGTGGAACAGTAGATTGCTAAGAACCCATAGAAGCATGCAGAGACATTCAGTGGGGGGCAGGAGGACATAAGCACTGCAAAAAGAATTTCTGGAAGGGGTCAGGCTCATATGTTACATCTGCCCACATTAAGAGAGGGCTGGCCATACTCCATCCACAGGTGAGCCTTGTTCTCAAGACACTAATGGCCTCATCCTTGAAGATGGCTCAGATAAGACAGCTGGCCTCTTACTTTCAGACAGCTGTGTTTAATCCCAGCTGCAGTGCATGGCAAGCTGAAATTTCCATAACCACAGGGTTCAAACTTAAAGGCCAAGTTTGACACAAAAGTCAGTGCCCACCTGGATTTGGAACATTAATCAATTCTATTTGGTTACTTTTTCAGCCAGCTGTTACAAACCATGATATTATGTTTGTTAAAATTCATTGTCCTTGGGATACATTGTGCAAATACGCTGAAAGAATGAACATCAGGATGCCTTTCCGGTAATATGAAATATTTCATTTTTAAAAAATTTACTTAACCAGTTTTTTTAATGAATGTATTAATGAAATATGCTTTACTAGATTTTTTTTAAAAAAATTACAGTCGTGCTTCCATAAGTTTTCTTGAATATATGGTTGTTTTCTAGAAATATGCGATACAACCGCATGCAAAGTTACAGTGATCACAGTTATTTTATTAACTCAGAGAAGGTGTGGCAAGGGTTAGAGGGTTGGACTAAACCCGGTAGACCGGGGTTCTAATCTGCACTGTATGAAGCTCACTGAGTGACATTGAGCCTGTCACTGTCTCTTAGCCTATCTCATAAGATTGTTCTGAGGATGAAATAGGGGGAGGGAGAAACCATCTTGAGCTCCTTGGACCTTGGAGGAAAGATGGAACATAAATGAAATATTAATTAATATTTGCAAGGACATCAATAGTTTTAGGAATAGAGTCTTTCTACTGTTAGATCTCTAGAGGTGGATTCAGATCATTATTTGTTCTGATAACTGACCTAATGAAACTTTGTGTGTGGCTGGGATAGGTGACCAGTTTTTGAATACTCCAAGTTTTCAGACACATGGAAAGATCTTAGCCCACCAATTTTTTAAAACTGGGCGAAGTCTAGATTGTGTTGCAAGATAGAGCTAGTCTAGTTTTTTGTCATGGCTAATTTAATTCCCATGAGTTTCAGTAGGAATTAAAACTAAACAAGGTGTACAGACATTCTTCCCCAGGCTTACACTGTGTGTTTGTGTGTGTGCAACACTGGCCACACACATCTCAAAACTCAAATTCACATCTCTTCAGAGGCTGTGAATTTGGCGCCAATGAGAAAGGGTCCTAAGTACTTATTTATCTACTCTGTTGTTTGGTCAAAAAGGCTTTCCTGCACTCGGGCTTAGAACCTCCAAAAAACACAACACAAAAGGAAACAAAGAGGAAGGGTAAAACCAAGTTCAGGCACCAGTTCTTAAAGTTACTCCAGTGTACAGCTGTTCACACATATGCCTCTTCTTCATAGTTAAGGACCCCAATGAGGTTGTGAATCTGCAACATGTTAGAGCTTCAACAAACTGGTCAGCACCAAAAGAGTCACCACTTTCTGCCTCTTTGTCTACCCTTCCATGTCCACAGAAAATAGGCCCTACCTATTATGGCAACAAATCAAACACTAAGGAATACATTATCTGCATTCTAGGAGGGAGCTAGGATTGGCAGAGGACTCCCTCCTCCATGATGGAAACCCCCATTACACCTATTGAAGGCATAGGCTGTGTGAGGGCTACTAGAAATGCTGTTCCTATTATCCAGATGTGACAATCAGCAGAGGAAATAGAAGCCAAACTGACTGTTTTCCACATTCCTCTGTCACTTGCAATGATTATAGATTCACATAAAGCCTGCACAACTTGAATCCAAGTTTCCGCCTTGGATCTGATGACTTTGCACTACCAGACGAATGAGGAAGATGACCCATTTTCATTCGGCCCTCTAGGATCATCACATGCAAAACTCTCTTTAGCTACAAGCTTCTGAAAGTTAAATAACCCAAACTGCTTCCCCTCACCCTGCTCCCATTTAATCCAGTTTAATCCCTAGGGAGCAAAGCAGGATAGTTATAGCTGCTGACTCAAGCAGATTGGCTGCAGTCCAGAGCCCATTTACTCCTGAGCAGTAGTATTAAACTCAGTGTGATTCTTCCAGAACTGAATGGGTTATGGATTAGACCAATTGTCAGAAAATGAGCCATCAGTTCAAAAAAGACAGCAAATCATTTTCAGCAAGTGACTACAATGGTCGTCAGCAATCCTGTAAACAATTTGGTATTTTTATCATATTTACTTCAGCAATGGGAGAATGGGAACAAAAGTAAAACAAGGAAACTCACAATGAAAGTGTTTGAATGCAGGGCTTGCTCTTAGAAGTCTTTCCTGCTTTGATCTATGAGGAACTTTTTGTACAATGTGAGCTGTTTCATGCATATGGAAGAGCACAAAAAGTAACACTTTGGTAACTAATCCAGCAGCTTTTATGCTTTAAAAGCTGTCCGCGCTTAAGAGCCTGTGCAACTCACTGTGTGACCTTGGATTAGTCTTTCTCCCAGGGTGTTTTGAAACTGTGCACCTCCTGGGAGGATGCATCCATGTCAGCTCCTGTACACAGTCAAGAATCCCAATCCACTTTCAAATGTCAGCCTGAATGCACGGTCATTGGAGGTGCTGCAGGATGTCAGGAACAAGGCTATCAGGCATGGTCTATCGTCCCTTTCACATCTTAGATGTCTGCACGGAGGGGGTGATCTGAACACCCCTTAGGACAGCAGTCAAAATGAAGACCGTGCTATGGTGTTATCTGAGAATTTCCCATCACGTAGCTATTTTTCTTCTTACAAAGGACTCATATGGAAAACTAGACATTTACAATACAATGACTTGTTGCCTTTGCGTCAAAGAGACTATTGGCTCATGTTTTGAACTATAGGGAGATTTGTTTGTTTGTTTATGCTAATGGATTTCCAACCTGTCCATCATAAGATTCCAAGGCACATTACAATATAAAAATGCTGCATTTAAATCAGTTTAGAACAATGACTTCCTGCTACTTCTGATTCTTGCTACAATTGTCTGCTTCTGCTTCTTCTTCCTTCCTCCTTTTCCCCTCCTATTTTCTTCCAACCTTCTGCTATTCCCACCTTTGTGCATCAAAAGCCTTTGGTGACTATATCTGTGCAACGATGATTCAGACCAGCATTATCCTATTCATGTGAAGGGGCTGAAGATATGCTGCTGCCCCCACACCTGATTTCCTGGCCCAACTCCTTAACCAATCCATGCCTTGAGCAGCTGAAGAATGAGGGCCTATGCAGATGGACTTCTATGCGATCTGAATTCTCTGTACACTCAGAATTCAAAACCATACAGCAGCTCACACATATAGAATGCTACACACGAAGGCCTCCCCACATCAGACAGATGTGTGGACATTGCCAGTGGGAGAAGATAACAGTGTGACACTGTGGTGGTGCCTGCAAAATGGCTTCTTCTGCTCCTTCTTCACATCAGTATAGGGTCTGAGAAGGAAAATACTGTGTGTGACACAACGGCATAGCTAGCCACTCGGGTGCCCGGGGTAGCACACGCGCTCTGCACCTGGGAGCAGAGTGAGCCCCCATGGGGGCAGGGCAAACCAGGTCAGGGTGTACTGTGCAAAGCCTCTCTGTCACCTCCCCCTCAGCTGTAGGTCGGCTGAGGGGGAGATGGTGGGAAGATGCAAGCCCCGTGCTGCTCTTTCAGGCAGCGTGGAGCCTACAGCCGCCCAAGCCACCACATCACTCCCAGGATTGATGTGTGGCTCAGGCACGCTACAGGCCCCATGGTAAGTGCCGGCCCCTGCGGTGTGGCGCCCAGTGCCAGCCGCGTTTTGTTGTTTGTTGACTGAACTAAAAAGTTTCGTGAGGGGGCCCCCATTTTTTATTTTAAAAAACTCATATTTTTGCCATTTTGTCACCCCCCCCTCAGTGATGACACCCAGGGCAGACTGCATCCACCATGCACCCCTTTCTGTGCCACTGGTGTGACAGATAACATGCCCATTACGCCAACAGGGATAGGGAAGAAGTTCATTCAGGACCAGAGCTGAGAAGCAACAGGTTTCCAAGTCAGCTTGAGATTGTTCAGACAGCTGCAGGCCACCTGAATTGCTAGTTGCCCTTGCCCATCTCCTTATCTCTAATTTGATAGCCTGGTCCAATGGACCAAGCCAGCAAATGGCACAGATGCAAGGCCTTTTGCAAGCTAAACTGGAGAACTCTCTGTAGGAAAGATGGGAACTGGGATATAGATTAAATTAAACTGAGCAGATGTTATTTGTCAAGAAGAGATGGTCTGCCTTGCTTCACTTGCCATTAAAGCTGCTTATTTCTGGGGAAGAGTGTTGCACGATTGAGTTGCTGTTCTTGGCTGATAAATGGCTCATAGGATGACAAAAAGAAAGATAGGAAGAGGTAGTACTGTCTCTTCCTTCCCAATGTACAAAACCCCCTTTTCAGCTCTGCTGTGCAGAGATGGGTCTCACAGACTAGGGCATCAGTCTTCAGCACTGGCAGCTGGTCTGACCACAGAGTTTAAGTTAGATGAGAGCCCAGACATGGTAAAATGGTAAAATGGATAAATTGTCCTTTCTTCAGTTCTGAGCTCCATATACTCTTATATGATTCACCGTCCCTTCTATGTTTAGATTTTTTTTTAAAAAAAACCCACATAAGGTAGCAAGCAATGAAATCCAAATAGAAAATAACTGATTGACATAATAAAGAATCAATACCACAGCAAAACTGTATAAAATCGCATAAAATAAAAAGTTTTAAAAGCGCCCAGTTAAAACATAATTAAATTAAAAATACACATTAGGCTATCCAACTTGGTTGTACTCAGAGTAGACCAACTTCAATTAATTGACTGAAGTTAGTCATTAATTTCAATCAGTTTATTCTATGAAAAGCATATTGGATGAAATCCATCTGTCATTTTTGTAAGTGCTTATTTTCAAGTGTGATTTGGTCTAAATAAAATCTATGATTTGAATTCTGCTAGACTTTGTCCATCCTTCCAGCTAAGTAGCAGCATCAGCGGGGGATATATATATATATATATATATATATATATATATATATATATAGCTATTAATTAGTATAAGGCAGAATTCCAATATTACAAAGAAACTATGAAGTTTGTGTTTACAGTGTGCCTCATGAATAGCTTTCTCTCCCCCCCCTATATATATATCCTCAGTGAAAATTGCAGAGATAATTGCATGACTTTCAAAAAAAAAAAAAAAAACCTCAGGCATTACTGTAGTCATTTAAGGGTAGCAAAAAAATATTGAAATAGAAAAGCAATCATTTCCAGTTCCTTCATACAGCCATCTGCTGTCCACAGTTGTGTGCAAAATATCAGCTGATATAATGACAATAACATTAAGAAATCAGTGTGCAAATGAATGGGGAAAGATCTATAGTCTCTGGGATTTCTGAAGCTGTAACTTCTTAGTGCATGTTAAATCTTTAAACTATACTATCGATATGTACTATAATTTTAGCCAAGGTTTTCCAAGTTAATGGTTTTAAAGATATTTGATTGCCTTTGGATCTGTGATTTGTTGCACCTTTATTTTGTAAATCTGCTTGTGACAAAACACTATGGTCTATTTCCTAAGTCTTCTTCCTTCTCCTTTGTATGCAACTGTTCTCAGATTATTTCTGCTATTCTTACAGGAAAAAATGTTATTACACTGACTGGAGGAGCAAAACCATGGGCAGGTTGGTGGGTGATATGTAGCTTTTCATTTTGCCAGATAGTCACCCTGCTTAAAACCAATCCATCCTAGCAGTTGTAAATTTATTACAGAGGACCTTAAACAAGTTAATGGAAGCAGTAGACCTTGGCTGATTGTTTGTGTATACGGTGGTGTTGCTTTAAAAAAGAAAGAAAGAAAGAAAGAAAATGCAGGGTGTCATTACTCTTACAAAAAGATGGTGGCATCCAAGACTCTGAAAGAGCTTTTGGGAACCCTCTATTTTTGACACTATCATGGAGTCAGATCCTGAGAATGGTGCAGAATCTTGCAGATTACTTTCCTGTACACACACACACCTGAAGCCCTCTATGCTCACAGAAAAGCCTCCCCAGGGATCCCCAAAATTGGGAGGAAACACTGGGAAACAGAGCAGCACTCATGCAATATGTCTCCATCCAATTTTGGCCAGTTCATCCCTTCCCCAGCAGCCCCCTCCCCTTCCCACACCATTCAAGAGGGAGCCTCAACTCTCCAAAAAGCTCAACAGGGGAAGGAGAGGATGCTAAAGACTTCTTCAACCAGCTTCCTTCTGCCCACGGCTCTCAGGATCCAACCCACCATCTTTCTTAGTCCTGCTGCCTAAGAACCTTTTTCTGTACAAAAAGCATGGAGTTTAGTGCTGTGCTGAAAAGTTCTCTTTGTTTGTGTGCTCTCTATTTTCCATCGATTAATGAGAAAAGATATTGCATTCAAAAATGATCAAAGGCACAGGAAACGTTAGGTGAAATTCTTGTGTATGGTTGCAGGTTATATAATTCTCATGAATGGTTACATAATTTTGAGGTGAGTAGCCTTCCTTTCGTTCTGGAAATCATCTTACTGGTGGTTTGCACTCTGCAGCCTTCCTGGATGTCTGTTTCTTAGTTAGCCCAAGACATCTTTAGATAAATCATCCTCCAGATTTAAATATTCAATAGCAACACCCTGAAATATTTTATTGTGTAAATTTACAACTGCTTATCTCCTCTCCCCAGTCATGCACGTGCTTGCTTTGCATCAAATACATTACAAATACATACATAGATATATAAAAATATAGTTCGCTTTGTATGGTATGTGAATTGTAATAGGGTTTCCCCCATCCATCCCAAACATCCAGACGTGGAGATATATTCCTGTTGTATTAACAACTATTACTTACCTTGATTATGGTTTAGTTTTTTCCAATGGAGCTGTGTGGTGGCAAATTTACAGATAATGAAATCACAATGCCTAAGTGTGCTGGTGGCTTCTTTTTATTAACATTGCTCTATAAAGCTCTTGATTCTCAGTGTGAGGCAGAACTCCCAAAGGATAATCACAGTCAGATGAAATTCTCCTTGACCTTTCTCAGTTCCAGAGCCACAGCCACATGGGGCCTGGCCCCCTTTGAAATATTCAAGCTACCCTTTCTGAATTTTAAGCTTTCACATTCATTTTTTTTAAAAAAAATCTGTGGAGAAAAGGATTGAGGCAATATTACACTCAATCAAGGAAAAGTAAGAGGTAAACACCGGGTGAAATTAATAGGGCTGATCAATTAAAGAAGATTGGTTAATCATACGGGTTTTAGTCTATTAATCTATTTGTCATATTTGTATAAATACTTCTGAAGCATACTTTAGAGCATAAGAAAAGCCCTGCTAAATCAGACTAAAGGCCTACATAGTCCAGTATTTTGCAGTCACCGTGGCCAACCAGATGTCTATGGAAAACCCACAAGCAGAACATTAGCACAACAGCACTCTCCTGCTCATAATCCCCAGAAACTACTATTCAGGGGCACAAGATCTCTGATCTTGGAGGAATCATATAGTAATCATACTTAAGTAGCCAATGATAGTCCTACCCACCATGAAGTTAAGTCCTTACCGCATCTTGTGGTGTCAAATTTATCTTGACAAAAATGGCTGGTGGTTGTGTGGATAGCCTGGCCCTGAGGTGAACCTGTACACACCATTGTGAAGTGATAATCCAAATTGGCTTAACCATAAAGAAGCCAACCAAATTTGAAACCAACCTTCCACCACTTTCTCACCAGAGAATCCAGGTATCCTGGTTTCATCTTACGGCCAGTTCATGTGACTTAACTGTTGTGGCAACATTCATGAACTGTTTACCAAGTGAAAAGATGTCCACCAGCTTTTGGGGATGATGGAAGCCTACTGCTCACTACAGCCGATCTGGAGTTCCACACAACCATCTTATTACTTTGGCCATAAACTAGTGAAATCAGTCTGCATGGGCAATTGGGCTTTCCTTGTGATATCTTGGGAGGCAGTAAAGAGTTGCCTATGCTTGTGGTTCTTTCCTTTTATATCTAACAGGGCCAACCCTCTGCCCTCACAGGGCTGTTTCTTATTTTCTTACTATATCTCTAGTCAATGAGTTTAGGAAGGTCTTCCCTTCAAGTTGTGAATATTGGTATTCTCATCTGATATTTGTATATGTAACACACATCCTACTTGCAAAAATTGCACCCTGACTTTAAAATGCAAATGTGAGAAGTGACTTAAAAGTGACTAACTGGACATTTTAAAAAAGGTAAAGGACCCCTGAAACCAGAGCAGTGCACGGAAACACCGTTGACCTTCCCGCTGGAGCGGTACCTATTTATCTATTTGTACTTTGATGTGCTTTCGAACTGCTAGCTTGGCAGGAGCTGGGACCGAGCAACGGGAGCTCACCCCATCATAGGGATTCGAACTGCCAACCTTCTGATTGGCAAGCCCAAGAGGCTCAGTGGTTTAGACCACAGCGCCACCTGCATCCCTAATTTGACATTAGTAGCTTCTTATACTGAATGTTATGCACCAGGAACATATTCCACTCACTTACATTATGCAACCATTTTCCATCATGTGTCCTTTTGTGCTCATTTGCATGTCATTATTAAAATGTTAACTTCATTTTAAAAAAGAAATATATATATATATGCAGTTTTTGTTGCCCTGGGCTGCTTTGGGAGGAAGAGTGAGCCATGAATGTAAAAATAAATAAATGAATAAAAACTTGTACTTTCACTGCATATTTGACTAAAATAGCTGTACTTTACAAGATTCAACCATGGTGGTTGGCAAAGGCAGGAATACTGATACATTAAATAGTCAGGTGTGAAAGCTGGGAAGAGGAATTTGATGAGAATTTTAAATTTTAATTTAATTTTAAATGTTAACTTTGTTATTGCTCTGTTTATAAAAAAAAAACCCCACCCTAATCATCTTGTTTATAAGTTAATTTAATGTGTGTTGTTTCATTTATGCTGCTGTCTATTCAAGATACCTGAGAATACAGGCCTTGATCAAGAGAAGCATGTATGTAACTTTGTGAACCTAGCAGGGCTTTTAATATTTTTTGCCCTGTATTCTATGGCATTGCAAACTCATTCACCCCTAAATTTGCTCCAAAAGGGCATGGGGCTTGGTGCAAGCAAGCATGTACAAATCCTTCGAGGGCATTCAAGAAGTGTCATTTCCTACTTCCACTGCCTGAAGGCAAAGAAATATATCTTTGGGAAGACAGAGGGACAGCGTGCCCCTTTCCCACTGGGAACACCCATCCTCCCCAGTGTTAAAACTAATGCTGTGGGTGGCTCTGCCTTTAAGATGGAAGGCACAGCCAGGGCTGGCCCTAACATTGGAGAAAGTGAGGCAACCCTCATGATTCCTCCCCACAGGATTTCATTCTGTTGCCCCATTGCCTGTGGAGAGATAAGGCCCCCTATTTTGGGTAAAGATTTAACAATATTAATTATTAGTCTACAAAAGGGAGACCATAGTACATACAACAGAATCATTAAACCATGTGATATAATAAATAAATCTGCCAATACTTTTTTCTCATCAACTCTCTGTAATTTCTTATTCTTTTAAAAAATGGCACTCCTATTAAAAATAACTGAATAGAACTAACAGTAAAATTCTGTTTGTCTACTCAGAGGTAAGCCCTGCAGAGCTCAATGGGGCTAACCCAGTCTAGTTGGGAGCAAGTTCAGTTCAATTCAATACGACATACATGGTTACTTTAGTTATAAATGTTTGTAGAATTGCAGCCTCAGTGGCAAAGGCTCAAGACAATTAATTAAGTATGTCCTAGAGAACATCTATGTCCCATTTTCTGCATAAGGTTTCTGAGTTTTTCATGAAACAGAACATTGCATTTCTTTCTAAACAAATAATGAAATTTTGTAGCCTATAAAAGTTAACCAGTTTTCAGCAGTGCAAATAAAAAAGAGTTAATTTTGTTAAATCGTTAATGCAGTATGTTGTTATGGTTACCATTTACACATTTCAATTATCTTGGTCCTATTTATTTTCAATACATGCAGTATTGCATGTTTTGGTCTCTTATGTTTTGTTTTCTTTATATATAAATGATGGTTATGACCTTCTGGTTAAACTGAATTCATTCATTCATTCATACCTGAATCATTCTATGAAATAAAGTCCACAAGTAAACATACAGTCAATGAGCAATAATGTATGAAATGCAATGCGGAGAGCAATAATATCTACGGGTGCAATGTAGCCTTATATGGGTTTGGAAAAGATTTTAATGATATGTAGATTGCATCTTATACCGATGCAAATAAGATCACTTTCAGGACCCGATATTGAATTTTAGTGAAAGATTGCATTCCTTTTGTATTTAAATGGAAATTTTTCCTGGTTCAGTGCTTCTGGGGTGTACTCCTCATTATTTGAAATTGTTTCTTTCATTACCCCCAGTGAATTTATTAAGAGTGATGGCCCATTACAGCAAAGAAGTGTTACCTGTTTATTTGTTGCACTGATGTGCCAGTTGTACCTTATAAAGATGAATAAGCCATTCTGTTAAAAAGCACTGTCTAGAGTTCAAGCAAACAGCAGACTCAGACACTGCAGCACTGAATACCAACAGAGTGAGGGCAAGATATATGCAGAAGCAGGTATCTGTGCGTACGTCCCCTGACAGAGTTGGATCCTCCCCTCTCCCCACCCTTTACAATGTGCACGTTGTTCCCACTGCTGGGTGACTGCAACCAGTGCTTTGATCTTGGATGTGTTTTCCCCGACACTAGATCAGAAATGCAGTTCGTGTAAGCAAGTGCCAAGTGTTGCACGTCAGGGCAAAGTAAATAAATAAATTTTAATTTCACATACATGGTCATGGGGTCTGAACTTGCAGCGACTGACTAAGAACGCGATAGCTTGATGAAGATCATCATTATCATTTTTAATTCGTATACCGTCTTTCTATCTTACAATACTCAAGAAGAAGAAGAAGAAGAAGAAGAGGAGTTTGGATTTGATATCCCGCCTTTCACTCCCCTTCAGGAGTCTCAAAGCGGCTAACATTCTCCTTTCCCTTCCTCCCCCACAACAAACACTCTGTGGGGTGAGTGGGGCTGAGAGACTTCAAAGAAGTGTGACTGGCCCAAGGTCACCCAGCAGCTGCATGTGGAGGAGCGGAGACGCAAACCCGGTTCCCCAAATTACGAGACTACCGCTCTTAACCACTACACCAGACTGGCTCACACAAGGCGGTTTACAAGCTGAAGAAACAAAAAATGTACATCTTATAACAATCTAATGCAATAGTAAATGTGATAATAAAACAAAACTTTAAAATAAGCAACCTACATCAAAAAAGTAGCATTCAACAAGATGTCAACCGAGTGTGCAGCAGCTGAGAAAAGGCGAATTCTATGCTGGGGATCATTAGAAAGGAATGGGAAATAAAACTGCCAAATTGTGTGACTGCATTTGGAATACCATGTACCATTCTGGCCTTTGCCTTACCTCAAAAGGCATACAGTAAGCCTGCAACTTACATGGGAGTTGCGTTCTGGAGATGACACCTAAAGCCAAATTTGCATGTAGTCCAAACATATTGGGTTCAATGGCCAGTGGGATTGCCCAAATCTTTCTTCCTGAATGCCCCCCCTCTTTGTTTTATTTTATTTTTTATTTGCCAAGTGCGTAAAGCTGAATGTGCAGGAGTTAAATATGTGTAAGTTGTGGGCTGGCTGTACTGTAGAGTTGAAAAAAGGTTCAGAAAATGCTACCCAAATGACTGAGGGACTGAAGAGACTCTGAGGAAAGGTTGCAGCATTTTGAGAGATTTTAGTTCCGAGAAAAGGTGAGTAAGAGAGGAAATTATGCATGACATGGAGGTAGTGGGTAGAGAAAAGTTTTTCTGCCTCTCTCTCATAACTTGTGGGCGTCCAATAAAACTGAATGTTGAAAGAGTCAGGACAGATGAAAGGACTTTTTCGCGCAGCACATAATTAATCTATGGAAATCACTCCCACAGAAGGCAGTGAGGGCCACTAACTTGGATGGCTTTAAAAGAGGATTAGACAGATTCAAGGAGGATAAGATTATTACTGGCTACTCACCACAATAGCTATGCTCTGCCTCCACAGTCAGAGATGGCAACGCTTCTGAATACTAGTTGCTGGAAACCACAGGAGAGGAGAGGGCTCAAGCTCAGATCATCTTGGCAGGTTTCCCATCGGTTCCTGATTGCCCACCATTGGAAGAAGATGCTGGACTAGATGGGCCACTGTTCTAGATGCTCTTATCTCTCAACTCCCACAGTGCATCTCCACATCAGAAGCAGCAGCAGCAGCTGAACAAGAGAGCATCTGATGGAGCTCTGTGGTGACAAGGGCAGACCAAACCTGTGGTTCCTCTTCATAACACTTCAAGAGGCCTGTAATTTGGCCCTCAATAGAAGAGCAATATTTGGAGAGAGATTGTTTTATGCATTGCATTTGTATATTTTATTGATTTTTGTAAACCACCCAGGAGAGACTTTGGTCAACGGGGGTGGCCTAGAAATAATTCAAATAAATACCGCAAGAAGAGCCCGGATAGATCTAGTCTAATGTCCTGTCTTGTGGAGAGACATCTCACTAACAAACCAAATAGAGTCAAAGAATGTAAAATGCAGATGACTCTGTTTTTATTTTGCTACAATGTTTTGTCACAGGCCCTACATATTAATTCTATTGCAGCTTACGAATACAGGTTGGATGTTTAGTGAACATGTATAATGGAAACACAGCTATTATACTTGTGAGGCCTCATTGTATATTTCACCTCAGACTAAATGGCAACCCATGAGTTATGTGAGGGAAGCTCTGAACCTCCAGATATTTCTGGACTACAATTCCCAAACTCTCTGACCATTGAATTTGCTGACTGGCACAGAAGGGAGTTGTGAGTGAAAAAACATCAAGGGCTAGCAGAGATTCCTTTTCTCTTCTCTAAATCCATTCATGTGGGCCATTCCATTCCATTTTTCCCAACCAGAGCAAGGGGCAGGAACACACATCACTGGTAGAGCATCTGCCTTGCAAGCACATGCGTTTCATGTTGAATCCCCAGCATATCCAGGTAGGTTTGGGAGAGACTCCTGCCTGAAACCCCGGACAGCCACTGCCAGTCAGTGTAGACAATAGTGAGTTAGAGGGACTCAATGGTCTGACTTGCTACAAGGCAGCTTCCCATGTTCCTAGTGTTGGCAGTGCCACTTATAATACTTTTTTTAATCCCCTGGTTATGCAGCTATTTTTCTTCATTTTAGAAGAGGAGGACATTATAAAGAACCTGGCTTCAATTTCTTTGTTTTCTGTTCTAGTACAACCCTCCCATTGCTGGGTAGCATGTAGCAAAATCTCTAGGCAAAATGCATGCAAAAGAATGAAGTAATTTTTTCGCCTAATGTTCCAGTTTGCAGAGAAATATGAGAGAACTGAAGAGCTGGTTGCCCAGAAATCCAATGAAACTTGACAAAGAAGCACTTCCTGACCTGGAAGAAACAGATTGCTATACGGCGCCCTTCAGTCGCGCACGCATACATCAGTAAGTGGGAGACCCATATGTATATATTCATAAGGCACCCTGATTAATATTTCACTTTTCCTCAGCAGGTGACATAACATCAATCATCATTAACAGATGGCTGATGACAAAACTGAATGGTATTTATATTCTAAAAATTCTGTCATCTATATTCAGTGATATCTTCTAGGGATAAGCCTTTAGCAATGTAGGGTCAGGCACCAGTACCATCCCCTGGGCTGGCTTTCTTTTCTCCAGGGTAATTTTGCAGTATTCTCAGAGCAATAATACTAAATTCAAAATGTATGAGCTACTCTGAAATCCTAAGAGCCAGCATCACAAGTGCTACATTTTTGTTTCATAAAGCAGAATCACAATTGAATGTTCCTGATTAAAACCATAAATCTGATATTCATGAATTTTGTGACCCAAGAGGGAAATCTCACTGGTGCAGGGCCATCCAATTGGACATTAGCAGGTCAGCAAAATACCCTATAGTGTTTTGTGTACATAAAGTTTTGGAAGCTTATTTGAAAAGGCCATTGTCTCAGAACCAGCTTGAAGATTGCTTGAATTGCACTACTTGCAGAAATTAAAATGTTTCAGGTTTTAGTTGCTCACATTTTAAATGGGGCAATGAGATCCTTGAACATTTGAAGTCACCTGACACTCATGGATTTGCTTTTCAGTATTCATTTAACTAGACCAAACTACAAGTTGAACAATTCAATTGATATAAATAAGATCTTAATAAGGTAAAGGTTAAGGTACCCCTGCCCGTACGGGCTAGTCTTGACAGACTCTAGGGTTGTGCGCCCATCTCACTCAAGAGGCCGGGGGCCAGCGCTGTCCGGAGACACTTCCGGGTCACGTGGCCAGTGTGACAAAGCCACATCTGGCGAGCCAGCGCAGCACACAGAAACGCCGTTTACCTTCCCGCCAGTAAGCGGTCCCTATTTATCTACTTGCACCCGGGGGTGCTTTCGAACTGCTAGGTTGGCAGGCGCTGGGACCGAGCAACGGGAGCGCACCCCGCTGCGGGGATTCGAACCGCCGACCTTTCGATCAGCAAGCCCTAGGCGCTGAGGCTTTTACCCACAGCGCCACCTGCGTCCCTACTAAGATCTTAATACATGACCTTTTTAAGAAACATGTTAATTGTGTGTATTCAGAAGTACCGGTAAGTCCCACTGAATTCAGTGGGTCTTAATACCAGGTAAGTGGGTATAAGATTGCAGCCTAAGCTTAGGTTCTGAACCACATTGGAGTTAATTATTTGAAAATCATTGGATGGAAAAGGCATCCAAACCATTCTAGGGAGGCAAATGTTTCTGGCACAAGAAGTGCGTGCTGCAACAGCAGAAGGGAAACCTAGCTGGGGCGTGATATTGGGAAGGGCTACTGCTGTGGAAACAGGACAGCAGGTGAACCCAAAAGGCAAAGGAAGTTTACTGACAGACATTTGAATGGCAGAAAATCAAAGGCTCAGGTGCCCGTGCTTGTATTTAATGTGTGGAGCTATTTCATTCGTTGTGAGATATATTGTATGGTGATATTTTGACAAGTTGCTTTGAAAATTAATCGACATCAACTATCTCTTCAACAGTTTTACAATAAACAACAAAGACAGTTTCTTCAGCAACTCCACGAGAAGTAGAATAGTACACCATATGCTGCAGAGAACGAAGTATGAAGATGGGAAATCAAAAATGGGTATAATTCCACTTGGGTATTAAGACTGCTTGTTGTTAGCAACATATGCTCTGCCAGCCAAAATTATTGAGTGAATATTTATACTAAAATATAGATAACATCCAATTGGAGAAGACGTCGTGAAATTTTCACCTGGGGACCCTCCAGATGACCATTTTCTTAAGCATTCATTCAATTTTGCTTGCACAATGCTTACGCAGATGTTAGATTATATCCAGCCTTTATTGCACATTTCTTCTGATTTGTTTGTTACAGGACAATAAGCATTCATTCTCATTTGCTTGCAGGTTGTTTACATTCGTTTCCGTTAATTAGTCTGTCAGTCATCCCGTATTTTTCAATACATTTCCCCATCACTATCCAAACCATGAAAAGACTAAGGACTGGTAAAAAAAAAGTGATTTATATGCATTGTATGTGCCATATAACATTATGCCACCAGATGGCAATGTGGAGTCCCATTTTTCTCTACCTGCTTTCCCTGTTTAAATTTACAATGCTTCAAACGGAAATGCTTCTTTGATGTGTTTAGATCCAGCCTAATTCTTTCTAAAAAGCAGATTTGTTGTGCTAAGACAGCAGAGTCCCTTAATCAACATTAACTACGCAAACCTAAAACTTGGCATGCACTTGAATTCCTCCTGGAGGAGGAGGCAGCCGTAAGATTCTTCACATAGGGTTGCCATATTTCAAATAGTTGTTGGGCTTGGGGGGGGGCAAAGTAGTTGAGCTTTTGGGCAAATTCACAAATTCAGCTATTTTTTAAGGAAAATCAGCAAAAAAGACACTGCCAACATGGGTTGCCACACGTCCAGATTTTCCTGGACATTTTACCAATTTCCGCCCAGATGCTGCTTCCAACTGCAGTATTCCGGGTATGTCCAGAAATTTCCGGACGTATGGCAACCCTAGAAGTTCACAGAAAACTAATAATACTTGTCAATTTGACAAAGATTGTTAATAAAGGCTTGAATCCAAAGGTGTTTTGCACTTGTGAAGAGGCCCTTATACTAGTGCAAGGTATCTACATCCAGTTCTTTTAATTTCCTCATCCTGAACTCAATCTTCTTTATAGCCAGCCCACTATCATTATTTTGGAACTTATTTTTGATTAGGGATGCAAATAATGTATTTAGTTAGGGACACAAAGACTGTAGACGTTCCGCTTATCGGCCATAACAAAACAGAACACAAACCTCCCCCCAAACATTCAGTTGAACCACAAGTTCTTATTTTGCTAGATGCCAACAAATAAAGAAACACACAAAGCAACATCACTTTCATTATGAAACTGGAAAGAGTATATCAACTCACTGGGGGAAACAAAGTTCCTCCTACAACTAAAGCTGTGGAGATTCCTTGGGGATGCTTATAAAATGAGCACTGGGGGATATAAAAGACAGCATCCTCTGCCCCAGTGTAGGAGCTGCATGTTTATTGTGAGCAGCACTTTTTAATCTAGGATTGATCCATGCCTCATAGCTTTTGACAGTAACCATATTAGCAAATGACCAGATGAGAAGCAGAAGAGCAAAGAGCTTTTATCTGCTTGGAGAAACTTGATGACTTGACTTGAAACACCATTAGCCTTGCATATAATGATTTTTGAATGGGTTCATCGTTTCAGGATACGGAGAACTAGAATTAGGGTTGCCATATTTTGAAGAGCAAAAAAAAGAGGTAGCCTGAGCTGCTGCTAGCCAGAGGCAGGGAAAGAAGCCATGGCATGCAGAGCAGCCCTACCCTGCCCCCCCAAAAAAAACCCACACCGCAGACATTTCCTTTTAAATATAAAAATCTGTCTGGATTGGCCTGTTGGCAACCAGCCAAAGAAGAACATGGAATCCACCACACTGTCACATCAGGATTCCCTTTTTGTACGATGCAAAAACACACACAGAAACCCTGAAACATATACACAAGTGTGCATTGAAGATATCACAGTGCAATAGGCCCACTTGAGGCCTTTGTGTGATGGCATCAAGATTGGTGTGTGTGTGTGTGTGTGTGTGTGTCTGTGTGTGTTGCAATTCATTCCATACCCAGGCGCTTGTCAGCAGGGTAAACCTATCCAGTGGCGGAGCAAGCCAATCGGGCGCCTGGGGTGGTACGTGTGCCCTACACCCGGGGGGGGGGCCAGCCGGGGGGGGCTGGGCATGTGTGGCAACATGAACAAAGCCAGAAAATATTCTTAATAAGGAAATTTATATGCTACTTCATATTTCAAAGAAAATCTCTAAGTGGTTTACAGCCAGCTAAAAATATCACAAATGAAATGCAGAAATAACGTTAACGAAATCCACATTTTGGAGCAGCACTTGGATGTTAGCACTTGTGTTGAAGAACCTGATTTCTAAGTTGTGTTATTGTCTTCTTCTTCATTCCCTAGGCATTAACAGATTACTCAACAACGGAACTTACGAAGCTGCATTTCCACCTCACGAGGTAGATTAAGTAGTAGTGCTTTGAGTATGGTATGTTCATTCTAAGTTTGCGTTAACCTCCTGCAGTCCGCAAATGAAATGTAAATTTGCTCTCAGGTATTACTGTTTCTCCGCTCTGCCAGTCTTCTCTGAGGACCCCTTCTTCAATCTTCATTGTGTAGCTTTTTGTTGCGCTAGATGTCATTTGTTGCATAGCATGCAACCCATCCAAAGCATGTTTATTCATGAGCACAAGGTTCTAGCCTAAGACACAACACCCACAAGCAAAGGGGAGCCTCAGGTCCAGATGCTGCATATGGCCCTCCAAGCCCCCTTATCCGGCCCCAGGACATGCACCCGTCCCAGACACAGTCCCTCCTGGCTCTGCTTTGCATTCTCCTTGAGGTTTTCTTGTTTGTTTGTTGCCTGGCTCGGATGTGCTCTCAAACTCTTGCTTTCTTGGATGGAGGATAAAGAGAACTGTGTGTATGTGTGGAAGCTAGCCTGCAGTACAAAGGTGATATTTGAATTCATTGCTCTGTCTGATTTTGCCTTTGACTTCTGTAAGTTTGCCCAGAAGGGAACGTGGCCTTCTGGCTGAAAAAAGTTTCTCTAGTCCATGCCATAGGGAATAGGAACTTTGTTTCCTGGAAAGCAGATAGTCATAGGTAGCATAGTGCATATATTATTATATTATATTATATTATATTATATTATATTATATTATATTATAATTATATTTTTTTGATTAACAACTTTTCTATGCACCCCAGAACTTGGAAGAGGGCCTAAGTGGTGTTCTACATTAGTATAAAACAATAGAATATGTTATTTCAACTCACTGCAGTCAAGTTCAGCCCAGTACACCAGCCTGTAGGACGGCAAGTTCCACCCACAAAGTCCCATACCTGCATCTTCCATGACAAATCAGCCTTCAAGTCAAGCAGGAAGCTTTGGAGTTGATGTTGGGCTGAGCATGGTTAGAATCCTCACTGCAATGGGGAATCCTTGTTGTGTATGTTTCTCAGTCAGAGGGAGGATTCTAAGTGCATTCTGCTGAATGTGTGTGTGAGAGAAAAACCCTTTGGACTTTCCAACATCATCATCATCATCATTATTATTATTATTAATATTATTGCTTCTGCTGCTATTATATATGTGTGTAAATGCAATGGTATTTGTTCTCAGCAGCGGTTTTATGCTAGTGGGAAGTGCTTAAGGTGGGCCCTCAATTTTTGTCAATTCCCAACTGCAATTAAAACTTTCCACCAGTCCTCAAGAGCAGCTTTTCAGGGGGGTGGGGGTGGACTGCAATCTGCATAAACTGGGTGCCCCACATTGCACAAACGGTAGTGATTTCCACTAGCAAAAAACAAGTATTTTTAAAAAATAATAATAATTAAATTTCAATATTGAGAGAAGCAATATCATTAACAATACAATAACTTTATGTTACACACACACACACACACACACACACACATTGCTTTTCCTTCTCATCATATTTTTAAACATGGGAATTATTGTGAGGATAATGTAACAATTGTGTACTTTATACGTAAATGCACCATATACTTGCATTAATAATGGACAGTATCTTCTAGCTGGAAAGTACTTCAGTTCTATGCTGTCAAGACCAAGCACTTCCAGAAGGATCTCTCTGTTTTATTCCAAAATAATGTTTTCCTTCTGTGGAGATGTTTATAATTACCTCAGCTTGAGTAGAGTACGCTCAAGACTGTACTGTTCAGCATTGTTTAGTAATACATGGAGCAACTGTCCTGTTCCATTAGAAATGTTGTTTTAATATTTTTCTTAATTTCTTCATAAGAACCCTTTTCTTTTGTATAAGCACATAACAATCCCCCCTCCTCCACTATCTGTCTTCCAGGGAAGTCACAAGAGCAGGCATCCCATCAAAACTCACGGAGCCCAGAATCATCGACATCTGTTATATGAGCGCTGGGCACGGTGGGGAATGTGGTATAAATACCAGCCTTTGGATTTGATCAGGTACTCCAAGAATACTGCAGAACTTGGTTTTGTCCCATGAAAAGGGAGGAAGGCTGAATGATGTTCCAATGAACATTCTGCTGTGAACAGTCTCCTTATATCAGCCTAGTGTTTTAAATTGGTTGGGTAACCTCTGTTCCAGGGACTGAATGCATCCTATTGTGCCGCTGTTATCTGGCCCTTGGGACACTCCCTTGGCCACACCCCTTGTCCTTAGGCCACACCCCTCACCAATAGTGTTCTACACTCTCAAGTGGTTTTGCCTGACTGGAATGTGTCTTTGAACTGTAGTAATGTCTCTTCCTTTCCTAGAGGATGGAGGGGGTATATGTACAGGGCTGTCTTAAGCATATGTGGCGCCGTGGTGCAAAGATCCACCCGGCACCCCCCCCCCCAGGTTGCCCAGTCCCAGGCGCGCAGGAGGACGGAGCCGGCCGGCTGCCTCAGCGTTTGGTCGCCCCCAAACTCATGGCACAGAGCCGTCCACAACAGAAGAACCCGCCGCGGCACTCTGACCGATGGGTGGGCTCTTCCCCGGACTCAACTCTTGGGCCCTGGACTCTCAGCCTGGTGCCCCTGAGAGCCCGGTGCCCGGGGGCCTTGCACCCCTAGTGCCTATGGGTAAGACGGCCCTGTATATGTAAAAAATAAACCTCTGGCTTTTGTGCAGTTGAAATCTGGCCTGTGTAGGTAGACATTTATTGTGCCATGCACTTTTCCCTCTGGAGTGTGACCTCTGGATGATTGATGGAATCCAGCCCTCAGCCTGAGAAAAGTTCTCCATCTCTGCTTTAAGTAGTGTATAAATTGATATATTTTTTAAATCTTTGATTTGTTTCTTAGTTCTGATGAAATGCATGCTGTATTCAGAAAATGTAAGATAATAATTTAGCATGCATCTGCAAATAAATACAATAGCACAAATACAGTAGTGCAGTCACACTGAATTGGCTGTCCCAGTCCATTTGCAATGTGCCAACTTTGCCACCACCTCTCCCTTTCCCTCTCCCTTCTGATAAGCAGCAGCCATACAACAACCCAGTAGTCAGGTGAGTGCTGCCACCCCACCATGCCACCTGCTACTGGTGTTACCAGATCTACTTATTGGCATGTGTGCCAGGAAAGACTGCCTAGGCCGTATCCAGAGACTCTGGCTGCATTTTGACATCTGGCTAAACCATTGTTTAATGTGACATGAACAAGCCAAGCAAACCAATGGTTCATGCATTTCTCCCATCCCCTCTCCTCCTGTAGCATATTGGGAAGATGTTGAAAGTTTCTCTTCTGTTTTCCATTAATTGCAGTTTAGTGTTTCAAGCTTAAACTATGGTAAACTATGGGTTGTTGTTTTGAAACAAGCCAGTTTCAAAATCCAAAGGTTAAAGTTTTGAACAAACTATGGTTAACATTAACACATCAATACAAGAAATTGCAGTTAAGCAAAAATCAGAAGCAAAACTATGAAAAAACAACAACCACAGAGCAAGGTTGACCTAAAACATTTTGCTGCCAGAGCAGAATAGCAAGTCAGGGTGTCTAGTACTCAGGTAAGGCCAAGTCATTTCAGCAACAAAGTCCCACAAAAATACAATTGTAATAACATGTTGTTGTTGTTTAGTCGTTTAGTGGTGTCCGACTCTTCGTGACCCCATGGACCAGAGCACGCCAGGCACTCCTGCCTTCCACTGCCTCTCGCAGTTTGGTCAGACTCATGTTTGTAGCTTCGAGAACACTGTCCAACCATCTCGTCCTCTGTCATCCCCTTCTCCTTGTGCCCTCCATCTTTCCCAACATCAGGGTCTTTTCCAGGGAGTCTTCTCTTCTCATGAGGTGGCCAAAGTATTGGAGCCTCAGCTTCACGATCTGTCCTTCCAGTGAGCACTCAGGGCTAATTTCCTTAAGAATGGATGTTAGTTATTATGTAATAACATAATAACTAACAATTTGCTTCCCTTTTATGACCACCAAAATCAGCTGCCACAAGGTGACCACCTCACTCTGCCTATTTGCAGGCCAACTCTGCTGCAGAGTTTTGTTCATACCATGTTAAACTATAGTTTAGTGTTGCATCCATATGTACTTTTTAAACCTGTAGTCAGTGACGGCAACAATACTCCCTGCTCCAAGAGTCTCTACAATGACCATTCTTCTGAAACAGACAGGACTCTAGTTGTGCCTGACTGTGTTAAATTAAAAATATGTATGGTCCAGAACAGGCTTTTCCACAGTGATGAACTCCAATTTTGGACTACAACTCCCATTGCCCCTGACTATTACTCAGCTGACTGGGACTTAGGTAAATTGTAGTCCAAAACATCTGGCCAGCACCAGATTGGGAAAGCTGACCATGAATGCAATCAATGGCCTTCAAATTATATGTTGAAGCGAAATAAAAGGGGTTTGCCAAACCCATTTCTAACCAAATCCCATCCCAACTGAAGAGTAGTTCCACTTCCACTTAAGGTGAATGATCTGTTGCCAAGGCTGGCATTGGTATTCAATTACTTTGACATTTAAGCCTATTGTATATTTACCTTTTTCTTACGCAGGCGGTATTTTGGAGAGAAAATTGGCCTTTATTTCGCTTGGCTGGGATGGTATACTGGGATGCTCATTCCTGCTGCACTTGTTGGGCTGTTTGTTTTCCTTTATGGATTATTTACCATGGATTCCAGCCAAGTAAGGTAAGAGGTGTGGGGATGTCCCCTTTTATAAAATCATAACACAGCATGTCTGTCACTATGAGCTGGCAGCTCTCAAGCCCTATCAAAAGTAGCTGTTGAAATGGATCACGAGAATAATGCAAATTAGCCTAAGCCCCACGCTGCTGCCTGAATATCATATGGAAGAATCATAAGGTGGGTTTTTTGCACCAGCCTGAGGTGTTTGGTGTGTGCATGATGCTTTTAGTGTGTGATCATCTTCAGTCCAGTTTCTGTTTGCTTTTGAAGATTATTTTGAGATGCAGCAAATCCACTTCACAGTAATTAAAAATGAAATAACATTCTGGTGTGAGCTACTTTCCCTCCTTAGAGAAGCATTTACATCAAAAGGTGTGGGGGGGGGACAAAATGACTCTCTCTATATGGAAAAGTTATTATTCTATTATGACCATAAAACAAAAACATGACAATGCAATGTAGCATTTGAAACTAAAATCTCCCCATTCTGACCTGTGCATCATAAAGTTATCTTGCCTCAGTTACCTTGTGTTGTGCTGCCATCACTTTGTATATTCTCTTACCCCCTTTGGCAACAGCCAATGATGTAGAGAGAAGTTGAGGAAAAGCACAATGTGACAATGTTACGAATTACAAGGGAGCAAGGAAGAAATAAATGCCGAGATGCTGTTTTGGTGTCCCCCCTCCAATAAAATAAAAACCAACAACATTGCTCTGGAGGATTGGGGAAAACCCTGAGGAAATTTGGGGTTTGTGAAGGGATGAGGGGTTGGAGTTATGTTGCACAAGCCAAAGTTCTAATGATCCAGTGACTTCCCTGCATACAAACACACAGCTCTTAGGTTGGGTGGGGGAAGAAAGCTATGCCCCCCCCCCCAAAGCAGAACTGTCCAAAACCTTCTAATGTCCTATTCTTTTAAAAGAATATATTTTACTGCTTTTCACATGTAATAAACTTAATTAAAACACAGCAGACAACAAACAGCAGCTAGTCTGTTATTTCTTGGAAAAAAGCGTAACAGCGGTTTGAAATTAGAACCATTACTTAGAACAAGTTTATGATGCACATTAAAGTCTCTGATCCAAAAAAATTATCCAGATGTTTTGATAGGTCATGCCTGTTATTAAAGCATCTACAGGCCTTTTAGACCAGGCCTTTCCCTAACAAATAGAAGGTAACCCCAGACCTGGCCAATAGGTTTGAGCAATCCTCCTGGTCCCATTAACCCTCTCCTGTCCCTGACATTGATCCACCATTGCCTCAAGGCATAACTGTCAACTTACAGATTTGAAAATAAGGGACCAGCAGCCTTGAAAATAAGGGACCAGCAGCCAAAATAAGGGACCTGCAGCCTCACCTGTTCCAGGCACTCCAGTCTTCCTGTCCTCCTGCAGTCTGGTCAAACTCATGCTGGGTAGCTTTGAGAACACTGTCCAACCAACTTTGTAACCAGAGATTCAACTGAATAGAATCTGAATCACATGCACCACAAGGCCTATGCAGCCTCAACTTAAGATGGTTCCCCGGCCTGGCTTTACACTGCAAAGTTTGCAGCAGCACGTGCAACAAAATGGCGTCCAGCATTCAAAAACCTCCTCAGCTTGCATTATCTAGCCACACACAAGGCATGCAAGCTCCACCCCCCCAGTCGTTCTTAGACTTCTTATTGGGTGAGCAACACAGCCAAGCAACACAGTTGGAGCCTTCCTCCTCCCTGGCAGGCAAGGAGGGAGGGAGAGGAGCTGCTTCCTTTGAAATTTAAGGGACATCATTTAAGGGACATTTAAGGGACATCCATCAATAAGGGACAGCAGCGGGACATGGCGCTGGAATAAGGGACTGTCCCTTCAAATAAGGGACACTTGACAGCTATGCCTCAAGGCCAAACCACAAAACAGTCTTATTCACAGTAAACAGATGGCAAACCCACAAAAATATTCTGGGGAAGAAATCTCATTCCAGTAGGCATCATTATGAAGGGAAATGGGATAGAAATGCTTTTAACAAATAAATAATAAATAAACATTTGTGAAAGCCTTTTGATAATCAAAACTGTGGGTGGGATTCCGCTAGAGAGGCTCATCCATAGATGCCCTGTGCCAATACATCCATGTGTGCAATGGGCCCTCTCCTCACATGGCTTCCCAAATTGGCTTGGGGGGGTGTGTGTGTTGTGAGAGCCCATGAACCATCATGTTGCCAGGGGCCGGAGTCAGACACAGGTCACACGAAAGGTACAAGACTCCATTGTCAGTGAAGTTAACTCTTTACTCAAAGAAACGGCATACAACTCAGAAACACATCCCGGTAGGTCGTGCCCCTGTAGAGCAGTTGCCAGGAATGAAGGTCCCTGCCTTCTACCCTTTTTAAGGCTCTTCCTCTTTCAGATATTTCCAAGCATTCTCAAATTGCATGTGCGTACCACTGGCCTCTGTTCTGTTCTGTTCTGTTCTGCTCTTCTCCTTATCCTGTATGTTCTTGGAGACCAGGGGGAAGGGGAAATTGTTACAGCAGGAGAGGAAGTCTCCATGGATTCTTCAGTAGTCTCTTGACCTCCCCGCTTCTCTGCTTCAGCCTCAGAGCCTGAACTATTCCCTGTCACAGGCTGCTTCCTGCTCACTAAACCCTGTTACCTCTTCAGCATCCATCTCCTCCTCCCAATCCTCTCCCTCTGACCTCTCCTCAGTGTCCCACTACCAATCCCCAGCTTCTGAGCCAACCTTCTCTGTGGGTTCCCTTGGGGGTTCACTGGCTGGTGCCTCCTCCTGCTTTATCCAGCCAATTCCTGACACATGTGAGGAGAAGGGGGAGGGGTGTCATTCCGTCTGGCAAGCTGAAATGTTTGCACTGACGGAATGATCAGAAAAGCATTGAAAATTAATTAATTAAATGTATTCCTCCTTAACTCAGAAAACGTGGTTATTATTCCTAACATATTAATTGCATAGCTACACTCCACAACTGCAGTACATTCACTGCACTGTTTTAACCCTCATCAACTAAAGTGTCAAGGAACACAAGGATCATCCTGGATTTTCATTATGCAACAAGATTTCGTGTCAGTTTGACAAATTAGCATCCCCAAAAGACATAACTATTAATTTAATGCGTCAATACAAAGCCATCTGGTTTTAAGACTACTGGATTCCAAAATCGTTGATGCTCGTAACTGAAAAATGAGCAGTGTGTGTCGATAATGGCTTCATAGGTATGTCCACAAAATGTAACATTTGCTAGCCAGGCCTCAGCAGAGCTTAGTGTAATCAGAAACCCATTTTAAGTGCAAGAAGCCAGGACTGGGATACTTTGTTTAGTTATCTATCTACTATTTCCACTTCTATCCCATCATTTGTCATTTCATGACCCCATGATGGGCTACAACATAAAATACCTCATTGTGCATGGCACCATAAAATACAACATAAGACACTATTAAAACAAACAAGAAAATCAGTTAAAGCAATTAACATCTCAGTTTTGTAATATTTTGCAGACATGTTATGTGCCTTCGTAGCTGGCAACCTGGATAATATGAACCAATGGAAAGTTTGATACAGAACAGATTTTGACTCAGCAACAGACTCATGGATGTTCTTCAGTTATTTTATATATTTGTATATATCATGATAATACATGATGCAACAACAGGCATTCAGCGGTTTTCACCATATAATTACTTCATATGTAATTGCTTAATATAATTACATATGAAGTAGTTACAATCATATGAGATATATGACTCTGAGCATCTGCAGAATACAGGTCCCTTTGCACTAGATACACATAACAGGTACTCATACAAACTTGTTTAGGGGACAGGTTATTGCTTTTCAGAAGGAAGAGGATGTAACTAGAGACATCTCTTTTTTTAACAGTTAATATAGTGCATGGATGATATGCCTTCATTCTGGCCCACACCTTGAAACCTTCTGTTTTCAGTGATTAATGCTGGTTGTATTTTAAAAAGCATACAACAGTGCAAATCAATTCTTAGAGTTATGTAACAGGCTGGCACTTAGGTAAAGTTAGTATTCCCTCTAGTGGTTTGTGATGAATTTGATTTTTAAAACAAATCTGCATAATACAACTTGCTTTCACAAAACATGATGCACAGGTAACAGAGGGGTAATTAATATCCACAACTAGACATCCCTTCAGCAGTTTCTGAATTTTTTATTTGATTATGAATCTTCAGATTGTGGGAACTGGAGTTTCAAACCTAGCCCAGTATTCAGATAAGTCAATGATTAAACTGGCAAGCACTATAGTTGATATGTGCTTCATGTCTAGAAACAAAACTAAGATTATCATGTTTTAAGCAGTTGATAGCAGTTGCTTAAAATGACCGCTCCCCGCTTAAAACGGGGGGCGCCCTTTGCGTGGACGCGTGCAGCCCTAGATCTGGAGCGGCCCCATCAGCATAGGCTTGGCTTTGCCTTCCCTCAGGTGGGATACCTGGAGGTCTCCACCTACCTCAGTCAGTTGTCCAATCCCACCTGGGGGAAGCGTTGCCAAGGAGACCAGGCCAGGTAGGGGAGGGATTACCTGCCCACACAATAGAGGGAGGATCTTACCTGGGAATCCTCACTTGGCTCCAGAGCTTCTCCCACCCTACCCACCCTCAGTTAATGTCTTCCTTTGCAGGTTAACTTTTCTTCATAGGTTTCACAGGTTAACTTTTCTTCACAGGTATGCGGGCGCTGCTACGATAAGGTAGCTGTTAAAGGGCTGGAAAGGAATTTCCCTGCATTGGCAGGTTTCGCCTTTCCCGTAGCAAAACGTCACAACTTTGGCAGTATCAGGCCTTGGGCGGAATCCTTTAGTCCATCTTCCCCTTTGCGGTGGCGATACCAGGTTTCCCCGTTAAAGGGGTTTCTGAAGGGAGGCTTTGACCGTACGCCAAAAGGTTGTCATTGCTCTCCCCTGCGGCGGCGGCGGCGTAACAGGGGCGGCTATCTCTGCTTGAACATATGTTCTCCAGAGCCGGCCCATCCCCCCCACACACACTGGATAACCCTGATGCTCCCTAGGTCCCCGGCTGGGGACTGGGGAGGGAGAGCGCCCAATGCCTGAGCCAAGGTCTACCCACATTTGAAATTTAATAAAGTTGTGGCCAATTTAATCCCATAGCACGTTGTCTTGAGTCATTATTCCACATGACGGGGGGGACCGCTTGGGATCTGGGGACTCCGCCTGTCCATGCAAAGGAAATGCACGGGTTTAAATATTTATTTTTCCATATCTACTTTTGTAGAAAGACCTGGGAGAAATTTCTCTGTTTTTGTAGCAAAGCCTGGGAGAAATTTTAATCATCATCACCAGCCAGGCAATATCAAAGGCATAGATTGATACAATCCATACCTCTGGGAATATCTGGACTCTTCATCCTGCCCCATGTGTGTGTCATTTGGGGCCTGGGTTGTGGTGCAGGAAGCTGCAATGGAAAGAGGAATCATACAAAATCAGGAAGAAGCAACTTGCACCAGCAACTGCATGCTGGCTTTCTGCACTCGGTTCTGAGGGTTTCTTTCCTGCCAGGGTATCTGCCTTGGCTTCATCCTAGGACCATCATGTGATTTGGGGAGGGGGTGGTAAAGTGAAACAGAACTTCCAAAAATCCTACTGTCAATGAAATCATAATTAAACTGCTATGTCCTGTGTTGTGCCTGTGCAATAAAATAAGTTTAGGTACAGTTTCCAAAGTAAGGTACAAACACAATGCTGCAAATATCAGAAGCCTTGCGGCCTGTGTCAGCTACCATAATGAATGTCATAAACATCAGTCATCCCTGAATAAACATTGGCTGTCTTTATTTCCTGGTGCAGCAGAGAGATCTGCGAGGCAAATGAAACTGTCATGTGTCCAATGTGTGAGAAGAATTGCACCCTGCAAAAACTCAATGAAAGCTGCATCTACGCAAAGGTAAGTTATTTTGTGCTCTAGAAGCTCTATGCTTCAGATACGTCAGTCGGAAACTGCACATGGCCTCTTGTTGTCATTTCAGTCAAATGCTTTTCCATTGTACCACCACATGTGGGGGACATCTGGCCCTCCATAAGTCACTGAGCTGTAGCTTTCACCGACTCATGACCATTGGCTATGCTTCTAGGACTGATGAGAATTGTGGGTCAGTGACAGTTGGAGAGCCAGAGGTTCCCACTCCTATAATGCACAGTGGTGCTTGATGGACTCTTCAGCAGCAAACCCAAAAATGTATTCAGCTTTCATGCTCATCACTTCACAAGGATTTGCCCTGCCAAAACAGGTTATTGCGATAGAACCTATAAAATCAACCCAGGCCAAGTGAATATCTTTGGCCCTTTGCTATCAGTGGTGGGGCTGAGAGCCTGCCTCCCTGTCTTACCGCTCTGTAAGAAAATATTTCTGCTCTGCAGAGACAGAAAATGATTATGAATTCACATCAAACACTTAAACACCACTTCAAGACTTTTCAAGTGTGGAATGCAAATACTCAATGCCCGATTTTTTGTTGGGGTTATTAGTAGGATGCTCACATATTCTGGACCCATGACCAGCAATATACCCTGTGTACATTTTGGCTCTTGATTAATTTATGTAGTCATGGGGTTGGATCCAATGAAGTAATTAGTTTCATGAAAGAACTTCTGCTTCAGAAGCTAAATTTCCCTCTCCTTCCACGTCCAAAACATCTGATCTGGGATTTATTTCAGTCAAGGAGAGGGGTTGTGGGGCACACAGGGAGAGGAGAGGAGGGGGAGGGAAAGTTGTTGTTCAAAGCAAAAGGCCTTCTGCAAACAGAAAGAATTCACTGGATATATAACACAAGCGGTTTTACAGATATAGCAAATCTATACGCAGTGCTATTTTTCTAGAAAAAGAGGTGCCGGAACTCACCATGAACACCTCCCTTGTTCTCTTATACTGGCAATGGTGCCCACCTGAGAGGTGCCGAAACCGAGTTCTGGTAAGTTCCGGGTGGAAAAAAAGCCCTGCCTATATGTGTGTATTCAATAGCAGGCCCTACCGAGTTCAATTGGGCTTTCTTTCACATAAATGAAAATAAGATTACAACATTCCTTACTCATCTGTATTATTACTAAATAAATACAATGTAAAACAACAGATTACAGTTGTCTTATTTCATTAATTTGTAAGAATTTGTGGTTTTTCTACTTCCATTTGAAAACAGAAGCATTCCTATTTTCATTTGATTCACACATACAACAAATCACTTCCCAGTCATATTATTTACCTCCCAGTCCTTTAATAGCACTCTGTCTGTCTGTCTCTCTGTCTATAAACACACACATCCACACCAGAGTTACCTTTGAATCCCACATTCACTGTAATGAAATTCATGGAGCACACTTACCGAGCTGATATTCTTGAGCAATGGGTAGTAAATGTGCACTTTTTCAAATGTGCACTTTAAATCATCTGAGGCCTGAGTGCTTATCAGACATATGTGTTAAATAACTACACGCTGTATAGTGGATTCATTCAAAAGAAAATAAAACATTCCAGAGGGATTCTACCCTATAAATGTTGTTTAAACCATTTTTATTACATTCACTTTAAAGAAATATGTTATAGTTGTCTGTTTTGTGTAAACATTTCATCCCCTCTCTGGTAAATATTTTCGTATTGGAAAACGGCATTCCTATTAAAACAGGAATGTGTTAAATTAGCTAAGGTTTGCAGTTCCTGAAGAGGACTGTGCAAGAGAAAAAGTCTCAAGGCATCTAATTAAGTATGTCATCTTGTGTGGGGAATGAAATCCTCCTACAGCAAACTATTCAGCCTCCTCAGCACTCCTTTTCCCCCAGATACCCATCGCCTCACATTCCTAAGGTCCATTGCTGTTCCTTAGACTTTGGGGTTATATGTAACACAGTGTAGTTATAGAGTAGTTAAACATTGGCAGTGAAGTCTCCTTCCATTAATAAAAGTGTCGTAGACACTGTGTCTAAATGGTGAGGAAATAAATGGTAGTTAAATGGCAAACAGAATTAATTACAGTATTACAGGTTAAGTTCGAAATAGTTCTTGTTCCAGTAAACCTGCTCACAATCTCTGCATGCTGTGAACTTCATGTCAGTTTTGTTTAGCTAAATCAGACTAATATTGTGATAGGAATAGACTCAGGTAGGTAGCCGTCTTGGTCTGACGCAGTTGAAATAAATTAAAAATTTAAAAAATTGTCCAGTAGCACCTTAGAGATTCACTAAGTTTGTTCTGGGTATAAGTTTTTGTGTGCATGCACACTTCTTCAGATACACCAAGTGTATCTGAATTATTATTATTATTAATAATAATAATAATTAATACCCCACCCATCTGGCTGTGTTTCCCCAGCCACTGTGGGTGGCTCCCAACCGAATATTAAAAACACAATACAGCATAGCATGCAGATAAAATAGAAAAACAGATTATATAAATTACTGATAAATTATTATTTGTAAAGGTAAAATAACTGAACTGCTGAATAAAAATGACAGCAGACAGTCAATTCATTATAAAATGCACTTTGAGCAGTTCACACTTGTGCATAAGGGAAAACAGAATTACAGCTTTGCTATAAAACAAGCATTTATACATGAAGAAGTGTCCATGCACACGAAAGCTTATACCCAGAACAAACTTAGTTGGTCTCTAAGGTGCTACTGGACAATTTCTTATTTTTTTTATTTATTGTGATTGGAAAACATAGGTTAGGTTATTTTGGGACTGAGGTTTTGGATTACATCATTCCTAACCATCAACCATGCTGCCTGGGGCATTGATGAGAGTTGAAGTCCAACAACATCTAGATTCCTCCTCCCACAGATTCCTCCTCCCTTTTCGAGCCCATTTCAGAATTAAACAAAACCACACAAGCATCCAGTTCACTGAATGTGTGGTGGGGATCAGACCCCACCTGGAGTACTGTGTCCAATTCTGGGCACCACAGTTTAAGAAGGAGATCAGCAAGCTGGAGTATGTGCTGGGGAATGTGACCAAGATTATCAAGGGTCTGGAAACCAAGATGGGTACATTTAGCCTTTAATTGCTTTAGGCCTTTGAGCCAGGATGGAGGTTGCCACGAGTGGATATGAAAATGAGCAGAGAATTAGCCTCCACAGCATTAGCCCAATGAGCTAATATAATAGATGTAATTTTATACTTATTCCACTGCTGATCCTTTAATAGAGTTCATGAAGGCATGGCCCATGTTTAAACCCAATGAAATTATGCATCCACTTTACCCGAGTCTGTTTGCAATTGTTCAGTATTATGGCACTCTTTAATTAAGAACATATTAGCATATGGTAGATTTTTATTGTTTAATAATTCCATTACTTGCCTTATATTCTTTCATTTCCTTCTAAGGTTACACACTTATTTGATAACGGAGGGACTGTCTTCTTTGCAATTTTTATGGCTATATGGGGTAAGTGTTGTTGTTGTTGTTGTTGTTATTTTACCTGTTACTGTAAAATAAAAGGTATTATACTCAGCAAGCCTTAATTTGGAATGAACTTTAAAATGAGAATATACATTTTGAAGCTATTATCGTCATGCTTGTTAGGGATGTAGATCTCTATACACAGCTGAAATAAGCCCTTCAGGAACACAAATGACTGGGTAAATCACTCTAGTGCTAGAGAAACCTCTTCACTTTGCAGTCCATTGCAGTATTATACTAGAGGTATATATGAGTTGTATCCAGTGCTAGTCATATGCAGAATAGACCAGTTAATGAATGGAGGTGACTAATTTACAGCCATTAATTTCAATGAGTTTACTATGAGTATAGAATCATAGAATCGTAGAGTTGGAAAGGACTCTGAGGATCATCTAATCCAACTCGCTGCAATGCAGGAATCTCAGCTAAAGCATCCATGAAAGATGGCAATCCAACCTCATATTAATATCTGTGTTCTTTAATCCATTGTTTTCCTAAAATATCCATCCCATTTTAATCCTATAGTATACAATGACAAAGAGCTTAAAGGTTAAAAAATAGCTTTATTGACATAGTTTACAAATATGTATTTATATGCATTTATCACAATCCCAGCTGCTGGGTTGGTGAAGGGGAAAGGGTGACTCTCCAAAAGCATCAAAATGTCATAAAAAATAAGCCACAATAATGATTCTATAGGCAAAGCTGGATATAGCTCAACTCAGTAGACCAACATAAATCCACAGAAGTCCAAAACCAGGTGGGATACAAAGACAACCCCACTGGATTTGTAATGCAGTACTTACACTTTCTACATTTAGTCTCTGACTCATGGCAGAATGGTTGCTGCTACTGTTGATTTATTTAAAGTCCCCTTTGCATTATTTACATACAGTGTGCAGGGCATGCTATTTCTAAAATTCATATAAGTATATCCTTAGGGTACCCTGTTGGGTAACCATCAGAGACATCCGATTCCCATAGTCTGCACATAACATGAAATTTCAGTCCGTATGTAGGAAGGAAGAACTGTGGGATCAATGCTGCCTTTGCTGTCAACACGGCAGACTTCTAAGTCTCAATTTTTGGGAAGTAAGAAGAGTTCTCTGGGGGAAAGGCACCTGCTATCTATTTATGCTCATCAAGACTGAACTGGAAAGCAGGCTTTACACAGGACAATTTGTTCAGCATTCTGTCTTGAAAGCTCTGTTTGCATTATCAAGGTCTGTCTCTAATCTCTTATTACTAGAAGTTGAGAGAGTAACAGGCTACAAATTCTCCCCTTCTGTTTCAGCTCATATGTCAGTGTGAGTCAGTGCTGCAGGACACCTAACTTTTAAAAAGCATAGAATACTATCTCAGCGTGCTTGGTGTGGGTGGTCAACCCCAAAGCTGAAGACATCTTGTGCCTTGGTCTAATAATATTTAATAATAACGGTGGCAAATTCAGAAGCCAATGGAAATATTATTTTTCACATTTATATCCTTTTCTTCCATCAAGGGGCTCTGGGTAGCATTCAAGAAGCTATCTATTTTCTCTTCGCAACAGCCCTGTAAGGTAGAGACTGACAGGGCTAGAGCCAGATTCCAGTGGGCCTTCAGCATGAGTGTTGCCAGTGGAGCCTGACCTGGGCTTCTGCCAATACTGCTATCTGCTATTGTAGCCTCAGCCACAACCACTATATGATGCCACTGCTGCTGCTGCATGCTACTGCCACTTTTGAAAGGGAACCAAGCTGGTGCTCTGCTCCAATGTGCAGCGTGGCGACATTTAGTCTCCCAAAATGCAATGCCCTACTAGACATCAGTATATTGCATTTTGGATGATCAAAATACCCAGTGGGCACCACACCAAGGATTGGAGCCAAGCACCCATGCAGCTCCCATTCAAAACTACTGTTGCTGCTACCACCAACCAAAAGCACCGTATCTGGAGAGAATGAAGTGAGACAGCAAAAGGTTCCATGCTATGGCTCAGTGGTGGCAGAGGCACTGACACTTCCTGGTAGTCCCAATGGAGTGACAGTGTTGGCGACAGGCTCTCCTAAGTCTTTGGGGGCCTTGGCAAGTGCTCATTCATGCCGGCCCCGGATGCTGGGCTTAGACTCTGTTTTCCCGCAGTTTATCCAGCAAGTTCCCAGAATAAACTGAGATCTGATGACACTCCACCCTGGCTCTCAGTGCTCTTTCATACAGCAAGCATTTCCTGCATGTAGCAGGGAAGTGTGTTGCTCTTCTCAGATAAAAGATACTTGGCAAATTTTAGGACCCATGTTTCGGGATGAATTTGGTGTTCCCTATCTTGCATTGTTATCAAGAAGCATCTCTTTTGTCACATAGTTTCCTTGGCGCCTTGTGATCCCAAGCACTAGAGTTAAAGCAATCTCACTTCTCTTGGCAGTCTAGCCTGTGTGGAATACAATATGTAATGAAAAATACATTGCTTTGATTTTTGTTTTATTTTCCATTATCCTAGTTTATTACTCCCTTCTTCCACACGCATCTGTGATAAATGACAATTTGCTCTCCTTGCATGTAAGACTTGGGGCCAAACTAACTGTACGCAATGGTGAAGGTAATTTAGACAAAAAATTGTTGTGTAAATAGCAGCCAAGGGGAAACCAAACAGCCTCAAAACTGGGGGGAATGGGGAGCGCCCTTTGATTCTCCACTTGGGTCCAGACAATAACTACTCTAAGCCTTCTATTTGCATTTCAGCTGAAACCACTTCTGATGCCGATTGGATCTTGCAATAAATTGAAAGCTGAAAAATGCCATTTTTGTTGAGACTGTGGCATTCAGATTGGTGTTGCAGTAAGAGAAAAGACAGCCTCTTTGCCCGGACATCTGGGCTGATTGTTCATTGGCCAGGCCAGTCATACTTTGTTGACAAGATGTGGTAAAATGAGGACGGGGATGTGAGCATCCCAATGAAACGAATGCACTATAGTTGGGAAGAATGTACATTCCGACCTCCAGCTGAATCCATGCCAAATTGTGCATTCTAATGCTCATTCATATTGCACAATGCATTTCTTTCCATGTGCAACTGAATGCATTCCTATAATATATGTGCTAATCTGAACTGAGGCCAGAATATTGCTTTTTGGCAAGATGGGGAGCACCAGCTCTGCTTCTGCACCCACCCTTGCCATGTAGACCCCAGAATGTTGCCCATAAGGTAATGTGGCCCCTGGGCAAAAAACAAAAAAACCTACCCCTACCTCTGTGCCAGTCCCTTGATTTAAGTGCTTTTTGCATTTGTAGAACATAATTGGCTCCCCCCCCCTTTTCCCCCATTCATGGCATTTCCCCTAGAGTAAAAACAACATCCATGCCATAATTGATTTGCTAAAATAGTCTAAAGTCCATCCAGTCCAACATTCTAGCAGCAGCCAAGCAGATGGTCATGGAAGTTGACAAGCCAGGCATCCTCTCTTGTTTATGTCCAGCATCTGGCAGTCTAAACATACTGACTGTGAGCATAGGAAATGCATTCTGCTATCACAGTGAACTACTACATAAAGAGCTATCCTTTGTGATCTTTCAAAGTCGTCCAAGTTTTTTCAGAGCTCATGCCTATCGTATCTGGTGGTAACAAATTGAGTTAGATAGTTAAGACTTAAGTTAAATAATACAGATGAAACAGATGAAGAAAAACTGAGAATTGGTTCACACATGCAAGGACATTGACTGATGAGAGGATACCATTGGTACCGTATTTATGTCACTGACATACTACAGATCCAAAAATGTAGGTAGAATGTTCTTATTGCTTTGTATAAAGCACAATTCTTTGCCATAGAATCAGTTTGGACCTGTGTGTTAGCACTGGAATTGACCACTCAGTAAAGGGCATTGATATGTGAACCATCCAAAACACAATGCACACAAAAGTGAAATTCTGGGCATATAAATTTGTAAACATGGCCAACAAGCATTGCCTCGCTTAGATTATTGGAAACTGTACATATCAACAGGCAGAGGGCTGGTGCAACAAAAAAAATATCTTTCAAACCATTATGACCCGATCCTTAAACTCAAGAAGAAGAAGAAACCATGGATGTGAGGTGTTTTGTTTTGACACAAGTTATTCACACTACTGTGCTGGCGGTTGTGATGCGGACATGTCATTCATCTGAATTGCATCATAGGGAGATTCTTTGCTGCTCTGGGCTGCTGTCTCGTTGACTGTTGTAGGGCTGTAGTATGACAGATTTCCAAAGCTTGCACCATAAGGCTCAGGCACGTTGTCTAGTCGTAGAACTGCAAAATAAATGTAGACAGATATTTATAGGGTTCTGAACAATGCTTCCTTTGAATAGAATGTTAAAAAGGTCCTTGAATGATTTATTTTATCTCAGGATGCATCTGACTAAGGAAGTATTTCTACTCTTGCCAGTTGTAGGTGTTGGGATGTGTATGGAATAAAATGTGATTAAACATCAAGCTCCATACACACTTGCTCATGTGTGGATACACCCATGGCTGGAAATGTCATGTGTGAATAATTAATACTGAGGAACAGAATTGGAATTGCTTCAAGACTCTAGAGCGACTCAGCAGCAGTAAATCTGTCTTTTTCTTAGGTGACTAACATAACGGTTTGGGATATAAGTGTGGCTTGCAAAAGCATTTCCATTTTTAAAAATAGTTTAAAATATAATGTCAGAAGTATGAAAATAAGGCCTTGATCAAAATCATATAGTAGTCAATGGGAGGCCCTCTAATCACTTTGACAGACTGGAGTTTTGCTACAAAATGCAGCTATTATTTTTATCCCACCCATTTCCCATGAGCTCAGAGTGGCATTTTTAGTCTCACAACAATCCAGTGAGATAGGATGGGCAATAGACAGATAGATACTCTCCAAAGGTTGACCTGTGAATGCCATAACTGAGCATGGACTCATAAGTGTATTTACCGCTTATACATATCCAGCTATCTAACCACCTCACCACACTGGCCAGGGCATGAAGTTTTCAGTCAGTTATTATGGTGCAAGGGACAACCATCCAATTTCAAAAAATACAACACAAGCTTGGCAACTCCTTTCCCATATATTTTCTGTCATGCTCATCTTCCTCAATACAGATGTTGCTGAAGCACTATATTTTGGCAACTACAAGTCTCCTTCTCCTCTAACCATTATAGGGGCTGCTCTACAGGACTTCCTTGCTCAGGCCAAGAAAACGGATGCAAATGAACCCTTCTAGCTTTGTAGAACTAATCTATGAGCAGATGTTTCTGCAGCATGTTTTTTCCTTGGTCCTTACCTTGCCTGTAGAGCTGGCTCAGATGTAACACTGACCCATAGCTTAGTGTGGTGAGAAAATATGACCATCTCTGGCTCATGCACTTCCTCTCCTTCATGTCATCCAGACCTGACACATTCTAGTTAATCATAACTACAACTGAACAGAGGCAGCCTGTCCAGTTTCGCCACCTGGGGGGAAATGGGAAGATGCTTCCCTCCCCCCTCTGCTGCCTCACTGCTGAAGCCTTTGTTTACCTGGGTCACACAGTGGTGGCTTCCAGTGAGTGGTGGCAGCAGGGGTGGGTGGGGCACCCACAGTGGTGCTGCCCAGCAGGATTCTGCCACCTGAGGTGGCTGCCTCAGTCTGCCTCCTGCCAGCCCTGCAGCTGAAATAAGCCAATAAACCATAGTTTAAGAGCAACCACAGTTTAGGTTTAAAATGCTAAACCGTGATTAATATAAAACCAGAAGTAGTAGGTCCTGACCTTTCATCATAACTTCACCAGAAGGGGAAGGGAAACATGTGAGCCCAAGCCTCTTGCTTGTGATGCTACATGATTTAGCATTACAGGTAGATGCAGATTTCCACTTCTCATAGAGTGGAAATCCAGAGGAATGGAGGAGAGAAAAATGCCTGATCTTTTCTAGGTGCTAAATCACTGGGGCAACCATCACAAATGCTTTCCTTCCCCCCTGACTAAAAGGCAAGAAAGAAGCAAGATTAGACTACTTTAGAACTGGAATCCACTTCTAATCAATTGATTGAGGTTCAGTGCCTCAAATAAACATGTCAAGATAGCTAAGAGAAAGAACAAATCATTGTTTCTTCACCTAGCCTCAAAGGGGCCATTGAGCTTCTCCTGTGCTGTTTAATGCAAGTTAGAAAGCAGAATAAATCCATGTTAAAACTGAATGTTTTAATACAGTTAATATGGGTTTAGCATTCAGTTGTCGAAACAATGCAGGAAATGCAAATACATTTTTTGTGTCATGTGATAAAATATTTGACATTTAAATAGATAGTTTGTTTCTAATGGTTGTTTATTGCACAGGAAACTACCTAAAGCAAGAGCACATTAATTTGGATTTGGGTGTAAACTAAAGTCTTCAGAGACATCTCCTTACAAGAATTTATACTGCTTTCTTTGCTTTGATGTGTCCAGGTTTGTGTTTGAGGAGCAGCTTGCAACAGCATTTTATGGGCAATTCTTTTCTCTGAACATATCATTCCATAGCCTATTGTTACAGAGAAGAGCTATCTGCTTCAGGAATAATGTAGATTGATGCCCATTAAAGACTTCATTCTGACTGTTTTATTGCTGCTCATAATTGGAGAGGGCATAATATCACCAACAGTACAATAAGTGGCATAATGTGTCTGGATTTCAGAGGAAAAATGTGGACCTTTTAGTGCCACTGTTATATAGATAATAGAAGGGGTATAACAAACCTAATGAGCAGTGTTTCAAGTTTAGTTCTGAAACATCATGACAGAGCATTTTTTTCTGGTAGTATTTTATTTTTAAGGAAAATTAAAATGAGTGTATTTTGAGCATGAAATCTGCATTTGGTAAGGGAAACCAACTGAATTTGTAAATTACATTTTCTGCTTCTGCAGATGTCCTTGCAGTTTGACTACAATAAATGCAATCATGTAAGCATAATATCATATATGAGAACAGCCTGGCTTCCCTTCAAGCAACACAAACAAATAAATCTCATTTTCCTACACAAATGTGGATAGCAGGGCATTGAACTGCAATGTGTATAAAGTGTTGGTGTTGATATGTTTTCCAGTAGTATGGATTGTGTTTTGCTTTTATTACCTGCTTCCATTGAAGCATGAGTAAAAGCGTACGTGCAGAATCATCTGAGCCTTTACTTTCTGCAGTCTATAGTTTGGGTGCCATTTTTAGCAGAAGATTCAGTATTTAAGTACCTCCTTTGAAGTCCAGACAATTGGTATGTTCTCAGGATGATCTCTGTGCTATCAAAATCTCAAAGCTATCTCAAAACGATTACAATAAAATGAAATCTGTGTGACTATAATGTCTCAGTTCGTTTTGCTGTTTCATTACCTGGATCATTCCTCATGTCATCATAAAGTCGCTGATGTGCAAATGAGTCCGTTTTTCTCTTCCCACACATGAAATACCCCACCAGAGAGATTAATGCACACCCTAGAATTGCTCCTACTATTGCACCAAACACTACAGCTCCATTACTACGGTTTTCTGAAAAACAAAAACAAAATGGATTTTTAAGCAAACATATAACTTTCACAAGCAGCTCTGGAAAATAATCCCTGAATGTTAGGGGTTTGGGAGCAGAGAGAGACCATATAGTCATCCCAAATAATGACTGGCAACTGAGCGAAGGCAAAATGTCTAGATCCCTGATAAGATCTGAACATCCAATCAGAGTTTATGATCCAAAACATTCACTTCTACATATAACTCTAAGTCATTTTAAAGAAACTATTATGAAAACAGTTTATCATATGTCATTTATTTATTTATTTATGGTATTTTTGTTCTTCCCCACAACTAAAGTTGTGTAGATAGAATTGTCACAATACAACATGAACAATAGAATTGCAGTATGAGACACAGTGCAGGACAGATTAAGGAGTAAAATTAAATGCAAACAAGACTTAATCTGTTTAGTAAGTAATATGATATTCACACATCTGTCTGTCTATTCCACTTTTTATACTGAAATTATTTCCTGTCCGTCGGAATCAGAAGTATAGGCTGCACCCATTATAGACTTTTTGTGTGAAAAAGAAAATGAATTTATTATATCTGGGTTTGAGGATTGAAGAAAATATTGGTTTATAGAAAGCAAAATTGTTGGGTGCTATCTTGGAGCAGATGTTTTGGATAATTTAGATAAAGAACCAGAAGTTCTCTTTTTTCTTATTTTACGCTTTCCTTTTTTCACCGTCTGGTTTGTGTTTTTATTTAGATTGCTTTCTTTTATCTTTGATAAAAAGATATTGGAAATTTGATTTTTAACAGTTGTATATTTTCTTTCCAACTTAAATAAAATCTAAATGGAAAAAAGAAGTGTAGGCTGCATAGTTTGGTTACAAACTTTGTAGCACATTTTATACCCTGTATTGGTATTTTCTGTTGACATATTCTTTATAGCAGCATTTGGATTGCGGGGGATAGACATTGTCAGAACTCTGAAGACAAGTTGGGAAATTATGAAAGCAATGTTCTTTCTTCAGAACAGGCTGTACAATCTGCACTAAATAAGCTTTTCTTCCCTATAAACAAGGACCACGTGCAAAAATAAAATAGAACCTATGGGTGGTATTCAACTAAATCTTATAAAGACTAGACCTATGAAATTAATGAAGATGACTGTTAGCTCTATTAATTTCAATGAGTCTGCTCTGAGGAGAACTTAGTTGACTATCCTTCCTTGGTGCACTGATGTTCTTCAGAATTAGTTCACTCAGACATAATGCTACATTGAAAAAGATGTCCTTTTATTTCAATTTTACCATTATTAGAATGCAATGGAGGGAAAGAATAAGAAAAGTCTGTCTATGGCCATGTAAATGTAAACTAGAATCCTGTCAGGTTTTTCTTCTGCAAAATAAATAGTTCAACTTCTGTAACTCCTTTTAAAACTGAGCCAGCTGCAACAGTGGGTCTAATAATATCTATCTACTCTGGGTGGACTATGGTAATGTAGATACTATTATTGAGTGGTGAAATATTCTTGAAAATTAAGGTACCTTTTTGAGGTTCTCTTGCTTCTGCCAACCCATCAGTAAAACTGGAGTACAGACTCGTGGTTTGCAAACTTATCCGTAAAGCTGTTGTAACACTGTTGATCTTAGTACCTGGTGACATGGTTGATGTATTTGACATACTACTGGTAGGATGAACTGTTATGCCATCAATTTGAGTTCCATTAGAAGAGACTATGGTGGTAGAACTGACATTATAGTTGGCTGTGGTAGAGTTGTTCATTGCTTTCTCTGTTGAATTGATATAAGTTGTGACTGAATAGTTTTCAGAGATTGTGAACAGGCCACTGCTGACTGTAGGCATCTCTGAAGGACCTGATGTTCCATTGATTATTGCAGAAGTCTGATTTGAATCTTTTGTTGTAAGATTCAGCTGATGTGCCATTGAAGATAACCAAGTATTAAGGAGTGTCACACTGCTGCTTTGGGTACTGCTTTCCATCACCATATTTTTTGTTGTGTTGTCATCAGTGTCTGTTGGTGATGTAAGAGTTACAGAAGGAGTTCTTCCAGAAGTTACAGATTTATTGGATGATTTATTTATAAATATAGTAGAACTCATGGTTGTGTTATTTAAGCTGCTTGTAGTGGCTGTGATACTTAGCGCATTGACACCAGCATTTCTGGTTGACTGCAAGTTAGCCAACAGCAAAATGAACATAATTTCTTCTGGGAACATCATTTTCCCTCCACAGGTATGATACTTATTTCTTGATATGATGAACCTGTAAAAAAGTTCAGAGTTTATATTCATCTTTATATTGCATCTTTTTTATATAAAAAAAGTCACAAAATTCACTGAATTGAAGATCGAAATTAATAAATACACAAAGGATATCTTGCAGTTCTCATTCTGGTTGTCTCAGTTGTGGTCAAATACTAGGTTTCCCCTTTTATAAACTTGGTGTTCTCATGAATTCACTGGTACGCTATAGACCAAGATATTGGGGGGTATCCCAATCTTCTGTGAAAAGAGTCAATGAATACATGTGGCTTACACTCAGGATCTGACTGACTCCCATATTTGGGGCTAAGAAGGAAACGTTATGCAGGTCTAAACTGCCCAATTACAGTACTCTCACAATAACAAGTTTAGGTGTGAGTGGGAAAAGAGCAGTGTGTTGTCACTCCCAGTCAGCTGATGCGATTAATGGCAGTATGAAGGACAGGAGTTACCATCACTCTGCTTGTTCCTTGAAAAATTGGAGTCCCAACTACTAAATTCAACACTTGTCTACTGTAATAGCTTTTTCTCAAAACTTTGCAATTTAAGAACACATTTCTCTTTTTCAAGATAGCAGGATGGTTTGGTCTTATAGACAAGGCCTAATAGCTGTCATTATTCTTGAGCTAGACATAGGGTCATCTTATAGGAATGTATTTTTAAAATGTATTGCCTTTCTCATTGTGTATTATCAGAAATTGTTTTCTGTAAGATTGGTTTCTCTTCTCCGAGCTTTCTGATAGCACAGCTAAGGGACAAAAAAATAATAATTTTTTTAAGGAACAAATGTCCTGGTCAGTTTTCAGGTCCCATAACTGTCTAAAAGAAACCTCACTTTCCTCAGCTACCTTTCTTGTTTCAGTACATTCTGGTAACTTTTTAAGTTTGGTGATACTGGGGTAAGTCTCTTCAGTGGACAGAACAGATTTGTTAATCACTCAATTTTGTGAATCACACAAAATTGTGTGATTAATGCTTTATTGCATCATTGCATTTCATGAATTATCTTTCCCCTTTTGTGGTCTTGGCAGAATTGTGCTCATAAATTACTTTATTCCCATCAGGCAAATCACCATAGTCCCCCTCCATACATTGTGTGTAGGGCTATGCATGTATAGGAGTCCTATTCACTAAAGTACACACATGGAGCCTGGATGTTTGCATGGGAAAAACCTACGTTCATAAGCTCCCATTGGCAGATGTTTATGCTCAAGACGAGGACCTCAGGGGAAAGAGAACAGCATGATATGAGGAACAGGGGTGAAGGGATCTTGTATCTCCTCTTACTTAGGCACCATGTCAACTGTACATGTTGGTGCCTGTTTTCAAAGTATGTTGCATATGTCACAGGCAACTTCAGTCAAATTTACACACACAAAAAATCACTCTTTTTATTTGCTTGTAAATATTTTGCCCACATAGCTGAATATAAAAGAAAAGCAAATTATTTGCTGCAATTACTTTGTTCAAAATATGGCTGCAATTCTTGTGAAATGAGTCAAAGCAGAAGAGACAAATCATTATTTGGCTGATTCCCCACCCTGCATAAGTGGCGGTATTCAAGATGTAATTAATCTGCTTATCCTGAGTTACAAGCCCTCTGACTGAATGAACAAAAACATTTGTCATACCTTGTGACTGCATTCCCTCTCCCCCCCTCCGCCCCGCCCACTATAACCAATACTTTAAAGAACCACAGGAAGAACAAATAAAACATCGAGTGAGCTTTTAGCAAGCTCTCAAATATTCCTTTCTCTTCATGGCCATACTTGTTGTTTTCCTTTCTGGCGCAACCTGCTCTGCTTTCCATCAATAGCCATTTCATTACTACACAAAGTGAGTTTTGTCATTTTTGTTTTTATTTCACCTTGGCTGTAATTTGAAACCCCCACAGGAAATTACCCAAAGTTCACTTAACTAAAGCTTTCATTTACAGGGCATGATGCTGAAATCGCTGTACTTGCAACACAAAAGTCTCTCTCTTTTTTTTGTTCCATCCACTATAATTTTCCACTTGGAAAATGGGGGACTCAAAAAAAGAGAAATAGTTGAGTTTATTTTTAGTTATGTGTTTCCCAGAAATCCTTTCATGTGTAATAATAAACCGGTTTCTTGTTCTTTCGTTTAACATTTCTCGGCATGCGCATGCCCGCAGATATAATAGCACATACACTTAGTGGCAAAAGCTGAAATGCAGGAATCAGCTGATCTGGCTTTTGTCCTTTGCTTCTAATTTGAGTTTTGCCTCTTTCTCTCCAACAAGGTTGCTTACAAAGGGCCACTTTAGCACCCAGTAATAACTTAAACCAAAATAACTTCTTCTTTTTTAAAGACACTGATGTTTATCATTTCATTTCTCTGTAGCACAAATTCTTTATGAACAGGTGGAACCCTAATTACACCTCATTCCCACCAATGACGTTCACCATGGGAGGAACCTCCAAGTTCACAGGAAGTGAATCAATGAATAACAATTACTGGTGGGGAGCAGCAGGAGAGAAGGACTATTGCCTTCACACCATGCTTACAGCTTCTCAGAAGCATTAGATTAGCCATTGTAGGAAGCAGACTGCCCTTATAGTCTTATGGGATCTTGCTAGGCTACTTTTTAGTAGTGATTTAGTGTGATTACAACCCCAATGCTTCATGTATTTGCCCAATTTACTGCTTCTCCATGTTTACTGGCTCTCTCTCCCTTTTGTTTAAAAGAGGGGTGGTGGTGATGGCTGTTGTAGTTATTATGAGATATGAGTTCTCAACTGCTGTAGTATAATTTATTCTTCAACATATTCAAATATATAGCATTGTATCCAATTAACTTTTACTCAGATTACGCCCATTGAAATTAATAGCCATGGCTAATTTGGGCCCATTAATTTCAATGTAAGATTAATTGAATTCAGCCCATATATTTTTCCATGTATAAGATGCCCAAATGTATAAGACAACCCCCCCCCTTTTAGCCCACAATTAAGAAATTAAGTTGTTTAGCTTTGGGGGCGGGGCGGGGAGGTCATTTCTGCCAATCGCTCACCCACCTGCCTGCCACTGCCAATCGCTTGCCACAGTCACTGCCAATCGCACACCTCACCGCAGCTGCCAATTGTCTGCCCGCTCACTGCCACCAGCAGCTCATCCACCCACTTGCTTCAGCCGCCAATCGCCTACCCACCTCACCACAGCCGCCAATCACCTGCTCAGTTTCCGCAGCCACAGCCAATCGCCAGCAGGCCTTGCCACAGCCACCAATCACCTGCCCAATCGCCGCTGCCAGTCTCCTGCTGGCAGCTGCCATTAATCGCACACACACACACACCCCTCTGCATTAACTATCCGTGTATAAGATGACAGCCGATTTTTGCCTCTTTTTTTACAGCAAAAAGCATCATCTTATACACAGAAAAATATGGTATTTCACATTTGCCCTGATTTTTTCCTTTCCTGCTGAAATATTCCCACCTTGAAAATTATGGACCTGCATTTAGGCAGCCTAAGTTGTGTGCAGGTTTCCAGCCCTAGTTTGGATTAAATTTATGGTAATATGATATGCATGGATCTCATGTCCAATAAAGACTGTTAATATCTCTCTACCCCCATTTATTTAATTGGTCTTCCTTTATCTTTAAAACTTACACTGGATTACAGCAGTAAAAATATGCAAAATACATGCCAATTAAAAAACAACACAAATCAAAATTCACTAAAAGGTATTTCTAAGTTAAGAAATTAACATTAATTACCAAAGACTAACCCTCACTATAGTCAGGTTTGGGCTTTGGTGAGTCTCATAGGAAGAACATTCCAAAGTTCTGGGTGTCACTGTGGAATCTGATCTATGTGTCCTTGCTTCAGTGAGCATGAATAGGGACTATGCAAGGGAAAATTCAAAGCAGATGTAAATGATGAGACATTGAGGAAAATATGAATTCTCGTGAATTCAAATAAGGCATATGCCAATTAGAGTTTTGATTTATGAGAGCCAGCCATAATCATATATCTCCTCCCTCCCTCCCTCTCTCTCTTTCTGTGGTTGTGTGTGTCAGTTAAGGCACACCCATACCCAAGCAGACTACAAGGTCATGTAAACTACTAGGATTTTGTAGCAACTGCAAATAGTTTAGAGTCCTATTATCTTTGCAGGGTATACTTTATACACAGTAAGACTTCACTTAGCTTTGCAATAGCAAAATCACATGTGTGACGGTCATAAGATCCCTTCACATGATACTTGTTTGATCATGTAATCGATAGGATTGCATTCTGCCTCTAGCCTTGCCCTGATAATTCCATAATCTCATTGGCCCTGGCCCTGCTATCCACGTATTAAGATGAGATGCAGAAACCTACGCAAGTGGACTCCTATGCCCTGGAATGCTGCTAACACTTGCGCACTGGCAGAGCTGTGCATTATCAGGGGTGTGCTGAGAGGTGTGGCCAGGCAGCCCCTTTAAGCATATGATGCCTCTGTAAAGAGAAATTTCTCTGGGTATCTTTCCTCCATCTGAATGACTTTGGGCATGGTGAAAAGAGAGGTGGCGCTTCCTGCCTCTGCAACACTCTGTCGTTTTTGACATGACACTTTCACACTTCCTGCCCTTACATTGTAAACTTACATATCTCCTGGGCATAGAGGTGAATTTTTCAATCATTAAGCTATTGTAGAAGGAGAAAGTGGGAGGCACTCACTCTCCTTGTACCTAATGCCCCTCATTCAGATTCATAGCCACCAATGATTTTTGTATTAAAGCAGGCATGTCCAAAGTTCATTTTGGGGGCCTAATTTGGCTCACCGGTTGGTTCAATTTGGCCACTGTGGCTCAACAACTTAAATCCTAAAAAAATGGTCAACAGCTTTGGTTGGCCCTCACAGCCCTTCAGTTCATCAAATCTGGCCCTCTTTGAAAAAAGTTTGGACACCACTGTATTAAGGTATAATGTCTGTGAACCAGCAGCCCTGCTCTCCACAGTCTCCCGCTCCCCTGAACCAGCCCCAAACCACAATGTTAAAAGCTGTTTTAAATTTTAAACATCATCTGTAGTTTGGTAATGGTGGGGTTACCATGTCAATAACACACTGGTGCAGCTATCATGCCTGCTGTACTTCCTCTAGTATCGTTATTCATAAAGGATAATAGTAAGCATGAAATAAAGTAAGTTAATGACCTTCGTACTTATATTGCGTCTACATATTGTCTTATATACCTTGGTATTAGGAATGGGTGAATATGTCAATGTCAGTTCCTCATTTTTCCAATCTTAAATTCAGTCCTCTAGATTTCCACACCAGTTTATGAATTTTTGTATTAAATTAATGGCCCCATGAAAATTCATCAGTTGCAATGTAAATTTCTAATATGCACATTGTAATGCAGGCTTCCCTAGTCCAAAGCATTATTATTTGTTAATTTCACTACTATGTGAATCTTTATGCATGTGCTATTTTAGCATATGCATTTTGCACATATTACTTGACTTTGAGGGCCACATTGCAAAATTCAGAGAAGCGAACATTTCAAAGTGTCAATTTCTGTATTGTCCCAGAAAGTGCAAACTAGGTAGCTTCATCTTTAAATGTGAACTGAATTTAATTTATTACCCCATCCCTACTTAGTATGTTCTAGTGATATCATTTAGCATATGGCTTGTAAAGGCTAAAATGCTACTTGACCATAATTGTTTGAAGACATTTTTTTTAAAAAATCCAGTCCAATCTCACTTTTTCTACCCCATCATTAACTCTCATTTGTGGGGCAGAGGAAGGTGTTTTTCCAGATAGTTCCCCCTCTCTGCGTTATACCAATGCTTAAATAGGAGAACTCCAATAATCTAGTATTTCTTTCCTGAGTACAGGTGCAACTTAGCCAGTGTATACATTCATAAACTACAGAGAAGTGTTGTCTTCTACATGCATTCTGTGCAAGTAATTGCACATGTTAAAGATGAAATACTAACTTTGAAACTTTCAGAAAGAACAGCAGACATTATAATGTTACTGAACAGTAAAAGGTCATTTGGGGTAGTGTTTATATACAGTTAACACATGCTAGAGTTTATCACTTTGAGAAATACTGTCATTTAAATTCCTTGAGATATGCCTCCTCTTGCCCACTGCTTAGAAGTGAAGGAGAGGGGGAGACGTTGCAAGCAGAATGTAAGTTAAACGCAACTAAGAACATATCTTCAGATCTGTGCCAGGCCAGGGCATTACCTGGCCGATACAACTGTTAGTTTCTAACCAGGATCACTTACAGACAGAGACATTTTTGAAGAGCTAATGCAAGAGACTAGAAAGATCACTTGGTGAAAACCATTAACTAAAAGCCACTTACCTTTTCAGCTCAGCAGTAATATTTAGGAAGTTGTTGAAAAAACTCTCCTCCTACTTGGAGTGCAATAAGACTAGTCTGCTGAAAACTGTGCAACGCAGGTAATGTAAATGTGTCAGTGTTGTGGTGGTCAGGAATGCACGGTAGAAACGAAATTAGGTGGGGCTGCATTTCTCTGAGTGTAATAGAGCACCTGAGAACCAGAATGACCTGCTTCTCAGCTGTCTTGTTGAGACATAGCATTAGAGAGATCATAGAATTCGGAGCTTTCAGGATCAAGTGAACAGGTCATTTTGTTGCTGCGGGAAAGACTACCAGGGGCTGCAGTAAGATGAACGGTTTTTAGGAGTTCGGTGTTTAGCTTTTTAAAAATATACATTCAATGAACCGTCATTATTTTATAGGAGGCTTGTAGCAATTTTGGAGGGAACTTTATTGCTACTCAAAATGTGCCCCAAAGCTGAAGTCCCGAGAGATGTGAGTCAACATACTTTCTCTTCTTAAAGGGAAGGAATGAATACAGTACTAAAGTATTAGGAACAACAACAAAAGTGTTGCCAGAGACTTAGCTAACTTGCTAGTGGCATATATCAGCTTCTGATTTAAAGGGCACTGTCATTAAAAATTCTTATCTACATTTTGTAAGCAGAATGAGAAACTCATTTTCTAGTCTTCTGTAATGCTAATTAAAAGGTGAATCGAAAGAAAGAAAGAAAGAAAGAAAGAAAGAAAGAAAGAAAGAAAGAAAGAAAGATCAGTTTTTCACTTTATACTACTGCACTAGCCTGGAGGTATACTTTATGGCAACAGTATGGCATTTTACTTGTTGCCTTGTAACCTGCTCAGGGAACATGTCAATGGGCAGCCCAATAAATCTGCTAAGAAAACAAATACATAAAACTTTTAAGTACATTAAATTGTAACCTGTAATCGTGGGGTAAAAGTTTTATTTTTAATCCATTAACCCTGAATTCCTGTCAAAATCCCCTCTTCTAGACAAGAATTAATAGTTCACGGACCCTGTCATCTTTTGCATATAATCACCCTTTGTGGTGGTTGTATTAACTCTTGTGGTTCTTGTATTAATTTACAAAGCCCCTAACAACTTGGGTCCAGGATATTTCAGGAACTGCCTGTTCTCGTATTTTATTTTATTTTATTTTATTTATGTCACCCTTCATCCAAGGATCATAGAGTGGTTTATAGTATATAAACACAATGTATATATAATAATAACAGACAAAACAATACCCCCACCCTATAGATTGATTAATTAGCCAAAGGCCTAGGAGAAGGTTTTCTCCTGGCACCTAAACACATGTAATGAAAGATTTAATGTAATGCGGATTTGAAGAAAATGCCATAAAAACCCAGAAGCATGTAAGTAAGGATGTAGGTGGTAAGTATCTTCCTACCCAACCCTTCTTCTCCCGTCTCCTTGGGCTTCCCCTCCTCAGCCCTGCTTCCAAGACTCTCCAGAGGGTCAGGAGACTCTCTTGAATGTGGTGGGCTGCAGCAAGGAAGGCTGTGGTAGGGGAGGAGATCATCCAAGCTGGGGCTGAGGCACCTTCCGTGAGCAGAAGCCAGCCTGAATGCCACAGCACACTCAAATTCAAAGGGTCACTTGGAGGCAGGGCTTGGAGACAGGGCTGCAAGTGGGAATAGGAAGCAGAATGGCCACCTCCTGCTAACCCTTGATCAATAAATCTATAAATATATCTGATCAGATGTAGCTCCCAGAAACAATACATCTATTTCTTGTGTGAAGTGGGTATACATTGTGCCAGGTAACATACTGATCTCACCAAGGTTCTGGTCTTTGGGCTGCACTTTTTCAAAGTTCTCTGTTCTGCTAATATTTTGAGACAACATCTCCTGTGCCGTTATATCAAAAAGAGGGGTGTCAATTGCTTTGTTTCCAACCTGCAGTTCTTGAAAGCTTTAAGGGTACTTCAAATAATTCCTCAGTGCTTTTGTTGGTGAGAAATCCATGCAGGCATTCTCCCATGGCCATCTGAAGTGCTATTAAAGGCAACAGGATGTTGCATGAGTGCAGGGACTTCCATGGGCACAGCCTTTTCCAAGATCAAGACCTTCATTTCTTAAAATGGAATGTTGTTCACTACAAACGGTAACATTGTGGAGGTCTCACTGTGCAACTTAATGGAATTGTCTCCTATTTCCTCCCTGGCTGGTAGACCTAGACTCCTGACAGGAAGCATAATTCAGGTCTACCTGTTATATTTAATGGACAGTAGATCAGAGAGCATTGTCCTAGAGTGGAGATCACAGCTGCTGCACGCATCCTCTGGCCCTGTTCTTGCCATGCTGCCCAGAGCTAAGCTATGGATTTCTTAACATTACATACCTCAGACAAACCATGAGTGGTAAATCAAGAAAAAACCTAGGTTGCAGCTTAGCTACAAAGCATGAGCCTGGGTTGGGATATCATGCTAAGCCAAACCATAGCTTAGTCCTGTTTAGTGCAATAGCCACAGAACCAGGGGAGTGCCCAGTGCCTGCTATCTTCACTCCAGGGAACCGCATGGTTCATGCTAGGCCATGATTTAGCTGAGTGTTAGATGTGAGCTGGGTATTTCTGTCGCCTAATCCTTGCAAAGATAGGGAATGTATTCTGGGTCTGTAGCCCAGAGATTCTGTAGGGTGGAGTAAGGGGTTGGATTGGAGAAAAGCTCATAGATGTAGCTTCATGCCTGATTAGGTTTCATTTTGTCCTAAGACTCTTAAGTCTTGACAAATGACAACTGTTGGCTCTCTCTCTCTCTCTGTGTGTGTGTGTGTGAGAGAGAGAGAGAGAGAGAGAGAGAGAGAGAGAGCGCGCACCAGTCTGGATGTTTCTCATCTAGGTGTAAGAATTACACATTAGGGAAGCAATGGGGAATCTCAGGCCTGGAGCAAAATGCTGTCCTTCAGAGCTTTCTATCTAACCCTGGCAAATCTCTCCAAGTCATAGGCCTTACTGTCCCTGCTTCCCATCCATAGCAGCCAACTCCTAGGGTCCAAGGTCCTGTCACCCCCTGAAATAAAATATTTGAGGAGATGGGAGCTCCATTCAAATAGTGTGTGCATGCTGCATCTTGTGATCAATTATGTAAGGCGGGGCTTACTAGGGGGCATCAAATATTGTATTCAAGTTTATTCAAGTTTTATTCAAGTTCCCATCCAAGTATCCCCCCCCCCAACTGAAATGCGTTTTAATGCTTCATGCTTGTCTGAATGGAGAATAGTAAAGGTGTGGGTGTGTGGAAACTAGCCTGCTGTACAAAAGTAAAATTCACATGGTCGCTTTGCTCATTTTTGCCTCTGGCCCCACACATCGCTGGCATTCGACCCTCAGAAAGTTGCCCAGAAAGAAATGTGGCCCTCAGGGTGAAGTCATTTCCCTGCATTAGGGTATACAGTGGTACCTCGGGTTAAGAACTTAATTCGTTCCAGAGGTCCGTTCTTAACCTGAAACTGTTCTTAACCTGAGGTACCACTTTAGCTAATGGGGCCTCCCGCTGCTGCCGCTGCACCACCACCACACAATTTCTGTTCTCATCCTGAAGCAAAGTTCTTAACCCGAGGTACTATTTCTAGGTTAGCAGAGTCTGTAACCTGAAGCGTCTGTAACCCGAGGCACCACTGTAATTGGGTGTTACCCATTAAGCTAATTTTTTCAATGCCATTGGGGTTCTTTGGAACTACTGAATTTCTAAACTAAAAAAATGAGTTAGTTTTGCAGAAGCTTTTGAATTTCTGGAGCGCAGAAGGTTTCCATTTTTAGAAAATGATACCCAGCACTAATTGGCTAGAAAGAGAAGATTCACTCTCCTTCATAGTTTTCAGCTGCAGCAGAAAGAGGAGCTAGAGGGCCAGTGAAACTGGACAAATCACAGTGCTATAGTTGGTGTCCTAGTCAGCTTAATCACACTGCACTTTAAAGGCAATTCAATGAGCAACTCATTGAGCTCAGTGGTCATTTGATTTTAATGTTATCATGTAATTCATGGCTTTCACAGCTACAGTGTTCTTAGAGTTTTGGAAGAGGCGAAGGGCTGTGCTAACCTATGACTGGGATCTTATAGACTGGGAAGATGAAGAGGTAAGATTCATAAAAAGTACGTTACAACAGCAGTTTTGATGTCTTCATTCAGGGTGCCAGGGTTTTTGAAGTTTTGCATGTGCTGTTAGTATATTGTGTGAGTGCTGAGTTTGCCTTGATTTCACCTGCCTATGCACATACACCCAAATATGTGTGGGCACAATCTGGGCACTCCATTTGCAGGGTACCAGATCTTACGTACAGTATCTGGTATGGATTTGAGTGATGTGCAGCTTTTCATGTGTGGAGGTCAGGGATGTGGCTGCTGATATAGGGCCCAGCGATCCCCAACAAATAAATATCTAAAAGGGACGTAATGTGTGAAAACAAAATTTTAAAATAGGACTACGAATAAGACACTCAGCTGGCACTGATATCACATTGCTTGTCAAATAGCAGTTTTAAAGATATCTATCTTCAGGGTTTTCCCAGAGCAGCTTAGTGTTAAAATTCCATAATACCTTATGAAGTGATATATAAAGTATGTGGAGCATATCAACGTGAAGGGAAGTATTAAAATTTTTCATCATTGTGCCATATGTATACATGCCAACCACTTCAGGCATGAACTGAAATAAATGTTTGTAATTGCAGGAAGAGCTTCGCCCCCAATTTGAAGCAAAATATTCTCAAGTGGAACGAGTGAATCCTATAACAGGGAAGCCTGAACCTTTTCAACCCTTCCCTGATAAACTTAGTCGACTGATGGTGTCTGTGTCAGGAATATTCTTTATGGTAAAGTCACTAAAAAATATTGGACATTTTGTATAGGAATTACGGGCTATTTCCTATCAGCCTAAATTGTTTATAGTTCTTCTCAGATTCAGAGGTAATTCATTATACAGTAAAGTAAAATAAGGAAATGAAGGTCATTGTTTGTGATTTAAGACCAGGGCTAAACAATTATTTTAACTGAAAAATAAACAAGCAGCTTGGACTTGAAAGAAATGTGATGATTTCATAGTATTTACAAGCCTGTAATTCTGTAGAATCTTTTCCCAGTCAATGCCTATTTTTGGTATAAATATTTTTAATTTTATCTGTTTGCAGATTTCGTTAGTCCTCACCGCAGTGTTTGCAGTTGTAGTCTATCGCCTTGTGGCTATGGAGCAGTTTGCCTCTTTCCAGTGGTATTTCATTAAAAAGTATTGGCAGTTTGCGACATCAGGCACAGGAGTCTGCATCAACTTTATGATCATCATGTCTCTTAATGTTGTAAGTTCCCAATCTTTATTCATAAGTGAAGGATCGTCTGAGTATATACAAAATGAATTAAAATGTAGAATTGGTATACCATTTGTTCCTTGTGTAGGGCAGCAGCTGGGGGGGCAGAGAGTGGTGGGATAGCATTGCTTCCTTCGCTTCCCTGTTGGTAACTGAGGGGAGGGGGGCCTAGGTGATGGGAAGGTTGGTGTGGTACAGGCGCAGTGGTAGAGTCAATCCAACACTCACCATGCCACACTTGTCTGACTTCTCTGCTGCCTTGACCCTCTCCCTTCCGGTAACCAGCAGCAACCTCTGCTTGGGGAAGTCAGTTAACAACACTGCCCCCAACCAGCTCTAACCCTCTGGCCATTACTGGGCAGCACCTTCAATTAAACAACCCAATCTAATAAAAACTAACTTCAATTTAAGCAATTCTAGTTTGTAAGCTAAAATTGTAAACAAGTGGTCCAGTTTGCCAGTTTCTGGGACTCCTTAATTTTGTTTCCACTGCAATTCTGAAAACTAATTATAGTATGAACTTGGCTTTGGCCTTATAACCAATCACTAACAACATTAGCAAATATAATTAGATATGAAGCTTTTCCTTACGCAGGCTGCCTCCAGATAAAGTGTATATTGAGCAAAGCATATTTCCCTTAATTTTGATATTACTTTCCCTAATGTATTTTGCGTGCTGTTTTCACTCATATATGCACTTTATGAACACTACGCTTTAGTGTATCCATTTTTGTACACATTACTTGGCTTTGAGACTTGCATTGCAAAATTCGAGGTTTTGTATTTCTGTTGGCATATTAGGTTATTTGCCTTTAAATGTTAACTGAGTCAATTTTCTCCTCCATCCCTGTTCAGTGCTGAGGCAAACTGATTAGACTTTAGGCTTCCAAGTATCTGATTCTGAGGTGTTCTCTTCAAAACGCCCTTCTGGCAAATGCCTGCCATGACAATATTTCTCAGTATCATTGCAGAGGAACTAAGGAGATGAGGATCATACTGAGAAACAGGCTTTTGAAACATTATTCTAACCATTATTCATGTTGTTTGAAGTTCCATATCAGGATCAAGGCAAGTATAGGCATGTTAGCAAAGAAAGAAAGTCAAAGCTCTTACAAATATGGAGACACTCCAGGAAATAAATATTCGATTTAAATCTGGCCGTGCCCTAAGGCAAATGCTCGTGTAAGAGGAATGGGTGTGGATATACCTTTCATGACTATATACGTCCCTGAGCTGACGCATATAAAACTAGAAAATCTAGCCTAGGAATTTATTGACTTTGTTTGGATAAGCGTGACACACATAGTACTTTAATTAAATATTCAACACCCTAATAATATATTTGATACTACTTAACAGAATATCTGGCTAGAACACACTGATTTTGAGGAGAATAGTTGTAATCATCGTAGCCTGATCTAGCTAAAGTTTACTATTTAACACCCCAATAATATTTCTGATTTTATTTAACAGAATATCAGGCTGGGACACATGGATTTTGAGCACGACAATACTAAACACAATGTCTTCAATGCATTTAAAGTTAGCCATGATTTTGTCCTGTGAAAATCTTAGAGAACTAAGTTGCTTCTTCTGTTTTATTTGGCAAGTTTCTGATGAAGGAGCTCCAGAGCAGACAAAAAAAGTTATTTCAAAGAACTAGAAACAATCACCCACAAGCACATCACATATACATTTACATTTATTTAATGGAAAACGTGTTTGACAGTGTAATTCAATACAAGTCTACATGAATGTTAGTTCCACTGAGTTCAGTGACGTTTACTATCAAGTAAGTAGGCACAATACTGAAGCTGAATGTACTATGTAGCTAGACTTGTATATTGTATTTTAAGCATCTTCATAAATAGCACTCAAAGTGCAGATTCATTTTAACTCTATCCCCAGAGGTGAGTTTGTTACATTAGCGCTCTGCACTGGATGCAACTGAGTCCTGAACTGAATCAGGCTGGTTTGGGGAGAATCTGGTTGTTGGCTGAGCTGGGTTAAGATAGCCCTAGCTCAAGACAGGACTGGTAAAAGGCCCAGATCCAGGGCTGTCAGAGGGGTAGAGCATAGGAAGCAGGGGCAGGCTTGAGTGGGAAAAGGGGGGGCTACAAAAAGGGGAGACCTACCAGGCAGCTGTGTGTTCCTGCAAGAAGGTAGGGGTGGGTGGATGAATACCTTTCCTGCCTGACTTCTTCATCCCAGCAGGCCCCTCCTTTCCCTGTTCCCTGAAGCAACACCACACAAGAGGGTTTGATCTTGTTAAGTGTTGGTTGCTGCTCTTTCATGAGTGGCTCCCCTTCATGCAGGGAAGCTGCCCACAAAAGAATTTGTCAGATTCACATCAACTGATTTCACAGTAAAAGTGAATTAGTTAGTTTCCCATTAAAAATGCAACCAAAATTAAATCTCTCCCCCCACCGCTTAGTATGCATCTGTGCATGCACACACACCTGTGGTATATTTTTCTCGAAGTCTTTCCAGAACTCATTGCTAGGACACTTTTATTCTCTTCTTATTTCTTTTCCAGGTATATGAAAAAGTTGCCTATCTCTTAACAGATTTAGGTGAGTGATTTGCACTGATGAATGTTTCCATACTTGTGTTAGTATCTGATAAAGTGTCTAATGACACAGATAATGTAACGTATGCAATTACAAGCTATCGATATCTGGTGTGCCTGAAAGACAACGAATCTGGTGAAAGGAAAAACATCTCCTGAACCAATAATTGCAAGAGATTATTTAAATTCAGAGGCCTTCTAAGATGATTATGGTGAATCATACCTAAATTTTGCCAATAACTCATATGAAAGGTTGCCAATACATTGTCTATGTGACTTTATGCTAGGAAGAAATATGAGTTTATGGCTTGTATCCAATTGTATTCCTCTGCTAATAGAAGGTTCCTTAATGGAGTGGACACTTTCATGAGAAGAAAGGGGATGAGAGGTTATCTGTATTGATTTTTCCCTTTGCTCTGCAGACCCAAAATCTGCTTCAAATGGTTGCAGAACCCTTGGGGCCAGTATAGGAGGTGACCCAGAGGGGCTGCAGGAAAAAGGAGAAACTTGTTACAGTTACTCTCCCTCCCACCCCCCGTTTCCACTCATGGAAGCCTTCACTGGATCGAGAAGCCTCCGATCAATGGAGGGATACCATTTAGATACAACTCTAGGTCTTTTATATGGTTATTGTTTGTTTCTTGAAAGGAAAAAGTGCAGGTCAGCTCAGATGGGGTGCTGATAAGCTTTTCAAGTGTGTTGACAGCAATGCTAATGATCACTTGGTGCACCTCAGCTTCTTAAGATGATTATGATGATTATTTGGAAGAATGAGGATTGCAACATTTGGGCCTTTTTAATTTAGGGTGGGAGGAGAAGGCAAGTAGGGATTGACATGACAAAAGTGTATAAAATTTTGTGATGTGTGAAGAGGCCCATTTTGAAAATGGGGTGTTGATTTTTGGGTTGATTTGGGGGGGTGAGAGAGAAACTGCTAATACATTTTTGGAAGGGGGTTATGGTTAGTTTACTTCATAGGATGAGTGTTGGGTGGTTTTCGTTTCCTTTGTCATTTTTTACACTTTAAACAGACCATTCAGTGTAGTAGCAACGCTCTCTTGCTGTAGCCTTCTTCCAGTGCCAGCTTCCCATGAAACAACAGCAACAACATTTCAATGAAAAGAACTTGGTACATAAAGGCTGCATATATTGCATCTGTCTAAAGGGACTTTAAAATATTATTTGCAAAACAGCAGCACACAATCCCAGCCTAGCCATGATCTCAACAAAAATTGCCCTCGATACAGCAATTATCATTAGTTTAAAAAAAGAAAACTCCAATTAGTAGCAATAGTAAGTAGCCAGTGTTATTAGTTGGCTGTATTGGAACCACCACGCTCATAGCAAATACACTGAGGAAAGGGATGGTTAATGTTTAATCTCATGACTTTTTTGTAATATTTTAATATAAACATTTATCTTGTTCAGAGCAAATGTAAATGGTTGGTTTTTTTACAACTAAAAATAATCTTTAAACAGTGCATTTCAAATATAGTGTCACAGACAGCTTTATGTGTATATGGCAATCTAGATCTTACCTGCTAAAAGTTAGAAATGTTTATTTCCAGACTAATGTATATTGTGAATTCTGTTGCATTTTTTTTTTAATAGAACACCCTAGAACTGACTCAGAATGGGAAAATAGTTTTGCCTTGAAAATGTTCCTCTTCCAGTTTGTCAACTTAAACAGCTCCATTTTCTACATTGCCTTTTTCCTTGGAAGGTACGTATATCTGAAATGAGTTGAGAAGACTTCCGGGGTGGCGCCATCGGTAATGGCGGACTCCCTCTGAACTGGAGGGACCAGCTCCGCATGAAACGGGTCTTTTCCGCTACGGCGAAGCGGGGACCCTTCTGGAAATCACAGGCGGATGAAGCCTGTGACCGTGGGACTCGGCGGGCACCCTTAGCGCCCCCCCAACCCGCAAAGGAACCCACTAACGGGCTCCGAAGCGAAGAGGGGGAAGTGGTGCGGTGCTGTGAGTCAATTGCTTTTTCTGTGGAGCGAAGCCGCATAGCCGTTGCCGGAGAGCGCTGCCTTTTTCCTGGGACAATTTGGCATCTAAAATAACCACCCGTGAGTACTGGAACATTGAACATTTGGACTTTAAATAAGAACTGGTGAAATAGAAAGGAATTTGGACTTAAAAATTTACCTTAATTTGGTACTGAAACGGTAAGGTCTAAACAGGAAGTCAGCCTTCCGTTTCCTTGTAGCCAGAATAAAGCAAAGACAACATAAACTAGAGCTTTAAAAATCACTTTCAAAGGATTGGTTTTCATCATTTAAAATCGCTGAACCCCCCTTCGGCAGCAGGAGAAGAAGGGGGATCTTTTTTGGGCTGTTTAAACCTGCAGAAGTGAGTTTAAAGCAAAGTAATTTTCCACCGTCCTGATCCTGGAGTGGGGTGTCAGAATTGACATTTGAAGCTCATTGACTAGAAACAAATGTCTTTGACAGATAGTTAAAAGAAGAGAAACATAGTGATTCCATTGTTTCGCATTTTAAAAAGAACAAATATGGACAAAATACCTTAAAAAAGAAACTTTGTTGCTATTGTTTTTAAAAGAAAGAACAATCAGAAGAGGGGGACTGTGAAATTGTAACTAATTCCTGGGAGCTTGCAGCTGCCACAGATTACAACCGTGGGAAAGGATTTGTGACCTTGCAGGACAATGTCTTCAGAAGCACTGTTGGGTGCTCTCTGCAAAATAAATGCCCTATTGGATCAGTTAAGCCAGAAGACGGATTTGATGACTAATGCGGCCAGAACCTTTGAACAGGTAGTGGGAAATTATATGGAGCCCACCCAGGAGCTAAAACAGGAGTGTGCCATGACAGAACAGCTGAGAGAAGAGGATGCTGCTGAATCTTGGGCGCCAGAGACGGAGGGAGCTGCGGCCCAGCAGGAACATAAATTTTTGGATTTGACAAATGAACTTGGAAAAAACCAGACTTGGAAAGATAAAGTTTGGTTTGGTTGGGAAATGGGGGGTTGGATAGACCCCCCTATACAGGGAGATTTGGACTTTTCGAGTCTGGCAATGGGCCGTCAGATGTTTGGAGCTGTGGGGGCTCTCAATTTTGGAGGGAATCTGAAACATGTTTTTAAATACCACATGGAGTCTAGTCTGGACTATGGAAAAGGGGCTGATTTGTTGAAAAGGGTCAAAAATATTACCAAGCTGGAGTTCCCACGAATGAAAGGAAAATATGAAGAAGAGCTGCGGAAGGGACATGGAAGAGACTTGAGGGCCTCGGATATAAGATTACCAGGTTAATGTGCTAGATTAATAGGATAAAAAGGACTGACAAAACCCGGGACCAGGAGGAAGGGACGCTGGATGAAGATTGGATTGTTTATTTCTTCTTTTTTATTATTATCATTAGGATTGTTCTATAAAATTGATGAATGCTAGAAAAATGTTGAAATGTTGTAAAAAAAAAATGAAATGAGTTGAGAAAAGCATGTAAGAAACTCCCAGAACAAAATAACATTATATTTTAAAATCTATTGTTAATAGATGTTATTTCTGATTTAAAGTGCATCCCGGTTTTTAAGGAGTGCTTCACCAATCACTTACATGGAGGGGAAAGGTGTATGTATTGTAAACCAATATGTGTGAGGAGTTTACACATGTGTATTCCAATAGTTTCGGGAAATGGGGATGAACTAATTCAAATAATTTTGGTTTATCAGGAAAAGAGTGCTTAGGTGTGTTTACTGAAGTGGAAGCTTCCCCCTCCATTTTTATCTGGAGGGAAGCTGCCAGTTGTGGAGGTGGCATCTGCTGGAGCAGAGTTCTTCCCCTCAAAATGCGCTTCTACCACAATGAGGCAACATTCACACTATACATTCAGTGCACTTTGGAGAGTCATGGCCTCCCCCCTCAAAATTCTAGGAGCTGAGATTTGTTTGAAGTGCCGAGAGTTGTTAGGAGATCCTGTTTCCCTACAGAAAGTTGCAGTTCCCAGAGTGATGTATCAATAGGTTCACAATTAGTACTAAAAAGGAGATACACTTTTCCTTTTCCAACATGCATCAAAACATAAAGTGAGATAAGTAATAAGGATTTACTTTGGTTTAGCTTTAAGTTTAATTTATCTCGGTAAAAATGTGTGAGAGTCAAATATTTTCATTCTTTCTGAATTCAGCTGACAAACCGAAATATCATTTTACAGGTTTGCTGGACGTCCTGGAAAGTATAACAAACTTTTTAACAGATGGAGACTGGAAGAAGTAAGGATAAATTTTACTTGTACCAATGTAAAATCACTGTCTGTCTGTTTGTCTGTCTGTCTCTCTCTCTCTCTCTCTCTGTGTATATATATATATATATATATATATATACACACACACACACACACACACACACACACACACAAATATGCATACACATGCGCGCGCGCGCGCGCACACACACACACATTCCTTTGCTCATGGACCAAATTACTGTTGTCTGAAATGGTCAACCTCTTATTCTCTTTCTTTTTGAAAGCATTTAAAATATTTTTATATGATATAAAAACAAATGGTCTTTTGAAAATTTTCCTTTAAAATAGTTGTGAATTTTCGGGAATTAAAGTATGTTCTGGAATAGCTTAAACACCAAACTTTCTTTGTAAGTGTGTGTGTGCTTTAGGGTACTAGCTTCATCACTGCACTGCTGCACTGCACTGCACTGCACATCACATAGCTGCACTGGCTCCCGGTGGAGTATAGGATCAGGTTTAAGGTGCTGGTTTTAACCTTCAAAGCCCTATATGGCCTAGGACCCTCGTACCTACGGGACCGCCTCTCCTGGTATGTCCCACAGAGGAACTTACGGTCTTCAAATAAAAACATCTTGAAGGTCCCAGACCACAGAGAGGTTAGGCTGGCCTCAACCAGAGCCAGGGCTTTTTCGGTTGTAGCTCCAATCTGGTGGAACGCTCTGTCACAAGAGACTAGGGCCCTGCGGGACTTGACATCTTTCCGCAGGGCCTGCAAGACAGAGCTGTTCCACCAGGCCTTTAGCCAGGGCACAGCCTGACTCCCTCCTTTGGCAATCCTCACAGAACTTCTAGCCCAATGGTTGCCATTAATTTGATTGGTATTAATTTTATAATGAAATGATTTTAGAATGTTTTATTGTTTTACTGCTGTTAGCCGCTCTGAGTGCGGCTTCGGCTGGGGAGGGCAGGATATAAATAAAATTTATTATTATTATTATCAGGTCAACCAAAATGTTACAGAAGCATGTGCAATGTGCAATCTTTCAAGTTATCCAGAACTACTACTTCTAACCTGCTTGTTCAACAGTAGATTAGATAATAATTTTTAACTTTTGACAGTAGATTAGATAATAATTTAATCACCCTCACCAAACTTGACTTCCAAACAGTATAGAACAGTTGATCGTGGGGGTGTCCCAGGTCGATCGTGGTGTGATGTACAACCAAAATAAAAGGGGGGGGGAGTCAACAACTTTGGTCAACCCTCCCCTAAAAATGCTCAACAACTCCTGGCAATGACAGTGGGTAGATCACACTGGTCTTTTCATACTGTGAGTAGATTGCAGTCTCTTGGGAGTTGGACGTGCCTGGTATAGAACAACAGTATGTTTTAATTAACCCAAAATCCTTACCCAGTCAAGTGGATCCACAGCAGCTGCCTCCTGGCAGCAGCATCGCTGTCACTCACCAAGAGGAGGAAAGCAAGGTGGCAGCAAGGTCAAGACCATGCAGACACAATAGTGGAGCCAATTTGGTGCTCCCACTAGTGCATACACACAGACCCAACCTCTTCACCACCTTGCCTCTCCATCTACCAGTAAGCAGCAGCAACACTACTGCCTGGAGGCTGTTGCTGTAGCTCTGCACCACTGAGCAAGCAACAAATGTCTGCCAATTTGTTGCAATTGTATCTTGCCTTTTTTCCTCTATCTTCTTTCTTAATGTTTCTGCATTCTTATGTATCTGCTTTCAGTGTCATCCCAGTGGCTGTTTGATAGACCTCTGCCTGCAGATGGGTGTCATCATGGTTTTAAAACAGATGTGGAACAACTTCATGGAACTTGGCTATCCGTAAGTATGAACAGAGGCATCATATCATATGCTGACTTGATTATTGTATCTGCTGGCAAAGGGAATGTCCTCTCCTGCATGGCTAACCCTTGGAGGTGCATAAAGAGAAGCCGTCTCTACAGAACTCTGTTTCCTAAAGACTGGAGAGTTTGAGACTAAAAATTAATACTAGATGCAGGACATGGCAATCAGTTGTAATATTTAAAGGGTTTTGGGATAAAATTTAGCCGTACTTTATCTGCAGAAACATTAAAAGTGTTATAATCTGGTTTGGGGGGAGGAATTCTCAACAAGTCATCAGGCATTGATAGGACTGTCTCTTCTCTTAGGATGTCCACAAGGAATGAGAGAAACTAGGAGAGCAGTGATGAGTTAAGCCATCAGTTGAATGATTAAATTGTTACTGTGAGTGCTACCATAGATTCTATGCTCTGACTATCTAATACAGGTTACTGCAAAATTGGTGGGCACGACGCAAGATCAAGAAAGGAGGGCAGTTACTGGAGCATAAAATTTCTCTACCTCAGTGGGAAAAAGATTGGAATCTACAGCCCATGAATCTCCACGGTCTGATGGATGAGTACTTAGAGATGGGTCAGTGTTCTTATGAAGTTGCCCTTTTTCATTATAAAAAAAACAAAAAACTGGTAGATTCTTGGCTGTGAGTCTGGTAAGACCTGCTCCCTGCCTTGCAGGCCTTTTCCCACCTGGCCTGGAAAGGTGGGACCCTGACTGACTCCAGCTACAAAGGTGAGTCTGTTGAATAGACTATTAGGCTGGAGTATTATTTAGGTTTTTTAAAATTGTGGATAGAGTTGTTGCTGGTTTTTATATTAATTATCTTTTTTGTATTTTTTTTGCTTAATTTGGTTGTGTACTTTTCATATTTTATTTATTTTTTATGACTACTTTTGTTACGTTTGTAATTATTTGATTTTTGTGTGTGCTGTAAGCTACCTTGAGCATGGTTTGAACTATGGAAAGGCGGCATACAAATAAAATTATGTATGTATGTAATTTGATGAATGTCATACAAATTCCGTCTTTTCTTAGACATGGATCCCCCTTTTCTTTTCTTTTCTTTTTGACCATCACTTTGAGGTTTTTATTAAAGTTTTTCACAATACAATAAAATAGCTGCTATTAACAATACAAATAGAATAAGAGTCCTCTCTTAGCCCTTACCACCAACAGAAGATAGTAGCTCCTCCCAGCTCTCACCTGGGATCTTCCCTTTCTTCTAGCCTCTCACCTTGGGACACGGACATTTTCCTGACTCTCACCTGGGGTCCTCCATCAATCATCTACCACCCCCATGAGTATACAATCTCTGAACCTTAATAAAGGCCTGAGTCATAGGACTCCAAAGAAAACAGAAGGGTAACCAAGAGTGGTTCTCCCTTTTTGATCCTGTGTACTTTCTTTCCAGTTCTACAGTTCGGCTTCACCACAATCTTTGTTGCTGCTTTTCCCCTGGCACCTCTCCTGGCCTTGCTCAACAATATCATAGAAATCCGGCTTGATGCATATAAATTTGTCACTCAGTGGAGGCGACCGATGCCTGCAAGAGCAACTGATATAGGTGAGACAAAGTGCAGTCACTGTAGCAACTTCTTTTTATCATTTAGTCTGCAAGTTTTGTTTTTGGTTTACAAATACTAAGCAACATGAGAGAGAAATCCCAAGCCCTGGCTTGGAAACAGTGAAGCCGAACTGAGTAGCAGGTCTCCTACCACATCCAGTTCCTCGCTGCTTGCACTACCCAGGGCAGAGGGCAGCAGTGGTCATTTTTCACTCTCTTGTTTTCTGCTGTATCAGCTCCAAGCGCAGGTCAAAGTGTTGCTGTGTGTGATCCACCAGTTCCCAAATGAAAATAGATGGCACCAGAAGTAATCTGATATGGTCCTAGCCTTTTGGAAGGGCAATGGTGTTGTTTTCGTACCTGCAGTGTAATAATTATAAATGAGTCTCAAATGAGGCATCACATACTGTGGCTGTGGATGATAAATTTGCAAACTGGATCTAAAAATGGAAGCTGTTTGTTTTCTAGACTCAGTTCGAATGAAGGGCAAGCTGTGCAGGGCAATTGAGAAAGTGCAGATTTAATTCTATTTTAGAACAAAGGCTTCTTTGAGCATGGACTGGAAAAAAAGTATTAAATAATCTGCTTTCTCATGTTTGCTTGTTTTGTGTTTAGCCTCATGATAATTATCCTCTCCTAGGGATCTGGTATGGAATCCTTGAAGGAATTGGAGTCCTAGCCGTCATCACCAACGCTTTTGTTATTGCCATTACATCTGACTATATCCCACGCTTTGTTTACGCATACAAGTATGGTCCCTGTGTCGATCAAGGATACAGACAAGAAAAGTAATTATGCCTTTTCTGTATTTTTCGCTGATGGACTCACTTTTGTATTTTGGCAAAAGTTTGCATTTTCCCTTTTGTATATTTTGCTCTTTATTTTGCACGTTTTATTATGGTTACAGTGGGCCAGAATGGATTGCATCAGAGGCCAAGCTAGAGCACTTGAACTGTGTGTGTTCAGTTTTAGTCACATGCTGGAAGTGAATGAGACAGCTGGAAAATTTCAATTGCTTAATATGCCCCCAAATAGTGAAAGACCTAGAAAACATTGTGCTAGAAACAAAAAAATAATATTGCAAGACTACATCCCCTCCAGGCAATTACGACAGAAAGAGGGATGTTAACAGAAATATAGGGATGCTCCTGAATGTTGTCAGCTGCATCCCTGTGCCATGGTTCTCTCCACCTCAATTAGGGATGGAGGAGAAATTTGTACCAGTTTCGCTATGGTCTAAACCACAGAGCCTAGGACTTACCAATCAGAAGGTTGGCGGTTCGAATCCCTGCGACGGGGTGGGCTCCCGTTGCTTGGTCCCTGCTCCTGCCAACCTAGCAGTTCGAAAGCACATCAAAGTGCAAGTAGATAAATAGGTACCGCTCCAGCGGGAAGGTAAACAGCGTTTCTGTGCGCTGCTCTGGTTTGCCAGAAGCGGCTTGGTCATGCTAGCCACATGACCTGGAAACTGTCAGCGGACAAACGCCGGCTCCCTCGGCCAGTAAAGCGAGATGCGCGCCGCAACCCCGGAGTCATCCACGACTGGACTTAATGGTCAGGGGTCCCTTTACCTTTATGTAATTCACACCTCCTGAAACAATACGCAAAGCAAAGCACACATATCCATCAAAATGCACACATCTCTGAATTTTGTGATGCGGTTCTCCAACAACAACAAAAAGGTACAGTCATGCATATATTAGAGAATGTGTTCATAATGTGTATATTCACAAAAAGAAAAGAAAATACATTATATTAGGTAAAACTGCATGCAAAAATGTGTATATTAGAATACATATGCACAAAAAAAGTTTTCACGAGGATTTTAAAACAACAACCAAGGAACTGAAACTGGTGTGGCAAAAAGAGAATATCAGCAAAACTGGCAGATTTGCCTCTAATTCCAGTTGATCTCATATCCTGATGTACAGAACGCAGCTTACCCAGTGGTGATCCCAGCTTCCCAATAGTGGCATCACTGTCGCTTGCTAGGAATGGCAAGGCTGCAGTGAGGTTGGGACTATGAGTCCTAGAAGACCTGCTCCCTGCATTGCAGGCCTTTTTCCACCTGGCCTGGGTAGGGAGAGCCCTGACTGACTCCAGCTACAAAAGCTGAGGCTGCTGAGCAGACACTTGCTCTGGGGTCTTGTTGAGGGCGAGGTTGTTGCTGTTATTGATATTAATTTCTGTATCCTTATTTTAGAACTTACTATGATTAAATTTAGAAATGGTTCAAATTGGTTGTGTGCTTTTTGATGTGTTTCATTTATTGTTTATGACTATTTTTGTTCTATCATATAAATTTGTTTCATGCTGTAAGCTGCCTTGAGCATAATTTAACTATGTAAAGACGGCATACAAATAAAATGATGAATAGATATATGTTTGATTATTATAATAATAATTTATTATTTATACCCCGCCCATCTGGCGTGGCTTCCAGCAGGATATTAAAAACACAGTAAAAGATCAAACATTAAAAACTTCCCTAAGCAGGGCTGCCTTCAGATGTCTTCTAAAAGTCAGATAGTTGTTTATTTCTTTGACATCTGGTGGGAGGGCATTCCACAGGGCAGGCGCCACTACTGAGAAGGGGGAATTGGCAGGCAGTGCACTGGATACAACACATAAAGAGGGATGTGGTGTTCTTCAACAATGGAACTTTATTTCTTATGAAATATTTCCAAAGCCTGGGCTTGTTTTTGTATCAGGATTTATCTTCTAGGATGTGGAAAGCTTACGCCAGGGAATGAATTTTGAGAATTACCATAAGAACTAAGCCATTTGTGGTCTCTAACCTAGTCTAATGATGCACTCTCATCCCATAAACATTTAATCAGTATTTTTGGCCGGTTGGTGTCAGGGGTCACCTGTTTCACACAAGGCTTTGGTAGGGTGTTGCATATACAACAGCACTATTATTTATTGTATACATTGCTGTCGACAATATGAAATAATGGTTAAGCTAATTTTTGATGTTACCAATTGACAGTGTGTGTTTTTATTCCTTGGCTTTACAGTTACACATTTAATAGGTGGGTATGAGGGAAAATACTGCTTAACACAGAGAGTTTTATCTTCTTCTTTTTTCTAATCTGCTCCATCATTCATAGCTCTTTCTTGGCTCTAACTCTTTTCACAGCCAGTATCCTGCCTTCCATACAATGCCCCCAGATTTTGTAGCCCAATGAGAAAACAAAAAAGATAAGCTTTGGGCCTAAGTGTCAACTTCCTCATCAAATGATACCGTTTAAATGCATTGATGCAGTCCCTGTATTGTATTGGCTCATTAATGAATGAAAATGTTTATTTATACTATGTTGATCTGCCCTCATACAATCAATGTTCTTCCGCCTAACAAAGGAAAGCCATAATTTCACTCAGGGAAAGGCAGAAAAAACCAACCACGTGCCAATCAGATTGAAAGGGGGAAAAATTCCTTTCTGGCCCTGTCAACCAATGACCCAAAATTGGTCAGTGAAGGCTCTAACCCAGGAGTCAGCAAAAATTTTCAGCAGGGCGCCAGTCCACTGCCCCTCAGACCTTGTGGGGGGGCCAGACTATATTTTGGGGAAATAAATGAACGAATTCCTATGCCCCACAAATTACCCTGAGATGCATTTTAAATAAAAGGACACATTCTATTCATGTAAAAACACACTGATTCCCAGACCATCTGGGGGCCGGATTTAGAAGGCAATTGGGCCGGATCTGGGCCCTGGGCCTTAGTTTGCCTATCCATGCCGAGGGTGGGCAGACAGAAAGCTCTAAAAGCAAAATGGCTGTGAGCTCCAGGGGAAGCAGCCTTATATAGGCTTCCCCTCCCCTCTCAGGGCTCATGGGACAGCTTTTTCCCAATGGCCTATCAAACAGAGATGATACTGGGCCAAGCCTTGCCCAGTTTTTTGCTGCAATCTATGGGCCACAGCACCATTGGGAAAAGGCATCCCGTGCTTATTGGGCACAGAACGGGGCTTACTGCAGTGTTCAACATTTCTCTTATGTTGGGAGTTTCAGCATCTAAGGCTGCACATGTGTGCACATACCAAATATCTTTTTGACATATTGGGAGATTCCTTTATCCTCCCCCTACCTACCCCCATCCAGGCAGTGGCATCCATTATTTCATTATTTTGATTGCACGCATACAGCCCAATGTTGCATGTGAGGACCTCTGAAACTGGGCCAGTTTAACAGCATTAGTTGCACACCTGCTACAATTACTGCATTGCCATTTGGTATCATTAGTCAGTCTGAGAAGGGAACCTGGCTGCATTCAGCACCTCTGATTCTGGTTGGCCACTGCACAGTGTGGAAATGTTACTTAAGCACAGTTTTGACCTCTTAGACGAAGAGTTGAATTGTATGCTCACACAAAGCATAAACCTCATCTTACATATTCAAGACTTTATGGGTCTCTTGCAGCATAAATCCCAATAATATTTGGGCACCATCATCCTTTGAAAATATGATAGGCATGGCATTTGAATCATAGGCACACATTGATAATGGCAAGGAATGTGAATGAGACCTGCTTTGCATGCATAAGCACAACAGAACCATGATGAGCTCATTTCTCATTGGAAACTATTTCCCGGGCTTTCTTTTTTCCAGATGTTTGAGAGGATACGTCAACAGCAGCTTATCAATATTTGATCTGAGCGAGCTTGGCATGGGATATTCAGGATATTGTAGGTATGTATTATGTCACTTGCTTAATTTCAGTGGAAACACCAAAGAAGCTTAACCAAAAAGTCTTGAATATCCTTTTAAACTGCTTTGATGAATACAGTCAGTAGAGTTCAGCTGAGGGGGAGATGTTGAAATTTCTCAGCAAATTCACCAATCCACCACATCACTATTTATATACAGTCATACCTCGGGATAAATATGCTTCAGGTTGAGCGCTTTCAGGTTGCACTCCGAGGCGACCTGGAAGTAACAGAGTGCATTACTTCTGGGTTTCGCCGCTCGCGCATGTGCAGACAGTCAAAATGACGTCACACGCATGCACAGAAGCGGTGAAACGCGACCCAAGCATGTGCAGATGCGCTGTTGCGTCTTACGTTCTGTTCGGGATGAGAACAGGGCTCCGGAACGGATCCTGTTCACATCCCGAGGTACCACTGTACATGGTTAAATCACGTTATTGTGTTTGCTTTAAAACATTTATATCCCGCCTTCTAAGACTCACACCTACTTTGATAAAAAAATCAAAACCCAACAGGGCAAAGGGGTGGGGGTGGGGAAATGCTAGAAGGTCAGTGGAACAGAGCGCACTTTTTGCACTTCAGAAGGGTTGCAGAAAAGAAATGTTCAAAATCTCATTGGGTGGTTATTCCATAGCCTTGAGGGGATTGCAGTGCTGCCTTCTCTTCATATCATGTGGGCCTCACACATAGCCCATGAATAGTACAGGATCATATTTACTGTCAGAAGTGTGGATATACCAGACCACAAACTGTACTTCATTTTTGCCTTGCGCATAATTCACTAATATTGCCTTTAATATCTTGTTTTCTAGACATTCTAATTCATAGAAGGCATTCATTTATTTTGCAACTTTGATCATAAATAGGCACATCTCTTACCCATCCTTCACACTGTTTTGGTGGGTTTCCATATATAGCTGCTTCTGTCTTCTGCCAAAACACCACTGAAATGGGGAGCTCAGGCTGTCTGCATGGTTACAAGTACTTCTAGTTTTTCCAAATGGCTTTCATCTCCTTTATTTCCATCACAGGTACAGAGATTACAGAGCGCCTCCGTGGAGTTCAACACCCTATGAGTTCACCTTGCAGTTCTGGCATGTTCTTGCTGCTCGACTGGCTTTCATTATAGTGTTTGAGGTTAGTTATATAGTTATGTACAAAGCTAAAATTTACATCCATTGCTCTGCCCACATTTGCCTCCAGCCCCACAAACTGTTGGAATATGGCTCCCAGAGGATTATCCAGAAGACATTTGTTTGGAAGAGTTTCCCATTCCCTGGTGTAAATGAAACACACATTCATAACCCTCTAACTGCTGGCATTATGTTCACATAGGGAGGATTGGAGGAGCTGTTTTAAGCCATGTAATTTTGGGATAAAGGAAAAGGGGTTCTTCATCACTGGTACAATATGTATTCTATCTTCCCCTTTCAGCCCCCTGCCACAAGGAGACAGTAGATCACTGATATATGCTAATATTAATAATCAAGGATAAGTAACTAGTCAGTGCATTGCTTCCCAAATATACTGCCGCGATCCAAGCAAGACAGATCAGTGTAAGCATTTTAAATCTCTCTCTATCTATATATTCTTTCTCTTTTCAGCACCTTGTTTTTGGAATAAAATCTTTCATTGCCTACCTAATCCCAGACATGCCCAAAGACTTGTGTGACAGAATGAGAAGGGAGAAATACTTAGTTCAGGAAATGATGTATGAGGCTGAACTGGAGCATTTGCAGAGAGAGCGGAAAAAGAATGGCAAGCAGTATCACCACGAATGGCCTTAGTTAATACGGAAGGAGAGTCACATCGTCAGGACTGAAAACTCCCAGGGCGAGCTGAAGAAGATGGGAAGATTTGGGAACGAGGCAAAGGAATCCATCTGCATGTATATCCTGCTGTTGAGAAAGAATATTATCAAGCTTTTCTGTGAACGAGGCAGTGGGTGGGTGGGGATTGTGTTACCAACAGTCAAGACAAACAGCTACTTCCCCTTAACGGTTCGTGGTAAAGACTGGATGCTGTCTCAGCTGCAGCTATGAAAGGAGGTAGATTCACCAAGCAGCAGTAGAATGAGCTACAACAAGTCCGCAAGAGTCTTGCACAGCAGCATACTGGAAAAGAAATGTCTGTTGCTTGTAAAACTTTCATAATAAGGGCATGATTTTTTAAAAACAACAACAACGTGTTTATTCACTCCTTCTACAGCTTTCAATTGCTCAAATGAATTTGTATTGTCTATGATATATAAAAAAAAAACCAAGCAAGATTAATTGTTGCCTTTGTGGCCATAATTTGATGCTATAACAGTCCTTGAGGCTTCCCGTTCTGTCAGGTTTGTCCTCGTCTCTTGCTGAGATTGTGGATGTGGCTCTGCCCTTTAAAAGGGATATCAGCCTGTTCAATATGTACTATGCAGTTTGATGTTTGCACATCACCTCTTGTCCATTTGTCTTTATAAATCAGTGGAGGGTGGGGAATCAAAACAGCTTCGCCATTAGAAAGCCTTGAGGCTGGGATCTGGAGATGCTCTCCAGCCAGGAGGAAATTGGTTTCTGCATGCGGCGCAACTTGTTTATCTCATACCAGAATCTCACATCAGGAAAATTACATAGCACCCAGAGAACCTTGGCCGAATGCAGAAGCCTGTTTCATATAGCTAACTGTGCACATAGCTCAGGTCCTGTGCGCCTGTGCAGAGGCCTGCACAAGTGGTATACTTTCGCTCTCGATCTGCTCGCAGGCATTTGGATGCCGGCTTATACACCCTTGCACTGTTCTTGATGCAGCACTTTCTCGGGACGCAATGCGACTTTTTCAGTGGTTACTGATAGTAAATGTGCAGATTAAGGTCATCTCATATCTCTGAAGTGAAGAGTCCTATCCATGCTCTAATGTGGCATGCAAAAGTATAACTGTATGGATATAATCTTCTTGTCGAGCTACCTGGATTTTATATAGTTCACCAGCCACGTCAACTTGAAATCTCATGGCATTGCAAACAAGAAGCCAGTTTTATTACCTGCCTTATGCGAGCTCCTGCTTATGTGGAATATAAAATATAACATCATGGCTTGCTTGTTCAAAGTTAAAAGAAAGAGGACCCCCCCCCCCAATTTCCCCCTTATAAAATTGAAGTGTGGAAAGAGTTAAAAGGGTAGTATTGAAGTATCCTCCAGTTTTATGCCTTCTTAAATTTTTGTTTGAAAACAGTACATGCCCTTGCAGGGACCTGCACTTTTGATTCTCACATGCCTACAGCTGAGAGCAATATCATTAGATGGCTTTGAAGTCATGATTTCGTCTAACGATGCTTTACTAATTATCATTTATATTACCTACTACTTCAAAATGTGGAAGAAATGAAGCACTAAACTCAAACAAGTGTGCAGGATTCACTTGTACATGGGGACCAAAATGTTCCTGGGTTTTCCTTTTGTAAAAATTTCAGGTGTAGAATTCTTTCTTATTTATATCAACCAAAGTAAATTAACAACTCCACGCCCCCCCCAAACTTTCAAAGAGTCACTTCATTATAATCAAGCACAGCAATGATATCATATATATATATATAAAAATATTTGCATGAGTCTTAGGATGACTTCTGTAGTTTAGGGGGAAAAACACCAGATTGTAGAAATGACCTTATTATACCGGGGACATGCATCACATTCCATCATTTGGAACCATAAGTGATCTGATTATGATACATTATTCTAACCCTGTGGGATTTTTCTTACTATATTTCTGTCATATAATTAATGTTTTTATATGATGACAATCTTGTTTATAGTACCACAATGCCCTTTTTATATATTGATACCCAAATTCAGGGGTTGTTGTGCAGATAGAAACTCTAATGCACCCCAACCCCCACCTCACGGGCTTTCTATACATTTCAATAGAGGGAGAAGCACTGCACATGTAAACATTGGTGCTGAAGACCTCTGTTGAAGTGCCTGGAAAAGCCTGCCTGCACACAAACACTATGGGTGCATCAGAGTACACAAAGATCTCTGGATTAGGGGCACAAATGGCAAAGTGCACACTTTATTTGCGTGCTGTAAAACATGTTACCTTTGTTTTGCTACTGTTAAGTTTTGCTGTTATGTTTTACCTAACTGCTGGTTGCCTTGGCTGGATCCAAGCTTTAAAACCAATATGGTTTGCCAAGTAGTCAACTAAACTATGATTCTGCTTGGCTTTTCTTCTGTCTATCCCACTTTGATCAATACACAGATACATTCCGATTGGTCATGTAAGAGGGTAATGCTATACATATTTACTCAGAAGTAAGTCCCACTAACTACAGCAGGATTTACTCCTAGATCTGAAATCCTGAGCCCACATTTGTAGAGATTAGTTGCCATCCGACTCAGATGAGTTTACTGCTGAGTAGATATGCTTAGGATTGCATCAGCAAATGACGGAAAAACAACGGCAGCATCGCAATCTGCTGAACTATAAAACTAGTTTCAATGCAAAGTTCACAATCAAAGTTCTAGGCCACAATACTGAAATCACTTGTTCCTAGCTAGTTACACTGAACAGCTGAAAAGTCTAGTGGCCTCAGTTTTGTAGCCTTTGATTCTTGTTGTATTTTCCCCACACATACTTGGAAAGCACATTGAAAATGCTCACTTGTACCCTTTTGTATTTGTTTAAAAAACATACATTAACAGTGTCTAACAATTTGCTGATCTATAGCCATTTGCTTTAGCTGAGAGAAATGCTCTGCTTGATTTGGTTTACTGTGGTTGCATTGAATGCAAATTATCTTACAAAGATATATGGCACACTCTGTTCTCAGGAAATATGTATTACATGAATGCTGGTTAAATATCTTTCTCTTTCCACTTTTCTTTTTGTATTTCTAAATACTTGTCTTTCCAAACAAATTACCAGTATTAGTGGTATGTGCATGCAAGTTGAATTTGTGTAATCTCCCAAGCTGCAGAGCTTCAGAACTAGCATCCATGCAAACAAACTGCTTTAGATCATTGTTGATCTAGTCTACAATAACTTTGGTCTATGCATGTTCTTTCAGGGCAGACTGCATGAGCAGCCACAGTCTGGCTTTCAAAATACTACAGTTAGTTACTAGTCCAGAATGTCTTAACTATTACCAACTCAAATCGGTGTCTTGATGCAATCAGAAGGAACCCTTGTTCCAGAAATAAATATTTGTTTACGATTTGCTATTCTTATATTTCATTCTCCTTCATTTTGCATTTGCGTATAAATTTTGAAGTGGGGGACTGGTGGGGATTTATAAAAAGAAACCCTTCATTGCAAAACCTCTTCTTGCATCTGCCTTTTGAGAGGACTCAAAGTGAAAGAATCAAAACGTGTATATAGAAAAGCCTTATATATCTAGTTGGGGCTCTAACTGGCACCTAGCCTTGTGTAAGAGGGCACATAGCTCAAAAGAGGACGTACTTCGATTTTAGAAAACCCCAGGTTTAATATCTGACACATCAAATTAAGCAAATATTAGGCGGCAGAAACTGGAAGGACCTGTATCTGAAATTCTGCAGAGCTGCCATTAACCAAAGTAGACAGCACTGGGCCAGCTAGATAGATCAATAGTATAATGCAGTCCACAGTTGCTTCATGTGTTTATAAATCTAAAGCACTGGAGATGGATTGGCACGTTACAATGTAATATTTGTCAATCGCAAGATCATTTAATGTTGGATTTGAGTCTTGAGTGGCTTTTTCAGGTGCCCACCTTTTGTATACTGGGCCCTAATTATTATGCATATTTCCCCTATCTCTGCCCCTTACATTGTATGGAAAAGCTTTAATAATATCAGAAGATAAATGGAAGCATTCATTCACCAAGAACACTGTAATGCCTGTCCTCTTTGTTTGAAAGGCAGTTATGTACCTCTGGAGCAGTGTTTCCCAAACTTAGGTCTCCATCTGTTTTCCCCATCATCCCTGACGACTGGTCCTTCTAGCTAGGGATGATGGGAATTGTAGTCCAAAAACAGCTGGAGACCCAAGTTTTGGAAACACTGCCTTGGAACAGGGAACCTTTTCAAACACAGCGTGATACGTTCCCTTCTGGGGAACCTTACAGAGGCCACATGCCAAGGATGCGATGGGTCAGAGGCAAAAGTGGGTGGAGCAACTGGTGTTAATTTTACTTTTGTACAGTGGATTCTTTCCTGTACACTCACAGGCATATGCACACACACACACTTACTTCCATATTCCATCCAGACAAGAAATATGCATTACCAGAGCTCAAGGATAATCTTTATTTCCCTTTACTGTTTACTCTTAATTAAAGGATGACAAACTTGTAGCCCTCCAGATGTCATTGGACTCCAATTCCCAACAGTTAGTGGTCAGGAATGAGAGTACAACTGGGGGGCTACATGTTGTCCCATCCCTGACTTAATGTTTCAAAGTACATGCCGGGGGTGGAATTTGAGAATGAAACAAAAATATTTCCCTAGAAAATGCCAATCAAGTGAACAAAGATACCATGCCATGCACATCTAATTTTTGGGATGCTCTTTACTTTACAAAGGTTTACATGTACAAATGCAAACTAATGGCTGTATCATTCACATCTGAAGATTGCACTTTTGTAATAAATTTGGATCATGTTAAAGCAGGCACCATATTTCTTCTACCAATGCAACTCTTGCACCTCAGTTCACGCAACAGAAGTAACTTAGCCCATGGGTAGGCAAACTAAGGCCCGGGGGCTGGATCTGGCCCAATCGCCTTCTAAATCCGGCCCACGGACGGTCCGGGAATCAGCGTATTTTTACATGAGTAGAATGTGTGCTTTTATTTAAAATGCATCTCTGGGTTATTTGTGGGGCATAGGAATTCATTCATCCCCCCCAAAAAAATATAGTCCGCCCCCCCACAAGGTCTGGGGGACAGTGGACCGGCCCCCTGCTGAAAATGTTTACTGACCCCTGCCTGTCTGTCAGGTGGTGGCAGGTCAAGTCAGGCTGGAGTTGCAGGACCTTGGACAGTTCCAGGCAGAAAATGTGGCTCTACAAAGTCTGGAGCTCAACTGAGGATTTTTATCTTTCTTGGCCCCTTTACCAAACTGTTCAAAGTCTTAAAAGGATACTTCTTCCTTTAAACCTAGCACTCCATTGATTTTCAGTATGCTCTGCCTTGCGGGTTGCGTGCAAAGCTGCAGAGGTACAGAGGAATGTGAGGCCCCAGTATGAAGAAGCATCTACCTTGAAGGTGCTGTCTCTGGGAGGTTCCACTTCAGCACCAGTTGTGCAATTTGCTCCTGGCCAATGGAGGCTCAGGGCTTCCTTGCACAGGTAGTGTTGAGGTCTGGATCTGGGCACAGACCTAGTATGCACTGCTGCCCTTCCTAATCCAGTTGGTTCCTCCCTCTCTGCGTCAGAGAGCTGTCAGCTGCTCAGAGTCTGAGGTCTAACAACAGAAATATAGAACCATTGTTTCCTGTATGGCAGGGTAAATCAGTGTGAAAGGGGACATTTCAAAGTTTCCCTGCAGAGCTTTGCCACTGCTTTTAGGATTCTCAGTACAACCTCTCACAGCATTACTGAGCATTCACACAGCAGGAGTACTAATAAATGGGTACATAGAATAATCAGGTCACCCCTTCCCCCCTGAAACAAACAATGTTGCCAAAGAGCTCAGTCATTGAAGATCTTTTCACAGCTTCTCTGATCAGCCATAATGGGAAAATCCATAATGAATTTTAAATCACACCAAATTCTGCAAGTACTTTATTAAGCAACCTATGGTACTCCAGAGGAAAAACTCTACAATGACACTGCAGTGGTCAGGAAATATGCATCTGTAGCATAGTTCATATTTTAGAATTCCATGTTAGGATCAATGGGAGATGAATACCCAAGTTGCACCGGCGAAAAATACAAGGCGATTAAAATAAAAAAAACTTTGGAGCGTGCAGTTAACACTCTAAATTCTTCCTGAAAAACACACTTTCCATATTTTCTCTCGCCACATTCACCACCACTGAGTCTTAGAAAAAAATTCCATGTTATAAAATGGCTTCTGAAAATAAAAATAAATGCACCTGCTAACCCTCTAAATTATAATTAAATGCCTCCTCAGCTACTCGTAGTGCCACTGATTTGTTTTCCTAAAGTTTGGGCAATTCCATACCATTCCTATTGTTAGCAGGATGACCTTTTCCCTGTACATCCTAAAAGTAAGATTCCGTCTCTATGCTTGTATTAGTGTAGGATTTTTCACTTGGGTTGTAACCAGGTAAGTGACCCAGCATTTCTTTATTGAATCCATTTGCAAGGGCATCATTTGCTTCTGCCTTCTTTCCAAGACCTTTATGCAGATCATCTTCTGATCCCTCCTGAGAAATAATGTAAAAAGAAGAAGAAGGAAGGACAGTTAAGTCAAGAAGTGGATTAGTTTCCATTCCCGCTTGTAATGGCCCCAACCGCATATGAATATGAGTATACAAGTACATACCAGAACTTTAGGTTTGCACATTTAAAGTGGATTATTAGGAAGCTAAATAGCTCAGATGGTAGAGTCTGAGACTCTTATGCTCAATCCCCATGTTGGGCAAAAAGATTCCTGCGCTAGATTACCTTCATGGTCCCTTCCAACCCTACAGTTCTATGATTCTATAGCACTCTAGAACAACAAATCCACTTAAAACACACATGAGTTTTTTGTGGTTTGGAAAGTAATGGGGAAATGCTCTGGGATGAACAAATGATGAATTTGCAAATAAGGACAAATGCAGAATGAATGGCCATTGTTATGCACACACACACCCCATAAACAAATCAGAATGAACGATGAATAAATAGCTCATCTGGAGGGATCCTTATACATACAAAAAGGTCATAAACTGTCAGACAAGGATTGGGAAGCTGTAGAGGGAGCAGCTATGGAAACTGAGAGGGATGTGAGTGAAACCTGGGAGGATGGGCTGATGCAAGTGAGTTCCTTTTCTGGCATATAAACGAACTGGTTGCATTGGCTTTCATATAGAACTACACATTTAAGAACCACAAAGAAATATTTGGGATAAAGCTTTTCTAGATATGGCTTGTGCCAAAAGTCTTTTTTTTTGGGGGGGAGGTTATAGATGACATTCACCAACACCTATTTCTAGAAATATAGTTAAAGTAACATGACTGAAATATTCTATGAATATTGTATATTCCATGACGATCATATGCATTAGCAATTGCAATTTACAAAAAATAAAATAAAAACAAAGCTTAGCTTTTTTCGATTATATGTTATTTTAAGTGTTTTATGAGTAACAGATGAGTAACAGGTGGTGTAAATTTATGCTTGTATATGAATCATCATATATAGGCCATTTTTTTCTAGAAAAAGAGGTGATAGAACTCAGTTCTGATGAGTTCCAGCTGAAAAAAAAGCCCCGATCCTATACTGGTTGGAAAACTGATGTTGCTGTCCAACATAATTATAGAACAATATGTCCTTTCCTGTTAACTCTGGAACTATGGGAGTGTTTGAAAATTGTCTCTTCCATCAGCAACCAAATTGCATTAAATACTCAACTGCTACTGGGGGGTTACTCTAATGGTGTTTGTTTCAGCAGCAAGCAGCTGACAACACAATCCTCAATCTAGTATCCCTTCAGAAACCTGCCTCTTAGATATTTCCGTTCGGAAGAGTAGCATACTGGACCATATTGGCCATATTGCCATGAAATGTGCATTTCAATTAGCGCTGGCTCCCGGCTGATTGTGTTAACCAACCCACTGTACAAGTTTCTCATGATGGTGAATTGATCTGCTATACAGGTGGCTTTAAAAATATAAGTTCTGTTATCAGGTTTGGAAGCACATATTATGATAATGCACTCAACCTAAATGGGCTTGTGGGTTTAATGGAGTCCAGAGTCCAGCAATTGCAGGAAATATGGGAGGCTTATAAGGAAAGAGTCTCACGTGAAGTGCTTTGCTGTCATCATGGTCCACTCCACACCAGCACAAGTGTTTGCATTTATGAGACCAGAAGCAAAACAGGTTGCAGACAGGACGAATTAAGAGTGGCTTGATATCTTCTCCTTTATTTGGACCTTGGCAGAAGAAAGTAATAGTCAAAGCATCTATCAAAATGCTGTTGTTTATTTTGTATAATAATATTCTATGCAAACATTTGATAATATGAAACAAAACATAGATCTATTCTTTTATAACCACACTGACTAGTCTAGCACAAAATGAATAGAGTCCATGTTCCCCAGTTCAACTAGGAATTTGGGTTGGGGTGGGGTTTTTTTGTAATGAACCTTATTTATAGAATTTGCATTCTGCCCTTAAACCTAAAGGTTCCTCTGCTGCTACATAATAATCTGTTAAGCACATTTGTATTGATCTCTGTGTTTTATCAACTTGTCAGTTTCAACTGCTTGTTTTAGCTTGATCAGCCACTCTGTGATAATTGGAATTATTGCTGATTTCCAGAAAAAGGCTAACAAAATGCTAGAGAAGAGCTGAGATCCTTATCCCCAACCTGGGCACATGAGATTTTGCAGAGCTGCCTCCACATCCACAGCCTAGCAGCCATGGCGGAAGGATTGGCAGGATGTTTGGTATCAGCAGCATCAGCAATGACATTGTCTACCTGGCCACCATTTTGCATTATCATATCTTGGACTTTTTAGTACACTAGGTGGGTAGATGGGTGGGTGGGGGAATGGTGGCCATCCCCCTCACACACAAATGGTGGAGAATATTCCGATAAAATTCTGCAAAGTTGCCTTCATTTTCTAGGAGAACAAGAAAACGTCAAAAAAAATTCTCACAAAAAAATGAGTTCTGAGAAATTGAAGCTCAGACTGAAAGTTGAATCAGCCTTGAGAACATACAGCTCACTTAAAGGCAAATCACTCATCCTGTGCACTTCAAAGTGCACCCTCGTACCTACAGGACCACCTCTTCTGGTATGCCCCACAGAGGACGTTACGGTCTGCTAACAACACCTTGAAGATCCCGGGCCCAGGGAAATTAGACTGGCCTCAACTAGAGCCAGGGCCTTTTCGGCCATGGCCCCAGCCTGGAGGAATGCTCTCCCACAAGAGACCAGGCCTTGTGGGATTTGACATCTTTCTGCAGGGCCTGCAAGATGGCGCTGTTCCGCCAGGCCTTGGGACAGGATGCAGTTTGTCTTATTTTCCTTTGTATAAATCAAGCCTGAAGGAGGCCCCAACCCGCTCTCAGGTCCTTGTATGATCAGTGGAAACAGTTGGTCCTGGCAATTATTAACCACTCTCAATTCCACCCTGATAATTGCCAGCTGCCCGGATTTTAACTTGTCTGAATTAATTTTAAGATGTATTTTAATTAATTGATGTCTGTTTTTATGCTTATTGTGTTGTTTTTATGATGTTAGCAGCTCTGAGCCTGGCCTCGGTCGGGGACGGCAGGATACAAATAAAATATTATTATTATTATTATTATTATGGAAAAGCTAGTATCAATTTTGTAGAAGAAAACAATGTCAGAGTCCGGACCACAAAAACCAGTAAAGAACTGACCTGTAACCAAACTGATCAGAAGCCCCGCAGCAATACATCCAAGACACCCAACAGCACTATAGTAAAGATAGGAGAGAGAATACCACGTCTCCGCCAGATGTGGCCTAGGATGATAAATTTGAGGGACAGTCAATATATATGACCACTCTGAGCAAGAATTGGTTAATTTATCATACCTTCTAATTCCCAGCTCCAGAGAAGAATGACCACCATTGTGCAACACCCACACGCAAGGGCAGAAGACTCAGCAGAAGCCCATGTTTTGCAGAAGTATGGACAATCATTATGGGGCAAAACAAAAAACAAAAACAACCCACCATAATTCATGGGGTGGGAGGTGGGGAGATGATCCAAATAGCCCCCTAAAAACTCGATGGCATTTTGTAAATGTCCCCAGTGCTGCTCATTGAAATAAATTGAGAAATCCAGGATTTTAATATAGCTGGGGATTGAGCCCAACAAAATAGTAGCAAAGGGAAGAGTTGCACTTTCTAATTAAACTATTCTGTAGCCAACCACATTTGCTTAAAAACTACTGCTAATCACAGTTGTCTCCATATTGTAGCTTGGAAGGAGAGCAGCTGAGAGAGGATCTTACCTGATGGGAGATGAGGTAGGGAACATAGTGGGTACAGTCTCTGTATTATTGACAGTGCACTCAGCTGTGGAGAGGTATAATGGAAGGGCCTTTGCAGCTGGAGCAGGGTACACAAAAGCTCCAAAGCCAACCCAAAATGCCAAGGTGATTCCAGTAAGGAGACCTCCCAAAGCACCCTTAAATCACAAAAGAAAATTAGACATACACAGTATTATTGGAGAGTCACAGGGTAAAGTGCTTGCCAGCATTATCAGCTGGAAAAGGGGTTGCTCATCTCTGGAGCACATTTTCAGTGTCATCTCTATATCACAGTGGGGAATAGACCAGATCCTAAACCCTCCATGGGTCATGGATGATATCAAATAACCCAAATTCAAAGGAAAGAACCCCTTTTCTAGTTGCATTTCCGGTTCTTTCCTTTTTCCTTTGCAGCTCAGCTTGAACTTGGGCTGGGCTGCAAAAGAAGATGCCTACCCAAAGTGGGACATGCAATCCTGTACTTTTACCAGGAATTGGCTGCATTGGAAGCTCACAATCAGGAACTTACAAACATAGCTGACTCCTGCAGGCCTTACTGTCAGCACAGATGAACAGATCAGTGCTGCCAGCAAGCCCTGCTTGGGCAGGGATTGGCTGCACTAGGGAGTTCCTGAAATCCCCAGTGCAGCTGATCACAGCAGGGCTTGTTATCAATGTACATCAGCTGATCAAAAATAACAGCAAGCCCTGCTTTCAAAGAAGTGGGATTGCATTTGAAGGCTCCCTATTGTTCCTACCCCACATGGGACACAGTTTCGTGTGGCTTGGGGAATACAGCCAGATTAGGTCCCCAACTAGTGCTAATATGAGCCACAGGCTAGATGGTCCCCCACGGCTAACATATAGAATGTACTACAACCCTTAACCATACAGAATTACCCCTCTCAGTGGTCTGCTTGGTGAAATGGTGTGTTTATGGGGGAAAACTAAATGAGAACCAGGTTACTGTATGTTTTTCATATGCAGTGTTTGCTAGGTTTTGCACCAGCACTAAAACCAGTAATAACAGCAGGCCAATCAGTCAGTGTTACTCAGACACCAGCTCCACCAAGCTTTTCCTCTCCTTCCTCTCCAGCAACAGCCACTCCACCAGGATGCAGCAGAGTATTAGTAAGGAAGCAGCTCTGCTGCAAATCCAGCTCCATCCAGCTGCTCCTTCCATCATCTATCACCCAGCAGCAGGCATTCCGTCAGGTTGCAGCACAGAGAGAAATGGAAAGTAATGCCACAGACAGACCAACTTTTGGCTCCTCCTCACTTTCATCTGATTCTAATCCAGCTGGTCACTGTAAGAACTTTGCGACTAAGATCTAATGCCTAAATTGGCCTCTTCTTTTCCTGCCTCTTCCCTCTCAATCCCTTTTCCATTTTGTGTTTTATGTCTTTTAGATTGCCAACCTGAGGGCACGAACTATCTCATGACTGATTGCTGTAAGATGCCCTGGGAGAGTTTTCACTGAAGAGTGCGGTAAAAATTGCTTTAATTGGTTGATTGATTGGCAAGAACAAATACTGTAAGTGAAATGAGCTGCCTTGAAAATGTGATTCTTATTACTTACTTTCCAGTTGGTACAGGGGAAAATGATCCCTAGTGTAAATAATCCCAGCATAGGTCCCCCGCACATCCCATGAATGCTAAGTGAAGCCTGTTGAAAGGAAGCACAAAAGATGCTTTAGAAAGCTATTTATTGTCATCAAGTGTCTCTCCAGCATCCTTCTATAATGGTTCTTTCAATTTCTTATCTCAGAGAACATGCTTTTTCTATTTCTTCTTTGTGTGCCATTTCTTGACAGAGTTAAAAAAATAAACAAATCTGTTTACAAGTTTTAAAAAAGGAGTTCTTATATTTCCTCTATAAATAGTAAGGTATGGAAGGGGAATTAGCTTTTTGAATCAATACATTATGGCAGCGCATTCCACCCTCAACTAAATAGGTGCCCCTAATGTATTCTTGATATAAGAATCAGTGTGGATGGATGGAAGAGAAGTGTGTGTGGCTTTGGCCCCACCCACTACTCCTGCAGCCCCAAGAGAGAATGCAGCCTTTATGCTGAAAAATATTCTCCACCTGTGGCTCTCCAGATGTTGTGGAAATACAATTCCCATCATCCCTAACTGTTGACTTTGCTGGTTGAAGCTGATGGGTGTTGAAGTCCAGCAATATCTGTGAGCCACAGGTCTGCCACCATTAATCTAAAACAAAGGAAGCATGATTTCTCCCTCTCCTTCATATGCAACATTTAATCAATACATCAAAATTTAAGAAATCACATGCAATGATTTAATCAATCAATTATATCATTAAGCAACTAATAATTTCCTTAATTGGCTAGCAGTTCTAATAGCATGTTCCTCGAGACCCAGACACATGCCTGAAAGCATGTAAAAATAATCTTTCTGAATATCCTGTGTGCATTGAGGAGGCCCTGTGATGGACATGAGGGAGAGCACTCCCCAGGGTCTAACTTGCAATGCCAACAGTTTGCTTGTTCAAGGGCAGACCCTACAAGTTGAAACGATACTGGAAAATCCAGCCCGTTGTTACACACGAGGGTTGCTGGACTGGGTATTTGCTCATATCTCCAAGGATCCCATTTTGTTTCAACATATTCAGACTAAGAAAAAGACTGGATCTTAGTTTTGACCAAATAGAAGAGTGATATTTCATCCTGCTTATCCACACAAGGAAAAGAATTAATGCAGAAAAGAATGTGGGCAGGGGTTCCTAGTAGCAGCAGACCCATGGGTATGTGGAGCTCCCTTTGGGCTGGAGCTCTCTGGTCTCTCCTGTGGCCAGACAAACTTTGTGTACTAAAGGTGCTGGATTGTCACTTCTCATGGGAGAGAACACAAATTCCTGATACACGCAGGGGCTCCAGTTCATACCAACCATCTTAAAATATGTAGTTACCTGCACAACAGGACCCATGAACGATGCTGCTACGGCCATGGAAGTACATATCACTCCAAATACTATGCCTGAAAAAGAGTTGTGCACTATCATCAGCTATGGCCTCGAACATTTAGATCACTCTTGTGAGATTTTTAACCCGTGAAAGATCTCCATGATTCTGAACCTGTGTTCTGCAATCTGATATATGCCCATTTGGGGGTCTATTCATTTGATTACTCTGCTTACTGGTGTCAGTACTAAAGGATGCCCTTTGCTTGGAATTCTCTTCCAGACAAGTCATCTATGACATTTTTAGAACATGGGGAATAAAAACCTTCAAACTTCAATTATTCATAGTTAGAAGCCAACGCGGTTAATTCTGCAGCTTAATTCTGAGTGTGTATAAACGTTCTTATCCTCATCTTTATAGAAAAAGATAATCTGTATTCTTCTTAAAGCTCTTAACATCTCACAGTGTCAATAACATCTGGATGGAAAGCTGAAGCTTAATATGAACAAAACCACATCCTATTGAATTCAGAGACCGTTGAGTAGCTCTTTGACTGTGTGACAGATTTTTCATGGTATGAATTTCAGATCAACACAATGCAGTGCTGAAAACTGCTGTGCATGATACCTCAATAGATCAAGGACGGACCCTCTAGATGCTGCTGGCAATAACTTCCACCATCCTTGACCATTAGCCAGGCTGTCTGGAGCTGATGGAAACATGGCTCTGACAACACCTAGGGGGTCCCAGTCAGATGCAATAGATGAAGGTTGCTCTGAGCTACTTATAGAACATAAACAGATCTTTAGTTTGTATAGCTCAGGACCATCTATTCCTACTTAACAATGCCTCTCCAAGATCTTCCCAAGGGTACAGTTGGAAATATTTTTAATTGGACATGATAGGGATAGAAACCCAGACCTTCTAAATACAAAGGATGAGCTATGCCATCAAGTTGTGGTTCCTTTCATCTGCTGCTTTGACAGAAGCAGCACGGACACCATGTAGCAGTGGAGCACAGATCTTTAAATGTACCATGGGATAAAAAGTTCAGCCATCTTATTAGCCTAATCTTATGTTGCACTGGCATCAGGCCAGACATTTCTTTATTTTTTAATTTGGTCTATTGGGTTTGCTTCTCTGCTTGTTTCAGTTCACTTTCAAGGCCGGCCAATGGCCAATTAAGTCATGTGTAAATTAATTAACTTTTGCAAATGAGGAATGGGTCCCCCCTCCCCCTGGTCAAGAATATAAGAGCATAAGAAGAGCCTGCTGGATCAGGTACAAGACCCACCTAGTCCAGCATCCTGTTCTCACAGTAACCAGGTGCCTCTAGGAAACCTGTAGGCAGGATTTGAGCACAAGAGCACTCTCACTCCCTGTGGTTTCCAGCAACTGGTATTCAGAAGCATTGCTTCCTCCAACTATGGAGGCATAACCATCATGGTTAGTAGCCATTGATAGCTCTCTTCTCCATGAATTTGTCTAATCCTCTTTTAAAGTCATCTAGGTCGGTAACCATACTTGCCTCCTGTGGGAGAGAGTGCCATAGTTTATGCACTGTGCAAGGAAGTACTTTCTTTTATCTACCCTGAGCATTCAGTTTCATTGGATGTTCTTGAGTTGTAGTGTTTTCTCCATCCGCTTTCCACATGCCATGCATAATTTTATAAACTTCTATCAACGTCGCTTCTTATTCACCTTTCTTCTAACCAGGGTTTCCCAAACATGGGTCTCCAGCTGTTTTTGGACTACAATTCCCACAATCCCTGACCACTAATATATTGGAATCATGCAAATGACCTGTTAATTTTAGTAAGAGGAGCACTTTGCCCACTAGATCTAGTAGCATATTTGTGGTCTTACAGTTCAGAAGAATCAAATCCATTTACTGTACCTACATAAGCCTTTGCTGACCCAAGTGCTCGTACGTTCAGAGAGGTTTGGTAAGCAGTGCTTGACAAAATCTTCAAATGTGACAGTTGCCAGAGCATTTATACTTGCAGCCACAGTGCTGTAAAAGTGAAAACACACATTGTGGGGACTTTGGCTGCATCACAACCACAAAAGAACATGAGGAGAGCTACCAATGGCCTCTCCAGTCCAACATCCTGTTTTCACAGTGGTCAATCAGATGCCTATGTGAAGCCTGAAAGCAGGACCTGAGCACAACAGCACTCTTCCCACTTGTGATTCTGCCATTCAGAGGCACACTGCCTCAGATAATGAACATATAACATGGATATTGTGGTTAGTAGCCACTGATGGCCTCGTTGAATTTCTCTAACCCTCTTTCAAAGCCATCCAAGTTGATGGCCATCACTACTTCCTGTGGGAGCACATTTAGCTACAGGTCCCAGAGTGGGTTGCACTGCTATGAAGTATGCTGGTTTGGATATTAACAATCCTGAGTGCTGATTCACACAACTCTGAAAACTACGAATGTCTGTGTGAGAGGAGAACTTAATATGCAGGTTGCAATTTTACATCACCTCTGCTTGAAAGCCTTTTTAATGGTATGATAAGATGTCATTCTGCATGAAACAGAATGGGGAGCATCAACACAATCACTTCACCATGATTCCCCCCCCACACACACACCTAAAAATAAAAAATACATCAACTCAGAGGGCACAAAGTTGACAACTCCAATCTACCCCCACCTCCCCTGCCAGCCTATTCAGATTGTCTCCAGCTCTTGTCTGATTTTTACTCTTCACAAACACCTGACTGACACAGTATCTTCCACCAGAAATAGACAGGGAAGTAGGAGTGACATATTTTCCCATTGCCAGCTTAACTTTTGTGCATGCTCATCTATGTTTCCTGACACCGGAGGTTCTTTTAACATGAAAATCACTGTTTGATAGTTTGGTACCTAAGAGATCATATTGTGGTTTGTAGATAGGATGAGAAAAAATATGTGGAAATCTGCTTGCCAGAGCACATGACAAGCTCTGTGCTGGATTGCATACGAAAAGACAAAGCACTGCAGCATTTCATTGCAGGGACGGAGTTGGCAGAGTGAAAGAAATGATGCGGCAGATTCGAGAGCAGCAGCCCCACCAACACTAAACCCCTGTGCGATGCTCTGCTTGGTTTGCCTCCATTAAAACCGAGTGCAGCAGACAAAATGTGAGTAGAGGCAACCCAGTTAAAACACAGACCTTAATGTTCCACTGAAGGCACATGCAACAAATAATCCTGGTAGTCCAGGGGTTGTGGAAAAGATGATCATAACAAAATACGGCATTAGCTGGATGGCAGAAAAGAAAGGAAGGAAGGTTAGGAAAGTTTATTCACTCCTCTATGGCACAAAAAGCTGTTCTGTGGGGACCCTACAAAGTAGAGTCTGTCAATGTTGATTGTTATTTAATGGTTGTTCACCCCCCCCCTTGTTTATAGTGGTTCTTGTTTTTATCTGTATTATTTATTAAATTTCTAGAATGCCCTTCATCTGAAGATCACAGGGTGGTTTGCCATATTAAATATAATGTGAGGTGAGGTGATGCTTAACCAATCTGAAATATATTTTCAGTGAGGCAATATAACCTGGTACAAAACATTTGATATACAAATAACAGTGAAAAACATTACATTACAATGTTTTTAAGCAGAGGGAGCATTGCAGGAGGTTGGACTAGATGACCCTCAGGTTCCCTTCCAACTCTGCAATTCTATAATTCTATTATTCTATCCCAATTTCAGCATCACCCCTCCTAAGAGCCTTCCTGGCATGATGTGTATCTGCCCTCATTTGGCGAGAGTACCACCAAGCCTGACCCTCTAGCAACATTTAGAAGTGCAGTTTTAGAAGTACAGCAAAGAGTGAATTTCAGTAAGGGAAACAACAAGATTCAGATGTGTATTCTCGGATACATCCAATATTAAAAATGTCACATTGCATTTACGTATCTGATTGGTTGCTGTACCTGATCTGGTGCTGAAATAAAACCAGCTGTCCAAGGATCACAGGTCTGGAAATGGGAATACATCACCAATCCTGAAAGGACTGCACATGTCAGGATGACCCACAGCCCCAGTAAATTTAGATACAGTGCACTGAAGAGAGAAAAAGAGAAAGGGGTTATATGTCTTAAAAAATAAGTCATTCCTGTTTGCTACTTAAAAGAAAGAAAGAATAAGATGTGTCCAAAAACTATGAGTGCCCCTTTTTCAAAGATTGTGGCAGTCATGTTGGCTGTATGTACATGAGTGGCGTACACTAATTCATAGAAAATATACAAATTCCAGTCTGGTTTCTAACCCAGCTTTGGTCTCCTTGGTGGATGACTTGTGCTGGAAAATGGATGAAGAGAGTGAAACCCTCTTGGTTTTCCTGGACCTCTCAGTGGCTTTTGTTAACATTGACCATGGCATGCTTTTGAATGACTGACTGGGCTGCACTTAGGAGACACCCGTGATACAGGGGGCCCAGTGCTTCCTGGGTCACAGTGAGTGGTATTGAGAGACTTCTGTTCTATCCCATGGCCTTTAGACTATAGGATGCCTCGAGGTTCCATTCTGTTAACAACAATAAAGATCCCTTGGCCATCTTGTACAGTAAATAAGATGAGTGCGGCCCCTCCACCCTCATACGTTTTCTTAGAAATTTGCAGAAATAGTTGTGCATGCTTCTCCGCATAAATGGGCAGTTGCCTGTATGTCTCTTTAGTTATGTTCCAGTTTGGAACTAAATTTAATGCCTACTTACGCCTTGGCATGCTTTTCGGTTTTGCAGGAAATGCATCTTTGCATTGTGGACTGATTGACTCCATAGATTCCTAACCAGGTAAATGTCCCTCCTATGGCAATTGTCCAAAAGGTATGTCTTCTCAGGGGATCAACATCAAAGCTACATAAATGAGACACAATGGTGATAACTCATTTAGCCTCCACACGTCACACCTTAAGTTAGTTTAGGATGCTGCAATCCTGGAGACAGTTTGAATACTTAGATCCCTTTTACTTAAACTCGGTTGGAAAAGCATCACTATATCTAAGAATACAGCAGCGAGGTCTCTGTAAATCCACATACACAATCCCTTCCTTGATTATTATTATTTGAGGGAGGGACTTCAAATATGAATTGACTCAACATTTAAACAACATTTTCCCAGCTATAATACCTCAAATTATTAATGGAAAAGAAATACACATCTCCACAATGAAACAGACAATGAGCTGGATCCTGACTTAAGGCGGTATCCAATTAGCATGTCTCATAAGGATTTCTGCTTGTGAAATGGGATTTCCCCCCATTTCTCTGTGTGTGCCCTGTGCTCTCCCCAAAACTCCTCTGGAGAGCTCCCAGGACACATTTAGGAGGGGGGAGAAGGGGAAGTCTTGTTGTGCAAGTGGAAATCCTTGTGCTGAAGTTTTAATAATTTAAATATGAGTTTTAGTGCGGCTGCCCCTGTTCTATGGACCAGCATTCCTTTCAAGATATGACAGGACCACACTATTTGCAGTTTCCAGAAATGATTGAATGTCATCAGTTCATTTTTTGTTATTTTCTGTGCCATTTTAAACTTTTTAAAGCTGTTTTTATTACCCAAGGTACTCCACAACACTCCTCAGTACCTTTCAGTATCCAGTCTGCCCATATACAGTAGACAATGATAGACCCATCCTTGTTGGCCACTTTTAACAATACTGTTATTGACAAAGGAACAAACACGTCCATAGATCTGAGTATGAGAACCCATTCTGCTTACTCAAATATAGTGAGGCGAGAGCCATTCTGGGCATCTTCCCAAATGTTTGTGAGGCCCCCATTCTTAATAGTTCCTTGAACCAATACTGTTACGAACCCAATCACCATAACAATCAGTTGAAAGGCATCTGTCCAGACGACCGCTTTTAATCCTCCCTAAGACAAAGAGAGAGAAATTATATGTACTTTGTGTTTATTACAGGAAGAAGCCCAATCAAAGTTCAGACCTTAGCAAGATCTTGTCATGTTGAAAACCAATTTAGGGAGGAAAGAGAGGGAGGAAAGAATTCAATTAGTGCGGTACTGAATTCTCAAGAGGCTCTGCTATTTGCTGCAAAAGTTACCATTTCAGGAAGGTTTTAAAAATGTGTCTTTGTGATTTTCACACCTTTTCATAACATTCTGTTCAGCTAGTCAACTAGCAGGACACATCTGTTCAAGTCTATTCACAAATAAGTCCTATTTTGTTCCATCAGACTTACTCCAAGGTAAGGGCTCAAGAGAATTGCTACCTATGTGCAACTGCGTAAGACAGGGGTGCATAACCTGTGGTCTGCCAGATGTTTTTGAGCTGCAATTCCCATCCTCCTTGGTCATGCCAGCTATGGCTGAAGGAGTCCAAAAACATCTGAAAGGCCACTCATGTCCTCTTCCCCCAGCATAAGGGTATCCTTTGTATAAGCAACAGCACAATTTTATTCCTATTGACTCCGAAAGATGTGCCACTGTGTTCAGTGAAGCTTAATCCCAGGAAATTGTGATTAGGATTCCATCCTCTGATTATGGGAGAATGTGTATTACTCAATAATAACAATAGCAATAATTTTATTATTTGTACCCCTCCCATCCGACTGGGTTACCCCAGCCACTCTGGGTGGCTTCCAACATATATAAAACATTAAGTCTTCCCTATACAGGGATTGTAGGCTATATTGAAATTTATCACTTACTTGTTTATCTGAACCAAAAGACTTCGTCCATGCCCTGATAATTTCACGGAGTATTTTGAAACAAATTATAATGAGAAATTAAAAGCTCTCCTTTACTGCGCACAAAAGCACAGGATCATTTTTTTCTCACTAACATAAATATGAATCTGAATTATAAAATCCTTGTTATATAAGCTTTTTGAGTTGAACTGTACGTCAAGTACATACCAGGGTACAGTAGAAGGTGCAAACAATTCCTGTTGCAAATACAGAGCCCCAAAGATTAAATCCAGTCACTGCAAAACCAAAGGAAATAAAATTAGGCAAGGTTCATCTAGGGACATGATGAAATCTAAAATGTATTATTTTAGATAATAAAGAAAGACACAGCTTTTATTTATCTGTTTCCATTACCTCCTTTTACATCCTTTATAAGAGAAGTTCAATTTTATTGTTTCTCTGAATGATGCATACTATTTGCAGAGAATTCCTTACTCTGGTGAACAGACCAAATCTGGTTTAGAAACTAAATGATGGAGTGTCAGACTGCCTAAGTCGATAGCCTTTCGAGGGACATCAGTTTGTCCTTGTTCACATTACAGATGACATTAAGACAGAAGGGTGCAAAGAGAGAAAGTATCAAAGTACATGACATGGTGTTAGATCATTATGCTAAACCGGGACCTTTGCCAAGACCTTGAGTAGCACGTTCGGTACACATCTCCTCCTGTTACTTTTTAGCAAAAGGAAAACCTAGCAAATAAATAACATGATCCTGCACAGAAAAAGGGCGAGAGCTGCCAATGGGAAGGTAACAGGAGCAGACATAGATCTTTTCAGAGCATTTGGTGTTCACATTTCTGCTTTACAGTTCTTGCATTGTGACAATTGGCAAAGCTCTAGCATGCTGGCCTGGACACTCACCTTGATTGAGAGCCAGGGCTGGAGCATAGACGACCACTCCAGTGTAAAGAATCTGCAAGGGATCAGAAAGAATATGAAAAGGGCAAACTGGAATCTTGACTAAACCAGTTCTAAACAGACAACTGTCCATAGAAAAGAGCCAAGACTAATAGATAAGCAAAACAAAGGGCACAGGGATTCTTCGCTGCACCAGATTCTGTGGTTCCATTCATCTAAATATATTCACTCTGGCCAGCACTGATGCACACACACAAAGGGGAGTATGTATTCATGCATGCATGCGAATACAGAGATAAGTTATTTAACACAACTTATCTCACTCTTTTTTATCATCTCAGTTCGTCACATTTCCCAAATTTATATGACTATAGCCAGTTGAGTTGCTTGCAGTGCCAGTGATCTAAATTTGCTTCCACCTGAGCAAATGGCTATTCTGTTTATAGCAATGAATATTTACAGCAGTCTGAACTGCAGTGTTGAGCAGTGACTAAAGTGTCAAATGAGGCCCCAGGAGTTTGGGGCTCAAAATCCCCTTCAACTATGAAACTCATCTGGGCCAGTGACCCATCACTCAGACTAGCCCACTTCCATAAAGTTGCCCTGAGGGTAAAAGGTGAGAGAGGACCATGCACGCTGAGCTCCTTGCAGGAAAGGTGGGATCAAAAATTAAGTAAATATTGATCATAATAACACTTAAAAGGATTCAAAGGGATTTGGAAGAAAAGGTCTTGTGGCTCCTTAAAGACTAACTAAGACTGCATTCCTAGCCCACTTACTTGGGAGAAAGGCCCATTGAAAAAAATGGAATTGCTTCTGAGTAGACATTTCCGTGTGCTGCACTGGCTCGCCAGATGCAGCTTGTCACGCTGGCCACGTGACCCGGAAGTGTCTTTGGACAGCGCTGGCCCCCGGCCTCTTAAGCGAGATGGGCGCGCAACCCCAGAGTCGGACACGACTGGCCCGAACGGGCAGGGGTACCTTTACCTTTATCTTTAGACATGGTTAGGCTTGCACTTCAGTTGACCACCTCAGGGTGGTTTATACATATACAATTATTAAAACTATAATACACAACAACCCATTAAAACCAGCATTGAATGCAGACCAAGGCAACAACAGAAAGTGGTCTCTCATTACAAATGGGCAACACTGATCAACTGTCCTCAACTGCGTTTGTGAGAGAGATGTCTTTAGCTAGGGTCAAAAACCATACCATGTAGATGCCAGCCATTTTTCTGGTGTGAGAGAGTCCCATAATCAGAATGCCAATTTGGGAAACATTTGGCCATTACTCCTGGCAACGTTCATTGCAAGTTGCTTTTAACTTAAACCTTCAGAGTATATGTCTTTAAAGAAACATACCTAGGCATATACAAAACCACATTTCATTTTGTAGTATCAGCCATATGAAATAGTACTAAATGCATGAGCAGATGGGGTGGGGGCTGGGGCAGTCCTCACTTGACCTTTCAAAATCTGCTGCTTACTGGACAGGAGAAGGGGGAAGGACAAGGTGGCAGGCAGATCATCATGGTTCAAGCAAACCAGTGGATCAAATCCTGCCAATGCATTTCCACTGCACAGACCTCTCTACCATCTTGCCTCCCTCCCTTCTGGTAAATGGCAAATTCACTATCAGAGCAAATTTGGTGCTTCTGCCAATGTATCTGCACAGCAGCAACCTCCTTGCCACCTCCCCCTTTCCCCCTGTTAAGAAGCAGCGACTCAGCTGTCAAGTGAGCTCCATTATCCCCCTGTGCCATCTGCTACTGATTAAATGATACGCATATCCAACATAAGTGTTGTTCAGAGTATACTCATTGAAATCAGTGGACTTCAGTGAGTCTAGTCTGCACTGGGTATCACCCATAGTGTCACACCAGGTAAGTTAGCACCTCGCTCTGAACTGGATTTGACAGTTCTGTAGAATTCTCCAAACAATCACCTAAACGTTTTGTAAGGTGAGCAGTTCATCTAAGTCTCAGTGCATTGCTGGTGCTATCTAGTTGCATGGAATTCATTTGGAAGGTGGAATTGTGTTGGGAAACAAGAGAGTTCCCTGAATAGACATCTGTATCTGGTTATCCACTAAGTAAAGTCAATTAAGCTTTACACTTGCTTTGCAAACTACCTTAGACATCAACAGAGTCCTCCTTCTATGCTGGCAATTTGTGACCCATGTGATTTGTGAAGATTACTCTTGGATTCCTTCCAGGAAGTGGCTATTATTGCAATGTTAGGGAACATTCTTAGAAGCTGCCATGCAATTCTAAGGAGAAAAAGGAAGGATGTTCTCTTTATAGCACACAATGTGCAAATAATGCCAGATGTTCCCTGCTGTGCTGAAGCAAGCCATACTATTTCTCCTCAGGATGAATCTTAAAACAAATAAAAAGTCATTAGTCTGTCAGGCTCCTGGCATTGAGCTTGCATAAAGCACAGTCTGCTTTTGGACATGAGTGTAGTCTTTGACAACAGTGGAATATTCCACATTCTGGGCAGAAACTTTGAGAGATCTGCCAGAAATTTCCATACAAAATACATTGTGTCCCTGGGAAGAAGGAGCCAGTGGTTCTTTCCTGGCTTGAGGCAGGAAGTTCACTGTTCCTTTGCTCCTGACATGCAGCTGGAAAGCTAATACATCTAAAATACTTTGAGTACCCCAAAGGTGCTACATAAATGCAAAGTAGGATGGTCTTGTTGATCAGTTTCCACCAGTTGATTCCAGTAGGCCCACTCTCTGATTTAGAAAGAGGAAATCTTCTTGCTGTATGCAGAATTCCATGGCAACCCGAGGACAAGGAAGAGTTAGATGCTTTCTATTAAAATGAAAACCATTAAACCCCCAGAGAAATAATATTGCAGACATGATCATTTCCAAATAGTAACCTAGGGTCCAGAATTGCAAGAACTTCCCATCCTCATCTAAGATAGAGACACTCTCCATGCACATATGAACATTCTCGGTCACATCCTGTGTCAGCTGTTTCAAAGACAAAAATGGGAAGATGGGCAAAAAAGAGCCACACATACCAGATCACTCCACACTATTTAGAAACCATGACATATACCACTCATTGAAATGTAAAATGTCTTACCGTTTGCACTATATAAATCATGGTTGCAGCCATGCGAACGGGCTTGTTAAACCTCAACTCCAAGTACTATGAGAAATGATGAATAGAGTAAATGCAACTTATGTATTAAATCATATTTGATATTACTGAATAAACAAAATCATATATGAAACAGTACACACATATAAAACAGTGTAATGCATATTTCAATTATGTCAAAGTGTGTTCATTAATCTGAATGGATGTGGACTGCTTTTTTTAATAAAAAAAAATCTCTAATGGTGTCTTAAGTGATTTAATGTCCAAATCAACGCAACCAAAGTAGATGTGATATAGGATATGCATGATTAACAGCCCTGCATACCAGCTTTAAAGATCAGGGAGACGATGTCTAGCCTATTATTTATTTTCTTTCTCCAATCTAAATTCCACAAGAGAGGGAGAATGCATTGCTATTAGCTTTGCAGAATTAAAAAAAGACAGGTATCAATGTTGTATGTGCCTTTTATCTGATGAGCACATAAGAACATGGGAAAAGAGAGGCTTTTCTCCCTCTCTTTATATTAAAACGTGATGTGGGACAGACAAAGAAAGCACATCTTGGCAGAGCATAGTTAAGTTTTGGAATTTGCTCGCACAATATGTCATACTGGCCACCACTTTAGACAGCTTTAGAAGTAGATTAAGTGAATTCATGGAGGATAAGGGCCATCAGCATCTACTTGTGACAATGGTAATATTGCACCAGCATCAGAGACGGTGTGTTTCTTAATATCCATTGCTGGAAACCACAGGAGGAGAGAGGGCTGCTCTTCTCAGGTTCTGCTGGTGAGCTTCCCATTGGCTTCTGGTTGGCATTGTGAGAACAGGATGCTAGACTAGATTGGTCTTCATCCTCATCCAATAGGACTTTACTTACGTTCTTATGGATATCCCACATCACATCTAGTTTGGCTTCACAGCAATTCTGTACCTACATATTTAAACTGTCTTTACCCATCGTGTTGCACTGCCTGAGGCAAAACAGGTAGCAATCACCTTCCCCCCAAAGTCTTGCTTGTCAGAGTTGTGCATGAGTTCTTGCTGGAACCTGGGAGCCACCGCTGCAGTCACTTCTTCTTGCTTCTCTTGTGGCAGGCAGGTGGGTGCTGCCTGCTGTGGTGCCCGAGAAGTGAGGAGAAGTGCCATGTCTCCTCACTTTTCCAGCAGCAGCAACAGGGGCAGGCAGAGCACTGTAGTGACACTGCCTGAGGTGGCTGCCTCAGTCTACCTCAGCCAGCCTTGCTACACCCTGTATCAAGGATTTGATACTACATATCCATATTTAAGTACGGATGCAAGCTGTCACAACACTCAGCTACAGAAATGGTACACTTTGTAGATCTATCTATCTCTTTATTCCAAACAACTGAACCTATATAATGTTCATAGCACAGGAAGTATCAAAAATAGCTGTTCTGAAAGAGAATCATTATTGATCTGGTATCCAGGCAAGGCCTATTTGTGTACATTTTTTATTTTTTAAAAAATCTTGCTAATAACCATATCTCATTCTTTCCAGGTTTATAAAACCGTTTCTTTAATGTGCCATATCTTAAGATATTCATTCACTGAAGGATATCCCTTATTCTTTCATTCTGCTGTTTTATAGATTCTCACAGCCCATAATAAAATTGCCACAACAAACCCTTAATAACCTTTATCAATAAAAAAAGGGTTTTCCATCAGAACTAGAAGCCTATTTAAAGTTACCTAAAGCTACCTATTTATTGTCATTACAGTGGTACCTCGGGTTACAGATGCTTCAGGTTACAGACGCTTCAAGTTACAGACTCCTCTAACCCAGAAACAGTACCTCCGGTTAATAACTTTGCTTCAGGATGAGAACATAAATTGTGCTCCAGCAGCGCGGCAGTAGCAGGAGGCCCCATTAGCTAAAGTGGTGCTTCAGGTTAAGAACAGTTTCAGGTCAAGAACAGACCTCCAGAACGAATTAAGTTCTTAACCCGAGGTACCACTGTACTGATTTTGACATACCACATTAATCTAAACCAGCCACTGCCAATCTGATACCCTCCTGGTAACTCCCACCAACCCCAGACAGAATGGCCAATGGTCCGAGATGATGAGTGTTGCAATCCAGCTACATCTGGAGGGTAGCAGATTGGAGGCAGCTGATGTAGACAGGTTGACACCCTCCATGCTGAGCTTGGCAGGCAATGCAATTTAAGATTAGAATGTTTAAAGAATCAGCATTGATGTTGTCAAAATGCCTTCAGATTTCCAAATATAATGTCAAGATCCGTGTCTTGACAGAAACAACTTTTGTGAAAAGTGCTTACCTCATAAGTGCTTGTGATGCCAGATCTGTAGAACACAGGTAGGAAAAGTTCTGAAGTACAAATGATGACAAACATATATGCGAGGAAGAACAGAATGAAGGAAGCCCCATGCCGATACACCTCAGCTGGCGTTCCCAGCACAGTCACTGCTGACATGAAACTAGCAGTGAGTGACAGAGCTACTGGTCCACAAGTCATCTGCCTGCCGCCGACTAAGAAGTCATTGGAAGTGGTTTTTTTCCTCTCTGTGATTGCAAAAAAGACTCCTATGCCAGAAGAAATGAGAAAGAGTGCTGCAAAGACCACATAATCCCAGGCGACAAAATTGTTGACCTTCGGAGGGATGAAGGAGGCCATGGTGCTAATGTGTGGAGCTCTAGTCAAATCTATTTGTCTCTTTGTTCATTTAAGAGACTGAGCCTCCAAACGAGACAAGAAATGCCATCTCCATGATGTGATGATTTTATATTCTTAATCAAGAGTACAATCCAGGATGCAGCAGAAACTTCAGATTTGGTTCACTTGAGAGTCGCAGAGTTTTATTGTACAGACAGGATTAAAGGGACTAACTGATACTTTCCATGCAATTATTACCTGTCTTGTCAAAGAAGTGTTCAAAGCTCTGTGAAATAACGGTTTGAAAGCAGGAATTCAAGGATTCACACCCTTTTTATCTGACAAGCTTTTTTATTTCGGGTTAAACATTACTCAGACAGACTGACTAACATCCAGATTGGTCAGCATTTCACGTAATAAATTAGGCGGCCATCAAACAGTATGTTGAAATTGCTCTATGTGAGCGTTGTAAGCTTTGTGACAATGTGAGAGCACTCACTGAGTTTAAGACACAGAGATATGTGAATCTGGATTTGAGAGTGGCCTGGCACTTGAGCTGCCATGTCACAAATAGAAGAGCTTCTTCTCTTCACAGCAGGAACTCCTATCCAGCTAAGGTACCAACTGGCAGAAGAGGGGAAGAGAAGCCAGTGCTTGACCCAATAGCCTGGACTAACTATGCTCCCTTTCTAGGGAATGCAGAGGAGAGGGCCATGACAGGTGTCCTGGCTGTAACTGAATGATTAAGGTTTCTGCCAAAATCTTTAATACTCAAATCAGTATGGTACAAAGGCAAGGCAAGGGTTAAAAGGAACAGCTTGTGACATGCATGAGCAACACACCTCCCTGCCCTTTGCTTTTAAGGGTGGCAAGTAAAAGAGGCATCTTTGGACTGCACAGGCAAATGAGCACTCCTCCAGGCAGGCTTGGCCTGAGATGTTTGTACAAGCCAGCACTAGCATCTCTGTTTCCTAGGTGACTGGGAGAAGACACTGCCAGCTCTGAGCCAGGCTTGTCACCCGGTGCCTCCTCTGCAGGTTCAGTCCCACCAACAAGACATGTCAGAAGTGGTTCCTGGACAGAAGGGGGCTGGACAGAAGACTCTGGTGGTGTCGGGGTGGGTTGCTTCTCAGACAATCTACTTCAGGCATAGGCAAACTCGGCCCTCCAGATGATTTGGAACTACAACTCTCATCATCCCTAGCTAACAGGACCAGTGGCCAGGGATGATGGGAATTGTAGTCTCAAAACATCTGGAGGGCCGAGTTTGCCTATGCCTGATCTACTTGATCTGAGTATTCCCATGGACCAGTTTAGGCCTTTTGCTGTGAGCTACTGTATGTCTAGTAAGTGAAACACAGTTCCATGCACCCTATACACCTACAGCACCCCTATAATGCTCTAGCAGTCATGGATTTCCCCCAGAGGATCCTGGGAAGTGAAGTTTAAGATGGCTGAGAGTTGTTAGGAGAACCTTCACAGAGCTACAACTCCCAGCACCTTCAGCGACCTACAGTTCCCTCAATTCTCAGCGGGGGGAGAAATGACTGCTAAAGCGGCATATGAGGGTCTTAAATATATGGAATTGACATGATAAAAATGACAGGCGTCTATTCAGCATGAGACCTGTTGTGATTGCACCTCCTGGTCCCACCCTGTATGCACCTTCAGTACAAGGCCTGAAAGAGTCTCAGCTCCTGCACCTGTATATGTGTGCAGTTAATGTTCCTGTATTTGCATACTCTAGAATAGGCAGAGTTCACAGGAACGGGGACAGAATGTACATGCTTTTGTACAGCACATGTGTTGGCCTTTCAGATCACATGTAACAATAAAGCTAGAGGACATGAGTTTGTGCGAGTCTCTTTTGCCCTCTGCAGGCATTCAGATCAAATGTCTGAACAGGACTATTCTCTCCAACACTTCACAGATGAAAACCGAGATACCCCTGATCTACATCAAAGGCCTGAGCCTCCACAATTGCATGTTGCCATCTTGCCATTTCTGAAACAGGGCATGTAAGCAGACTGAGCAGAAACAGCTTACGTTTGTGTAAAGTCTAAGAATGCTGCACAGCCTATTTCAGGATTCCCCAAACTCGGCCCCCCAGATGTTTTGGGACTACAATTCTCATCATCCCTGACCACTGGTCCTGTTAGCTAGGGATGATGAGGTTGTAGTCCCAAAACAGCTGGAGGGCCGAGTTTGGGGATGCCTGGCCTATTTCATTGCACTGTCAATCTGGTTGTACTTACTATAGGATAACTGCGTTCAGTAACGTCTTACAATCTGGATAGGTGATTCTGGAATCTGGAAAGGAAAAGGTGTGCTGGGATTTTGTGTGGATTTTGCATGCACACACTTGCAAACTGATGTCATCTACCCCCCCCCCCGCCAGGGGAGGGAGATGAACCCTTAAAAAAGGGAATGTTTAACCAATTCATATGATTTGAAAGAACCAGAAAACAGGGACTGTCCCTCAAGAAAAACATGTCATGTAACATGCTTCAGCCCTCCGCTTGCAACATTGCGGCTTGCAAGGACTATGTGGTTAGCTGAACATGTGTGTAGTAGAGGTCATGCTCACGTGGTCTGTGAGCTCTTGACTCTGTGGTTGCACAATTAAGAGCAGTGAGAGGGATTAAGGGGAAGAGGAGGAGGAGGAGGAGGAGGAATCAGTTGGTCAGCCTATCGCCTTCCTCCATCTCACCCCACCTACTTCCCTGTAAAATGCCTCTTGCTTGGCAACCCTCAGTCATTCACACACAGACACTCTCTGCCCTTCCTTCCACCCATGGAGGAATTGGATCTTAGCCCAAATGTTTTGCTTCTGCCCAATTGAGGCCTGGTTCTTACTAAGGCAATAAACATTTTTCTGAGCTGAACCATTCCTAGGTGTGGGTTGAGTTCTCAATGTGTGGAGTAGCAGAAGAAAAGTAGATGTTCAGAAGATGACTAAGAAGCCAAAGCCTTTCTTCCTGAGGTTTCATTTTGCTACTTGAAAGGATTTTTTTTAATTGATTGATTCATAAGTAGCTGCCTGAAGAAATGAGCTTAGCCAAGAAATGAGCTGAACAACTCATTGAGAACTTGATTTATCTATACCTGCTTACATAGCTAGCTAGCTAGCTGATAGATAGATGATAGATAGATAGATAGATGATAGATAGATAGATAGATAGATAGATAGATAGATAGATAGATAGATATGGTTACTGCCACTGAAAATGAATTTTGCAGCATTTGAAGTGATTCCACCAAGTTCACATTACAATGCAAGAATTATGGCTTAGAAAAATTGTAAAGCAAATGTTTTATGTATTACAAGCCATTATTTTTAATGTAAGTTGCGTAATGTTCAGAATGATACAACCTACCTGGTGGTTGGTTTTTTTTAGTTTAATATATTTTTCTGATGAATGAATTTCATGTGGCAAAATCTAACTTGATTTGCTAGTTTTTTCTCTTGGTGCAGTGCCTGCCTCAGTTACATTTTAATTTCTAAAGGTGCATAGTTCTTCAACTCGTCTAGCAGAAAACAGTCTGGAAGGAACTATTGCACTGGAGGCATTCCCCACCTCACCCCAGTGTTAATATTAAAGCAGGAAAGTATGGTTAACAACTTATGGAGAAGCCTGACAGTAGTAATGCCATTCCATTACACCAAGGAGGTCTTCAGGCCAAATACCAATTGGGATTTGTGAGGGAACATTAACTTCACAACCCTCACGCAAAGAGTTCTGTTCTTGGACAATGAATATCACATTGAGCCCAGTACAACTAACCGTATTGTCAGAAATATTGATTAAATATCTTAATAACAAATCTGAATTCTTAGACTGGTATAATGAAGGGATCTCTATTTCAACAGAAGAGTAAACATATATTTGTGGCCTTTTGGTGATTAAAAATCACTCCCTTTTAATAGTAAACTCAGATAGTAAGTACCAGCAGAAATGAATCTGAAATGAGGCAAAATGATGCTTGGGGAAACCCTGAGAATCCAGAAGTACAAAAATCTTCCTCCTTTTTTAAACAACAACCAAAACCTTCAGCAAGGAGTAAGCATGTTCAGTAGCCACAAAATATTGGGTATCAGTTGTAAAAGAAAATCAGAAAACATTGCACCGGTAGGAAGATTCTGTTACTTAGTTCACTGACTTTTAGTCTTTTAGGGCCAAACTAGATATAGCATGAATTGCCTGATTGCTGTTAATGGGCATTTTTTAAATTATGCAAATAGTAATCAAAGGGGAACCTGAGCAGCCTCAGGACTGTGGGGCAGGGTTTAAACATTAACCTCCTTTAAAGGGTTAGGTTTATAAGTTATTAAAGATATACTATTTCTTTATGTACACTGTAGGTTTGGGGGGGGTTGCTGTTTCAACGTTGCATTGTTGATGGTTTTTTTAATTAAAAAAATAGTCATTCATCACCCAGTCTTTGGTTATGAGCTGCTTAAGAAATGAGGAAAATAAACAATGAAAAATGATGAAAAATTAAAGGATAAAAATGTCTTCTGGGAACCTTCTGGCTCCGAAACAAGGAAATATATCTCCTGAGTGTGTTGCTACGGCTTGAACTGAACAATAGAATTTATTCATAGTATTCATTTCCAACGCCTCACATATTCCATCTTTTAGTAAACTACTTGAGCCTCAAGGGCCATTTGTTCTAATCTTGTACTTAGTTCAGCAAATATAAAAACTGTGCCGTTTCTTTACCTTCCAGTAAGCTAATGCTTTCTCAGGTTTCCCCCCACAATTATTGGTAAATGTGCCTCCACGTAAAAGGAATCCTTATCACTGTGTTAATGCATAACCAATATCTCAAGCCAATTGGAAGAGAATATCTCAGGTGCAATAGGGAAGTAGGAATGTACGATTTGTAAGACCCCCAACATGTTGTGAAATGAACAGGGTTTAACAGTAAAAATGATTAGATGTCCCTCGCACAAGCAATTGGCGCTGACTTTCAAATGTCCCGTGTTTACTATCTGTTTTTAGATTTTCTTGATAACTCGGTTCTGGGTGAGAACAATTGTAACTAGATTCACATAGGGTAGACTTGCCATACCTCAGGAAAATTCATGACATGTTGTCAAGGCTTCAGGAAAGCTATTCCTCCCCCGGTTGTAGCAAGAGCAGAGAAAACAAGGAGAGTCCTTTTTATTGAGTTTATTCAATCATAATAGCAAGAGACAAAAAGAACGCAGCAAGCCTTAACAATGGTGTTGCCCCAAACTGGGCTCCTCGTCCCTCCTTCCTAGCAACAGCATCTTCCCTTACGGTGGCCACTCATGGTCAAATGTCTCTGATTCCTTTCTTCCTGCACTCTTAATAAACACCGAGTTCTGGGAGAAGGGGAATCAGAAATACTCTCCAGTGACAACGTGTCAGCTGGCTGCTCTGCCACAGTCCCCCCCTTTCTTCTAACACTTCCCAACTCTTCTGTTTGTCTATCTCTGAGCTGTGTCTTTCCTCAAACCCCTGCTATAAATCAGTGCTGCATCCCTCTTCTCCTGCAACGTCAGGGTGATCTCCATGTTGGGAATTCCATTCCACCCTTTGCTGCAGATATGTGGGATTGTTACATGTCACATGTCTGTTTACATTCCAGCACAGATTGCTGGAGTCCTGTGAGTGAAACATCCGCTCTGTATTGCTTTTGTTTTCTCTCTCTCCGAGAAGAACGACAAGGAGAGAGGCCATGTTTTTCTTTGTCCTGATTTATGTATAATAAATGCGTGGTTTAGTATAGTATCCACACCTCGAGCCTGATCTGTTGTGTGTTTACTCTGCTGAGTAATGTGTGCTCTTGCATGCACAGAAGTTTGACTCACAGATGCATGTCAAAGGAGGATGACTGATGGATCTCCGCAGTGGCAAGACTGAAAAGGGAGACGCTCTGGCTGGGGCCAAGCCAGCTGGCTTTTCATCCCACTCCATTATTCCTCCTTCATCTTGCCCTCTTGAGTCCAATCCCTGACGCATGTCCTGGTTTCCGTGTGTAAAAAAATGACAACAGGGGGGAATTATGCCAAACTGGCAAAATGTCAGGGAAAACCCGGACGTATGGCAATATGATGGGGAAAGCAGTGAAAACAGCACCAAAAGATTAAAATCACTATTTTTGGCAACCCTACACAGAGGGGGAAACATGAACCACTATTTGTGTTGTTGTTGCTGCTGCTGTTGTGCAAACACTACACACATCTGTTCCATCACTATATATTCCATTCAGGAATATCTATTCTCACATACTT